AGAAACCGAAACACGTCTGATAGAACAAAACATTGAGAAAAATTAAAAATTGGTTGTTAATAAATACAATGTAACCTACAATTAAAATTCTGCTAATAGTCGACTTAAAACGTATTAAACCATTGAAATTAGAAAAGTTTGACATCACGAGTCAATTTTTAAATTAGTGATTAAAATTTCATATTCCCGATGATCTGAATGGTTTTCATTCCGATTAGCTTACTCCCTGATAAGTGTTTTAATTATTAGAAAATGTTATAAAAATAAAATTAATTTTGGTTTTCTAAACTTTGTATATGGAGAGACAGCGAAAATAGGGGGAAGATCAGAGAAGTCAATTAATATTGAGAAAGAAGAACCTTCTTAAGAAAGAAGAAAATCCTTGACAAATAAATAAACATATAATTATATAATTGTTATAGATTTTATATTGAGTAAAATATAAAATCCTAAAATGTAAAATTATGTACCTATATACCAATTTAAGTGCTACCTTTAAATATTTTGAGATGAGAAATAGATGTATAGAAATTCATGTCAATGGTAATTTAATACATAAGCAAACTTATTTATTGTGGTTTAGCCTGCTGGAAGTTTTTTCGCCACCGCCGAATTCCATAAAGTCTGAATTTCAGTTCTTGAACATTAACCTGTGGAATTTACGGTTGGAAAGCAATGAATTTTATCCTGCTTTAGAAAGGTGCCTGCCCACCATCGATATGATCCCAGGTATGATTTTAAGCGAATTCCAGGTAAAGTCGAGCCAGGGTTCGTTGCGCTTTCCAAAGGATCAGTGGGCCCTTTTTATGCCAGGTTTTCAAGAAGAAACTCCGACCAGCCGACGGCTCAGTTTAATTACGAAAAATTGTGGAAGGAAGGGAAGAACCCTGGAACTTTATGATGTGGAAAAATATACCGTGGGAGACGATGATTCAACAAATTCTGGAATAGTCAATGAAAGACTGGACGCAACAGCGCTGAAACGGCAATAAGTTTCTGATGGATAAACGTTATTTCCCACTCATTCATCCGCACAATTGATCTCATCTTTATACATAATCTTTTATTCCGTTGTTACTTGTCGTTTCTAACATGTTTTATGTTAATCTCGAAACGGCGAGGCGTATTAGAATGAAGCATGATGCAATTCATTTGGCATCCCTTAATTAATGTTCGTTTAAATTCAAAAGGCCAAGGTCTAAATTGGCCTTTCGGACAATCAAAGCGGAATAATTACGGAAAAAAGAAATGGACGCAAACAATTCAAGGAAAAGGGAATTAAAAACCGATCTAGTTTATAAAAGTGAAACCACTTAAAAGATAAAAAATATATCAAATCAAATTAGAACTCAATGTAATTATAATGCATGATTCTTGGTCCGCATATTCTCAGTTTCGGTCAAATGGCTTTCGCCATCTTCAGTGAATGTCCATCTGAAATGCCAGGACGATCAGGGACGATCAAATTGCGGACAAATGTTCAACGAAATTTCACAATTCAACTTCACTTTGCCAGTGCCATTAGGGGCAGGACGGCATTTTAATTTTCAAGGATTTTAAAAATGAAAAGCTTAACTTTCTCATTCCTTTTGTTCTTATTGTCTTACTGTTGGAAGGTGATTAACTTTCGGAGGGTTGTTTTCTTCTTGTATAGTTTCGACTGTTTGAAGCGAATGAACCTAATGAAAACCTTAGGTAAACGAAGAATCCAGATGTGAATCTTCGTTCTAAGAAGAAACAACAGATGTGTGTTATTTGGGCATCTGTGCAGAAGTCGTTCGAGCGTGATTTCACCATATTCCCATGCATAAAAATTAATGTTTAAGATAAAAAATAAGTTCACTAATTTCGTGGTCCGCTTGACCAATTAAATCATTACAATTAATTAAGGTTTTTAGTTGAGATGAAAAAAAGTTAATGGCACGAGAGGGATTCGAACCCACGACCTTCGGCTTGATACGCCGCTGCTCTACCACCTGAGCTAGGTCACGATAGCTCAGGTGGTAGAGCAGCGGCGTATCAAGCCGAAGGTCGTGCGTTCGAATCCCTCTCGTGCCATTAACTTTTTTTCATCTCAACTAAAAACCTTAATTAATTGTAATAAAAAATAAGCCATATCACATATCGAGTGAAACTCAAAAATTCAAAACAAATGCCTAATATAAAATTACCTCAAAATCGAGTCTCAGCAGATTATTGTTCATTCGAAAGGGATTTTACATACAGCCCCTTTGTTTAAAATTAATTGTAAAAAAATTTCTCGTCGCCCAAATCAACGTTCAAACCAGGAATTTAAAGGGGTTGGTATCATATCGTGAGAAACGAGACTAGTTTCGTCTCTCGCAGTAAGTAATCAACCCGGCTCAATAATTACTCAGTCTGTTCGAATTTTTATTTCGGCTTGAGGGACGTCATTACTGAGCTAATCGACTTTTTGAATACATTCCGCGAGATACGTATCATTATTGATTTAATGACACCTTTCTCTCTCTCTCTCTCTCTCTCACACCCCTTATTTTACCAGCTGACACCATAGCAAGCGATATATTTATATTTATTCTCCCACACTTTCTAAATTCATCCCAATTAATTATTTTATACCCGACCCCGTTCTCACAATTAATCCGGTATATAAACTGCATATAATATAAGAAGTCGAAAGTGTTTCCCAATATGGGAAATTGCCTTGATTATGCTCTAAAACGTAAGCGCTTGGAATATACTTTCGATTTGCAGAACCTTTTCCCCTTTCGCCTCTCATTTTCCATATGGAAGGTTTTGTAATTAGAGAAATTGGCATTCTTTATTTTTTCATTCAAACATTCAGGTTTTGGGAAATACAATTTTTTTTTGTCAACAGAAGAAATCATAGATCATATTATATATTGCAAGATAAGATTGGGCCAATCTAGGGGCCTAAAAGCCTTCTGAATAATTTCAAAAAATAGTAATTTATTGTAATATTATAAAGTAAATACTAAATAACTTATAAAGATTTCAAAGAAACGCCGAATCACCAATACATGTTCTGTTCAATATATAATGTTTCTTATAAATTATCAATGTGGGTAATATAGAAAATCCATTAATCCACTAAATGCGATTTGGAAAGGACGGATATAGATGCTAAACACTCAAAGTCTCTCATTAGAATTAATAGATGCAAAGAAATATATATTATTAAGACCGGTTCAAGAAGTGTTTACCCAAGATTCGAGGTCATTATTGATCTAAATTTAAAACTAAAACGATTCTGAAACGTTCTGCAACCGAGTGCGTAACCGGGATAAGAAAATCGAAGGGTAATTGTTCAAATTGGACGGTTAAATGGACTGACCTCTGCCCGGGTAGAAGAAAAGTCCTGAGGAAGCGATGTGCAATCACATTCGTGCAAATAAGTAAAATCGAGACGTATTTCAGATTTGGATTATCTTTTTTTGGACTATCGAATTGTTAAAATACGTAGTCACTTTAAAGACATAATGTACAGAACAATCCGAAATATTTTTGCCCTCGTTCTTAAAAGTTTTTCACCTTCATAAAAACTATAACTATTATAATGTTATTTGGACTATGAGCCCGTGGTTGGTCGTTTCCGACCATTTTGGTCGGCCTGTCCTCGCTTTTTGTCAGGCGCGTTTCATCTTGCTTCACGATATCTTATGACAGACATATTCTGAATGGGATGCCTCCACCATAATCAGAATTATGAAACGCCTTACTTTCTATACGTTTATTATCTCTAGTTTATTATTTATGATCTCAGAGTTTCTATATTTGTAATACGGCAGTTTATTATAGTTTGTTGAGTCTACTTTAAGGCTAGATTGTTGGAGAAATAAAATTTATTCGAATAATTTTGAACCACTTTTTGTGGTTAAGAATAGTTAGTTACAACCGGTTTTCTTTTTTTTTTTTTAAATAGTTATATATTTCATAACAGCCTTGCTTCCTCTGAAGCATACAAAATCTTTATAAACAAGCGCACCTGAAATATTTTGATGAATTTGTGAATATTCGATTTATAGTATTTACTTTCCTTAGCATTTTATTTTTTATTTATTTATTTTTTTGTTATTAATTGCATTAAAATTTATTAGAAATTATTGTTTTTTACTGAAGGAAAATTTAATTAAAGGATTTTGAAAAATAATAGGTTTTTCTCAGGTTTTCTAAACATTGATGAACAAACAACTCTGCCTCTATGAGGTATGGCATTGTCATCCAGAAATCGAAAATCCCTACCAATGAGATTCCTGATGTGAAGGATGTATTCCTCGATAATTTCTTTGACATACGGGCTGCGGTGAGGTTCCCTTAAAAAATATGGAGTCCATTTTGTCCTCCAGTGTAAATCCCAGCCAAGACCTTTACATAGACTCCTCAACGCCGCACTAAAGCGCCTGCTAACACTATACAGATAAAAACGCGACTCATCTGTAAACATAAAAACATTCCAATTTGTGTTCTCCTCTAGGAGCTCGCTGCACCATATTCTCCTGAGTTGCTGGTGGCGGGATGTTGCTGCAGGGGAATACGTTGTGAGGACAACTTCCAACAAGTGCCAGAACATTTTGAACTTCATTTAGGATCTGGCGGGCACTGTAGAAAGAGTTCCATCTTGCAGCCATATTTCTGTCCACCCTTAGCGTCGTAATGCGCTGAGATGCACTACCAGGCCTCCTATTGGCACTTCCAGTCTCTCGGAGACCACGCACTGAGAAACGCCATCTGCGTCTCTGATATCCACTTGCTTCACAATAATATTGCAAACTTCGGGGTCAAGATGATGTCTTTCCATGGTAAAAGAGAGTCCGATTGGGTTAAAATGGAGAAAAGACGAGAAAAGATGTTTGTTTACAAAATGAGCAATCTTCAGGTTTACTATTCTTAAGAAAATCCGTCATTAAAAATGAGGATTAACAATTGTTTGTTTTTGGTTTTTATTTTCGATTTTGTTCTATCTTACCAACAAGAATGTGTAGGTTAATTTAATTGAAATTAATATAATACATCCTTATTCAATTTTGAGCAGTTTAGTTCAGTATACAGATATTTATCTGTGTTCTATTTATGTTATTTCGTGTTATCAAGTTAACGGTCGTGGTGGCGGTTTTAGTCCGTTGGAGTTGGTGAAACAATCGGAACGGCGTTAAACCGCATCCGTTCTTTCTGAGGACGGCGAACTTGCACGGCATGCGTCCCCCAGCCATCACAAGAGAGGAAGGAAGCCGTACCAAATCGTCTCCGATCGGTAATTAAATTTACGACAAAACTTTTATATCGTAGGGGCGGGGGGTAGGGTTTTAAATGTCCGTTAGGCCACGTTTTCAGCTAGGGTAGTAGAGAATAAAAAGGTGGCAGCTGCTCCGTAGACATCTGCTCGACCGGGAACCATTCAAACAGCCCACACCACTTGTTGAATCCGTCCGTATTGCACCATGTAGACTGCAATTAAATATCGGCATGGTGATCCCGTGAACCGACATGAAAACAAAACTCAATTCACGTTTCAAAAATTTCCAGTGAATTTGACGAACGATTAAAATTTTGCACCAAAATAGAAAATACAAGGCACCATCAGTTGCGACCTAACGTATTTTTCCACCCTACATGTCATGTCTATGAAAAGAAATAACTATCCACTTTCATATAAACTGTACGGAAATTGGACAAATGCTTCATTATCAAATTAATTAATTTAAAAAAACGCTAAATACCAGCCTAAGAAAAAATTAAAAGATTCCAAATTGCAACCATTCCTGCCATATTAATATAATATAAAATAGATTTCATGAACCACTAATTGTAAGTCTGAAACAGCAGGCTTATTCATTTATAAATTAGTTCACAGGTTAATTATTACTATAGAAAGCCGGGTCAACGAATTAAAATTATATTTAAAAAAAAACGAAATTTATAAAAATACGACATGTGAACTGAAGAACTACCTCATATCCATGAAACAACTTTACGTTTAAGAGTTAAAGTGTAAAAAAGGAAACTACACATTTTTGTAACAACTGTCGTTCCATTTATTAATTGGTGTGAACATAAAGCTTTCTGCGATTCTCACACAGGCCTGTCCATAAATCGATAAACACCCCAGTGTTATGAGAAAACGATTAATTAACTGTATTGCCATAAGAGAGTCTAGTTTTCGAACTATCCTTTTCCCCTGGGAAAATGGAGAAGCTGTGCCTTTCTGCATGACTATTACGGGTCGTTCGACTTCTCACAAAACCACATCGGAGGTAAATTTAATAATCTTGACTTATATAAAGTGTGTAAGTTGTTCTTTTTTTTTGCCCCACTTTCTGTGAGAAATATCGGGTCCAAAAAGTTACGCGGAAATATCACTTAGCCGTTGCGTAAACCAGTGGATGAAAATGTATCAGATGAAACGGAAATTACATAGGCATAGTAATTTAAAAATTTCTACACACATATTCATAATTTATCTAAAAAAAATAGTGAAAATAATTCAATTTTCTATCCAGGAATTTCTTTTCTGTAATTTGCACGTTTCCCCCAATTTGGACTGCCTATCCTCACTGTTTTCATCTGTCAGACGCGTTCTTTAATTTCTCGCCATGGTCAGTGCCTGCGTATGCCTATTCCCCGTCAGTATGTTCAACAAAACCACCGGGAATGGTGAAATAATAAGAACCAAATCTGACCAATCAACATTTGCCAAAGTCCTGAGTCGACGATAGGTATACAAACATGTTAAGAAACGACAAAACTACATCATTATTTTAGTGTGATTAATATTATAATTGCATATTAATTAAGTGAATCTGAAAGAAAGAAAAACCCTCACTTCCTTCGTCAAGTTTTCGAGGTAGATCTCGCCCACTTTTCTAAGCTAAATCATAAATTCCTTATGTTTAAAACCATAATTTGTAATATTGTAAGAAGATATTCATATTTGTTAACCATGTAAATAATTACAAATAGTTTCAATGTCAAGCGAACGAAAAAATCCTAAAAAGCTTGACGAAGGTACTGAGCGTTTTTCTTTCTTTCAAATTCACATTGTATCTAATTTTTTTTATTATTATTTCTTGTATAATCTGGTGAAAACTTATTCACTTTTATAACATAGACCAGCAGTAAACGGTCTCTGATGATAGCCAACCTAGTCTAGCTTCATCTTTTGAATTTCTACATCCTTAATATGTCAATTCCGCGTAAGCAGACACAATGCTATGCGGACCAGAATCAGGGACGATCATGATTATATTGTACGACCGAAATAATTATAATCCATAAGAAAACTCGCCCAAATTACTTATTTACGATCAAATATTTCATATTGTACTTCGGTCCAGATTAATTCCTTCACCAAATTTTGTCGTCTTTTTTTAACGTCATTCGAAACTCCGATTAATTTTTTAATCGTCCATGAATTATCTAATGATAGTTAAGACTACATTCAACAGTTTGACGATCATTTCCTTATCGCACCCAAGACGCACACGTGAAACCCTTATGCCTGTCGTTAGTGCAGGAATATCTCTTTAGTTTTTAGAAAATTCTGTTGCCAATTTTTTTTCCAAAAAATCTATATTGAAAATTATATATTACATAGCCTATTACATATTAAACAGTAAAAGACTATTTGTATAATTTATTGCCAAACTAACTCCTTTTTCTGCACCTAAAAATGTTAGTAAATAACATTAAGCATATGTACAATGTACATACGTATGTAATGTATGTGTAAAGAAATTTTTCTCTTTCATAAAGTCAACATTTGAATGATATTGATAACGTCGATGGTTTATCAACTGACGTTTTCTTAAATTTTTGTATACCATGTATAAAACAAGAAAATTTCAAACGTGACGAATTAATTGGAATAATTAATTATTAATATTGTTCAATCAGCATTTTAATGGATGCTTTGTGTAGTTTTACAAGAGAGCTTTAAAAAAAAACTACTGATATTCTGACTAAAGTAAATGTATTGATGGGCAAGTAGTTAAATTATTTTCTACAAATTATACCTGAGTTTCACCCGATTACCAAAACCAGGATTAACGATTGTATTAGCTTAATTACTTTTAATTAATTCAATTAGGCCTTTCATCTTACCGTTGTATTATTTTTGAAGGGCTCCAACTTCAAATATCTATGCTTGCCAAGGTTTGAAAAATTTAATAAAATAAAATGAAACATGTTGACTGTCCAAAGACCAGTTGATGAGCTTAAACGTCCATCCAGTACTTTATTTAACATTGAATATTGGCCTAATAATTTTTTTTTTAAGATCACTTTTGCCCAACGTGCTATGAATAAATATGAAAGTTGAATGGACTTTCTGACATTAACAAAAGATTATCCACCGGTTAAAAGGGTTATCTATTTAAACAAAATTGGCTTCTGAATTTTATTATCCGTTTTTGTTCTTAAAATTTTTTATTGGCCATTGTCGATTAGATTAAATTGTTAATATTTTCGAAAAATAATAATTAATAATATAAAGATAGAAATAAATAGATTAACGCTAAGAAATACATACTTAATACTTATTTATTTAGTAATTATAAATAAATGAGCATTAAGAATAAATATTCACATTGTGATATCACACGACATTATAAATTTAAAAAGGATCTCGTAAATGTCACATTCTCCTGATTCCAGTAACGAATCAAGTTAATGGATGCTCTATTGAAGACTTGGCGATTGCTTCATACATCCTCTCCCTCCGAAGCATGTATTCTTGGCAGAGCAGCATTATATGCCGCAGTTCTTCAACATCATCGCATGTCATACAATTTGTGTTCGGTCTAAATTCTATTTTTTGAATATAGGCCGATATACCGTATCCGGTTATAGTAGGATAAAACCTTTTTGTGTTTTCCACCTTCATCAAACCACGGTTTATTTTTGAGAGCGGGGGATTGGTAGTATATACCGATGTGCGATCCTTTTGTTATAACGTTATGATGGTTGACATAACTTTTCTAGAGGCGATCTAGCAGAATTATGCGTGTCGTGGACCTTGCCAGCATATCCACTGCCTCGTTATGCAGTACTGCTGAGTGACCTCTCACCCAGCATAGGGCTACTTTTTACTTTTTGCAGACAATTTGTTTATTTTCTTGATCGGTTTTCATTTGTAAAAAAGTTAAATTCGGCTTTGAAACTGCGCCGATTTTCACAGACCCGCAATACCACCACAGGTTAAAATATACAAAACGGTTCCCTTAAGCATTGAAATTACGGAATCAATGAGTTTAAATAGGAAAATAATGTTTTTTCATTGAAAAATTATAATAATTAATAAGGAGGAAACTTCGTGGATGCTGCAAAAAAAATGGCTTTATATCCCTACCAAGGCGCCAAAAATCTACTTTTTTGTTGTTTCCCTAAAAATAAAATGTGTTTTTGTTTAAATTAAATTTTGAAGAAAACCATTTTTTACATGAAAGTGTGATTAAATGATAACTGAAAACTTTTTTTACGATGGCATGACGACTATCTTAAGGGGGTTGCTTAAGAAAAATCAACAGGTGCTCCTGAAGGAATCGATTTTAGACTGAAAATTTTATACAAATTTGACTTTTCTTTTCTTTTTTTCCTTTGTAATGTATTTGTGTTTTGTTTTTCTTCATAGAAATTTTATATTTTAGTCTGTTAACAGGTGGTTTTGTACTTAAGTGTAAGTGTTTTTTTATTAATAAAATTACAAAAGATTGAAATTTTTATATTACCTTGGACAGCGATGGGCAATAGGAAGCCGCAAATTGCCAAAAGTAAATAATCCAAATGCCGCTTCATAGTACAAAGAAGCGACTTAATCCACTTTAAAACACACACAGGGTCACGTTAGTCGCATGTCACTACACTAGGGGCCGCGCACTTATATTAAATAAAACCGATAAAAATAAATATATGAAATGGGAAAATGCTGGATAATACCGGAAGAAAGCACACTTTGGATCAACACAAATATACGAGTTTAAGTCATGATACGACGTTGACAAGACGGAGGCCAGTAGGCATCTGCTATTGTTATAACGTGCCCTGGTGGGGTGAACGTATTCCTCCGCGACTGTGGGAAAGTAAGAGGCCCCGGGCCGCTCCTTTGGAAGGGCACGATTGGTCGGATAGTTTTGGAATCCTTTCGTCTTATAATTTACAGACGTTTGCAGGCGGTTTTGGATCTTTGCTGAGAGGTTTTTCTGAAATGAAAAGCTCGAGCTGTGGGCACTACTTGATGGAGCTTAGGAAGAATGGCGGAAAGCTATCCTGGGACAGGGCGCCCCTTCAGGCAGATACGCGAGTTAGCCAAAGCCGACTATTCGGTTTCTGTATTACACTGTAATACTGTATTACATAGAAAATGTAATATTAAATCACAAATTTAACAATTCTTATTTTGAAAAATAAAAACGTTAACTTGCATCATCTAAACCTCCAATCAATTACCCAAATGAATCAATTTGTAAAAAAAACTACTACATATCTCGATTTTTAAAATAAAATAAAGAAATAATTTTTTAAAAAATCATATACTTAAAAAATTAGTATAATGAAAATGAAGTTTACACAACAAAACGTCGCGTGCCCCCCCTCTGACGGCATGTCTGGAGACTTCAACTTGGGTATAAGCGGAAGCGCCAGGACTTGGCAGTCGATCGCTGCAAACTCATTTAGGTCCTCCGTGCTTTTTTTGGTTTATATCAAAATCAGAGTTCTAATGCCCTGAAATGTTTCATTTTCTATGAAAAAGAAATTGAAAAACAATTAGAACATGCAAAAGTGACCTGTGTGAACTTTCGGTCCACACCTCACACTAACGGTGACGCAATTACAAACAAAACCGATTATCAAGCATTACTTCGTACTTTAAATAATTTAGTAGATTTTGTCTAAAATAAACTTTATGCTTTACTCGCGGGACAACTATAACAATCCAGGATTATCATCTCTCATTTTGGTTCCTTTGCAAATATGTTTTTCCTCCTAGTATATTATTATTAAATATCATTTTCAAAACTTTTAAACTTCATATTCAGAACATAAATAGCAAAACTAAAATGAATTATTTTGATATAAAATAAGAAAAGAGCGACACATCACATGGTTGGGAGCTTTATGAAAGCTAAGTACATTCGTGCCGAAACGTGAAAAGGATATATTTTTTGTCAAATAAACAATACATCATAAACAGTAGCGCTAACAAAGGCCACGATCATATTTTAACAATATTCCCAGTTAGTTATTTTATTTTATAACTATGGATTCTTGGGTAAGTCCTTGTCAATGGAAGCAAACCAATTTAAATTTTAGTTGAGGTCTGACAGTTTCAAAATTCAAGATACACAACTTTATGTTAGATAACGTGAGTGACTCTCAACCTCTCTCACACTATATATATACTTGTACATACTTGGGCTAAAGCCTCTTCCAATTTCCATTTATTCTCGTCACTTTTTTTCTTTCTTTAATTGTTGTCCATCGATTTCATCTTACTTGTCATTCCTTCTAACCGTTTTCTGGTTTTAACCAAGTTAGCTCCTGTACAAGTAATGGNCATGAAACTCGCAAGTTGGAACCTCTTGAATTTTTCCAATATTCTTTTCGACGTCGTTTATTAATTGTTGTGCAGAATTTTATTGCTCCAATTCATCCGTGAAATGTGAAACGTAACTAAAATTATGAAATATTTAGTATCACAGAAAAAAATGTTGTGTAGTTCTCACATCCGTTGAAGGTTTATTAATATTCTTTATTATTAATGTAGACTATCACCAAACGATATAAATTGTTATTTTTACTATTTCTCTTCTTAAATAGAATTTTTCTCAATTAGGCCATATAGTTTCCTAGTTAATTTAGTACAATAGACTTACATTTAATACAATTTTTAATTATAAATTCAATTTAATATTCTAACTAAAAACTGATTAGTGGGTTTTTGATTGTTTGCACCTAAACTTTAAAATGACAAGAAGCTATTGCAATAATTAGAATGTTTACCAAATCTCAAAATGTAAGAAATTCTATAAATTTTATTACTATTGCTACTTTTCTTTTTCACTTTGTAATATTACAGGAAAATCCACGCAATTTTTTTATAGCTTAAACACAACAAAAATGACTAAAGATTTTGCAATCCTTGGGTTTCTGTCCAAATCTTTAAACTTACACGAAGCGGCATTATCAACTATTATTATGTACTTTCCTCGGCATGAAGTAAAATCACTAATATGGTTTCAGAGTATCGTGTGCTAAAATATTATTTTGACAATATTCATTTTAAATTCATTCCTTAAGAACAACACTTTTATCTTAAGAAATGCCACACCTAATGTAACAAAACCCATACAAAAAAAAGATTTAATATTCAAACAAAACACGTCAGACAGTGAAAATACAGACAGTTTAATCCTCAAACCCAAAAGTTGTTTGGGGAACTTTGTTATTTATTTTTATTTATTTATTTACAATAATTAACGGATTATGCCTTTTACATAAATGAAAAAGAAAAAACCAGCCAGGTTTCTAACACAAACACATAGATAAAACTAAACCTAAGTTAAATACAAATAATAATTGAACAATAGTATAATGAACAAAAATACACATAAAATTATAAATGAGATGAACAATAGACGTTTGAAAATACTTAAAGAAGTATATATCAATGTAACCAGATAGTTTATTAAATACTCTTTTAATTCTGTCTATTGGATGATAATAAGTGTAATTAGTTCTGTGATAATGAATGAAGAAAGAACTTATATTTTTTAAGTTATAGCTGCGGGGAACCTTGATGTTAATTTTCAAAAGTAATTCTGGACAATCTATTAAATTCTGTATCAATTTGTATAAGAAAATAACGTCACGTTTATCTCTCCTAGAAGATAGTGTTTCTAAATTACAAAAGGAACATAATTTGTTCTAAAATTGGAATTTTCTCGCTTTTCATCATGTTTAAAATATATGTATAACTAAAGGATTTATGTTGAACTTTTTCCAGAGAATGTGTGAGTTATTATTAAATAAGTAGACCAAACTGTTGAGCAATATTCAAAAGGGATAGGACTGATGCATTATTATAATTAGTTGATTTTTGACATCTCTACAACTATTAATAATAAAGTCTAGTCGCCTAATAGTTTTATTATGAATGAAATCTATATGACTTGAATACGATAAGCTATCAAGATTATACCCAAATCAGAGGTTCAGTATTTTCCAATACCCGGTTAATTAATTTATATGATGTTGGGATAGAGTTTTTGGCCCGAGAGAAACTAAAAAATGACATCTGCAATATTGTTTACATAAACAACAAAAAATAAAGGTCCGAAGTGCGACCTTTGAAGTATACCATTGGTAGCTTCAAACTGTTTGGAGTATGAACTGTTTATGGAGTCTGATAAGTATCTATACGTTATATAGCTTTGAATCCAGGACAAGTGAGGTTACACTATTCCATAAAGCATGATTTTAGAGACAAGACGTGTTACAAGTAGATCAAAAGCTTTGGCCATGTCTGTGTAGACTGTATCATCTTGAGTTTTCGCTTCTAAATTGGTATACAAAAAGTCAGAGTAAACTACTAAGTTAGTTTCCGTGGAACGCCCTTTGGTAAATCCATGCTGTTGAGAGACGATGATTTTTTGAAGAATCGGGAAATAAAATCGTGAACTAGGCTTTCAAATAGTTTAGGAATAGAAGAAAGTTTAGCGATACGATGGTAAAATGTGTCTTTGTTTTTATAAATAGGAATAATGTGAGAGGTCTTCCAAATTAAGGGGAAATTCCCAGTTGCTAATGAGAACAGACAGAGGAAGAACTAAGCCTTCAGCATGTTTTAAGACACAACTAGGAATATTATCTGGGCCAGTATTGGTCGATTGCTGATTTTAGGTGCTTCAATGCAGTATACATTAGAATTAATGGTTTAATTTGGCCGAAGAACCTAATAATTAACCACCAAATGCACAACTTTCTTGGAATGTAATCCGGCTTTTAGACTTGTTAACGGTGTGTCGCTGCGTTTTCCCCAGTAGTTTCTTCTCTAAACATTGTTGTTATAGGCCGACGTTTCATATTAAGTTATCTTTTTAAAAATGAGTCGTAAGAGGGAATCGAAGATGGAGATGCGGTTCAATAATTTCTTCTAGGTCAACATGTAACCCAACGACAAACATATCCAGGTGTTTTCAGATGCGTTGAAATGCTTCTATGAAAATATTAAGTATCTGCGATTTTTCGTTTCGTTGAGTGTGTTATTTGCGACAGCTTGAATTTGGATAGAGGGCTTTGCATGTTCGAAACCAATATTTCCTCTTCTGAACCGACCAAACCGTCAATGAACGGAGCTTTCTACTAAAACAGATCACAAATTTTCCTACCAGCTTGTGCTGCGGTTTACCCTTTTGCGGTAACAAAAATCTCATTAAATGACAAAATCGCACTGTTTTTTCTCCATTTTATACAAGCGATATGATTGAGATAATAAATAAAAAAGAGGTTGACCTCCACTTCATCTGGGTCAAAGCGCATCATGTAAATAGGCACAACAACGAAGTAGACTTACTCGCAAAAGACGCTGCACAGAATGGTTCCTTACAACATTATCGTCCCATGTGATATCACGGCTCACCTGAAACAAATTGCAAGGAGGAAATGGCAGAAACAGTATAACGAGTCCAAAACAACGAAAGGCCAGTACTACGCTAATATACAGCCTAGCATCCAACATAAACCCTGGTACCTTAAAGTGAATAGACCAAGAAAGTTCTTCACGACGATATTCAGGTTACGGTCTAATCATAACCAATTACCATACCACCTTGCCAAAATTGGTATTGTGGACAGCGCCGTTTGTGGATGCGAAGCGAGGACCATTGCCGACTCAAACCACGTGATCCTGGCATGCAAAAGAAACACGATGGACAGGGNCAGACCGCATCTCACCATCTCCGAATAATAAATAAGCGAATTACCTTGTAAAAATACAAGATCTCAGACGAAACTGACGAGTAAAAACACATTAACTAGTCTCTTTTCGGAGTGTGTAAACAATAATTTTTAAATAGACATTGCTTCATAACCCAAAAGGCTATCCCTTTATTAATCTATCAGTTTTATCAATCGAATTATTGATAAACACTACGGACTTATATTATAACAAAGTTCGATACTTTATCAAAAACTTTTTTAGCCCTTTTAAAGGAGCTAGAGATCCTATTCAAGGGGAAAGTATCAAATCTGAAAATCTAATTTTTTACATTCATTAGTTTGACATGGTAGCAACAATTACATATATAATGCTTTTTCATTTTTTTTATTTATTATTTTTAATTATTTTTAAACAATATCCTTTCAAATCAACTATTCGTACTGCATTGAAAGGTAAAGTCGACATCCTAAAATACTAGCCTCTCATTTGTACCTCAGGTTTTCAACTACTCATAATATATACATCACCATTCTGTACAAACCGAAGTCTGGTCACATTCACTCCACTGGAGTATTCGATATTCCTCGGGGCGGGATCGAACCCACTCCATTCTCGCTAATAACTTACTTTTACTCTCCAGGCGTCACACACTCACCCCAGAGTACTTTATTACATCCCTTATTACAAGGGAGGGTATTTATTTAAAAACTATCAATTTTACAAATTTTAAGTCATCTTTGTTGGGGGGTTTTACTTTCGAGGATTTACTGCATAATATAGACTTTCTTTAGAGAAATAGAAAACTTTCATTGTCCAGGGGCATGTCTGTGTGATTGCTCAATCGTGTTTGCTGGTTTTGATTATTTTCCAAATAAGGACCGCTTTGGGATCTTTTTAAACATAACGACACTACGAAAACAGCATTCAATAGCATAAACCTTAGATGATTTTTTATGTATATAAATAAACATTTTTCAGGATTTGACCGTTTTGTACAACCAATTGCAGATTTGCTTTCTAAATTCTATTTTCTCTTTGAAACGCTATTATGAAAATAAGGATATTTACAAAGGAAGATAAAGGAGCAAACTAAGGACTAATAATTCACTGCGGTTTGACAATAAAAACATGTTTACAAAGGCTTATTCATAAACCATTATCAGAAATATGATTTCCATTTTTAAAACAAAATCACTTCCCTTTATAGGCTTGAACATATAGGGGATTTTTTTATGTTCTTGAATCCTGAATAGCTTTATATTATTGAAAGCATTACATAATAAAACAAGTTTGTTACTTGAATTTGAACTATTCTGAGCATTTTTTTTAGTATCCGCCATTGATAGAAGAATCCTTATTTTTATAACCCCTTTCTTATTTTTCGGCGGAAAGTATACATCACAACATTTCAGCGCTCTGTACAAACGACCGAGGACGATGAAACGACATTCTTCCATGAGATTTCTATCTTTTTTTAATTTTTAAAATTACAAACGCGCTACTAGAGAACCTCTTTTAGAAGTTTGTGTAAAGATTTATAACAATTCAACTTATACCGAAAAATCACTTTCCAAATTCTATTGTACAAATTTGACTTCTAGCTTTGACGATTCAAGTTCGGATTTCTAAATGTGCCGTTATCCCATAAAGTTATTAGGAAGGTATTTGCTGATGAACTTAAACGGATTAATCTTGTAAGTCATAAAAATTATAAGAAAGACCTTCTTTTTGAAATTTAAACCACCGTAATCGCTTCAAGACTTGCAAGAAGAAAATTAATTAATACATCAATAAAAAGTCAAAGGAGCTTAACCATAAGCGCATTTTCCCTTGGCAAATCCCTTCTGAAACTTTCAATTCCCTTGCACTTAGCTTTCCAGGTGGACAATTGACCTTAATATTAATAATCCCTTTTTAATACTTGCCCTGAAATACCCTGTTTATTGTAGTAAAAAATAATTAAGGGAAGGGGGGGCGTCGCAACGGTTTCGTCGTTTAGACGGCGCTCATTACTGTAAGGTAAAGGTCCCGTGTTCGAATCCAGCGGCCCTGCATTCGAACCCGACATACTTACAAATGAGCTTTTTTTTCAAAAACACCGGCACCCCATATGACCTCTGCTGTAGCGAACCCTCGTTAAAAAAAAAAAAAAAAAATAAGGGAAAAATGTTGCAGACTAAACCCTAGAAGATTTTTTTCCGCGTATTGTTACTATTTTAAAAGATGTTTTTCGTCATTTTCCATCAATTATGACAGAAATTAAATTTAATGAAAATATGACAGAAAGGGAAAAAGTAGTGGTAATATCAATTGTTTCGTGAAAGCGGGTTTCTAGGATCGGTAGCCAAGGGCACGGAGTTAAATCGATAGGGTTTTTCATTCATCCTTTCGTAACAGGACCGGTACACTTCACACTTAGTAATTATGGCAGATATAACTTTGGAATCCGAAGAGCTCGTGACAGCAGAGCTCAACGAAGAGATCATGACTCTGAAGAAGAAAATCCAGCTTTCCGGCAAGAAAGAACTGCCTAGATTGAAGTATAGGCGATTGTCAACAAAGTTCCGTTTGTTCCAGAGGGGCAAAGGAAGGCACAGTATGAGGAATACGACTCGGAAAAGAAGAAAAACGCCGAGGAAATCAAACGGCTCAAGAAGGAGATAAAAGAACTATCTGCCGCCAAACCATCCGAGGTAAATTATATATTATATTGGAAAAGTTTGCCCTAGAATTGTCAAGAGACAAGATAAATTGGAATCTAACACAAAAGAAAACAAAACTTAAAAACAGCAGATGATCGCCAGAGGAAACATGGTACCATGAATTACAGTTTCCTCTAACAGATTTATAACTTTAATAAATAAGAACTGTTTACAATCTATAAGGTCTAAGTGCTATCAGTTATGGATTTATAACACAATTATTGATGTGAGATTTTTAGTGACCGTTAGTCAATGATTATTCGGAGATCGTGAGATGCAGTCTGGTGTGACGTAAGTTTTAGAAAAACATTTTCTTTATCGTGCCAACGTTTCGATCTTTATTGAGATCATCTTCAGGACCTGGGATTTATATAAACATTGTTTAAATTTTACAAATACACATCCTATATGTATTTATTTATAAATCCCAGGCCCTGAAGATGATCTCAATAAAGATCGAAACGTTGGCACGATAAAGAAAATGTTTTTCTAAAACGTCACACCAGACCGCATCTCACGATTTCCGAATAATAATTATTGATTATCAAATCTGTTCTTTTGACTGGTGAATTTTGATGAGAAACCGGACAGACTAAGACAAAAACAAAAGAAGAAACGTAAAGAGAAGTGAATCTATGTAACACTGCGTTCAATAATTTTGATTTTTTTGTATGTTCATGAAATATTATTAAAAAGATAGATCTATATTATTACTGATTACTGACTTATGTAAGCTCAAATCTGCACATGCCCGTACACACACACGCGTGTACAGAGTTGAGCCTATTACTTCTCGCAATCCACCGGCATGCTCAACCCCCCCTGGGTGTTGGCTGTCCGGGGTCAGACCTCGGTCCGAGGTTAGGCTCCGGGTGCTGTCAACAGCTAGGTCATTTCAGCTCTATATACAAACCCGTTAACACTCTCACTCACACTTAAATGTTTTTTCTGTTATCGACATAACATTCACTCAGCTAGGGTGATGGGAGTACTGGATATTCCTCCATCACTCTTTACACCTACTATATGACTAACCTAATTGTGGTTCGAGGGGTACTCAATATTCCGCCAACGACCTTCTCACACTATACATTCAGGCCAATAAATACATTCATTATCAACACACACTAGTGAACACAAAACAATACATATATCAATACAATAAAGCGACCCAGTTTCTCCAAAAATCGGAACATGGGGTAGACGTATAATTTACAAAAAGAAATGTTTAATCGCTATTTATTTACAGATCGACGAAGAACTCATAAAAATGTCAGGTCTTCCTATAAAAGAGCTGAAAGAGTTCTTGAACAAGCCACCCGAGGAGGTCGAGAGGATTTTGGACCTGAAAAACATGGACTTGAGAAAGAAGCTGGACTTGATCAAGTACGAAATTTTCAAGGTAGGCTACAGTTTAAAGTCCCGATGGCCACGACTTCTTTTATATGGAAGGTGTAATGATTTGCACAAGTGGTAAGAAATTAGCCTGAGCACGGTGCGAGAGTTTGCGAACGGTCACATGGGACCTAACTAATTAGAATTGCAACGCCTCATTTCACAACAGTTGCGTCACAATTTTATTTACAAGTGTACCACCGGTCGGCAGTACGTTCACCGCCTAGAGGATCCCATGGCTAAAGCCCTAATTGGATTTTGTAATACTGATACAATTGACTTTACGTAATTTTAAGGCTGTTTATTGGGAAAATATGTTTTCCCCAGCGACGTGTAATAACGCAAGATTCCATGTCCAACAGTTATGTTTTAATTTACACCTACGCCAGCGCTTTAGAAAATTTGCATTGGGATGGGAAGTATGTTGTTCTAAGGACAGATTTGTAAAGGTAGGTAAAGGAAACTACACTTTTTTAGGTAGGTGCCAACATTTTCAGAATTAAAAAACGTGATACCCACCATATATCAAGTGAGAAATATATATTCCCCGTCAAAAATATTCAACACTTAAAAATATCGATATTTCATAGTTTTTGACTTTAACCCACGTTCTGTTTGTTCTATGAGACACATTGGGATTAATCATATCATTATCAATCACTGTATGCCCACAAACGAAGGATCAAAGTTTTTCTTAGTCCATTTCAAGTTCCTTTCATAGTATCTAATAGAAATGCGGATCGCTGCTTAAAGCATTCTGTGAATAGAACTAGTTTTTCCAAAAAGTGAATTGACATACTCACCCTACCTCAAATTATTTCTATACGATACAGCCAGTGTTCCATGAGGTAACAGTGTCATTTGTAGAAGGGTCTATGCTGGGAATTTCTTGGGTGGCACTTACCGAGAGGGTAGTCTTGGTGCCAATGCAACATAAATGCCGTAAGATACATGGAGATGATCCTACAAGGTGATGTAGTGCCCTTTATGCCTTTGTTAAGGTCGCTCCAGACAGAATAGCTGTCAATCAACATTGTTATTCAACCCTCACCGAGACTGGCAAAAACACTTCTGCAATTGGAGAGGGCCCAACTCAGAGGAGTGGTAGGGCTACTAACCGCTCATTGGTATCTGAGAAAACATCTACACAACATGGGTATATACAGCGACGATCCCATTTGCAGATTATGTAATGAGGAGGAGGAAACAGCCACTCATATCATATTCGAATGCGAAGCAACAGCTCAATGGAGGTTTAACCTAACGTACGGAAAAGACTTAGGGAATCAAATTGCAGCAGCGTCAGTCGGTGACCTGATACTTCTAAGAAGAAGGATTGAGTCTATTAACTGAACTAAGGAACTAGGAAGGTACAATAAGCCGGAAGGCTGCAGTGCCTGGGAAATACAAACCCCGCTTCCTAGTTACCTTTTCCACCATACACTGCTATTTATTTTTCAATAATAAACTATTCCTAACCAGTATAAAGTACTAATGAAAGAATTCGTAGTGTTCCTCGATCTGTACCAACCTGAACTAACAATTTGGAACGCTTCTCTTCCGAATCACAAAAATCAGAACGAGGTTTTCGATGCTTGGAAAAGGTCGAGAGTAAGATGGGGCAATAGTGCTCTGTGTCTGATTTGTAACTGAGTTTGTAGTCACTACCAAAACAGTAACGACACTCTCGATCAAGGTATGGTCTTGAAGAAGAAAGCAGATTTAGTTGCTACTGCCAAGCTTTCTACCTATTTTAAGGACATCATCAGAGCAAAACCGTCTTAAATATGTCTACAGATTGACATATTTAAGTTTTTACAGGCGATCTCAAACTTGCTTGAAGACTGACTCATTTCCAATGTTGAATCGATACTGATACAGTCCGTGGCAATGTTGATCCAAAGTGTTCGTAAGTGAAAAAGTAGTCGATAAACTGAAAACAAAACAGTAACCGCAGCTGCAGCAATAACAGATTCACTGCTGTCCATTATAATTGGTAGTAAGTTTAGCACTCACACGGCATTTGGCAAACACATATCCCCTGTTTCCGCACAAACTGGCTTGGTTCTATGAACCGCGCATATCTCTAGATACATAGGTGCGCTATTTGGCGAATGCCAAGACGAGCATCTCGAGACGTTCGGCTGTAATCGCATTCGGCGAATGCCGAATGTCTGGAACACCTTTAGGCTCTGAATCATTGCTTATCCAGCATGTGTTTCTGAGTACTTAAACATTACAGATATTCATGCACTAGAGGGCCAGCAAGAAGTTAAGCAAGATGGGACTCAAAAGAAAAGATCTTTCACAGATACAATCCCATATTACTCTTCTAATGCTAGAGGCAGCAATATTATAGAAGTGGATAACATACTCCAAGATTTTATACAAAAACGTTTTATGATGGCAAAAAATATGGAAGAGGAATGGCAAAAAGTCCTATTCACCAACGAGACGGGAGGCCCCTCAGCGGATACTAGATGCCATTTTAAATCGAGAAACCAAAAATGCACCAAATTATACCATGTGCTTTGTTAAATACTGTTAAACTGTAGTTGATATTGTATTTGGTATGGAAAATCAAACCGTTATTACTCGCTGTTTACATTACAAAAACATAAAAATTCGTAATGTTTTTCTTCATCTTCAAATATAGTTGTATCCAATTATGGGCCCGCTTGTTCTCGCCGTTATTCCGAAAAAAAGTATAAAATCACAAAAGATAAGTCGACTTACAACAAACAAATTAACTGTTATTTCTAATAAAAATAATATTATTTAAAAAGTAGAGAAACGAACTTTCAGAAGCAAGAGAAGATATTAGATATTACTAAACAGATGGAGGACTTTTTGATGGAAATGGACCAAGACGCAATAAGCAAATACTCTGAACCTATTCAGAAGGTATGATAAAAGAAGACGTGAGTTATAACCAACATATTAACCGAAATTTATATTAGGAAATATCGAGATTAGAAAACAAAATACACCTCGTCAACGTCAACGTTCTTGAAATGCGACACATGCAGAAGAAATACGTCAGGATCAAGCAGAGTCTTCAAGAAGACAGCGTTTATTTCGAGAGCACATTGAAGAAATTCGAAGAAGATATTGCAAAACAACAAACAGAAATTCAGAGACTGCAGGTTTTAAACCAATCCCGATTTAATTAGCATTAATAATTATAATAAACGATTGGCAGGAGGTTAAAGACGAAGCGTTTACACTGAGAGACAAGACGAGGAACGCCCTGGCGAAACTAGAAGCTGAAGTTATAGCCGAGGGAATAGGCAGAGAGCAAGAACTGCAAGACTTGAGGTTCGGTCAAATGTTGTAATTTGTTGGGATCTTTTACGTTTTTGTGTCTTTTTCAGGAGAAAAGTCGAAGAAGGTAGGGCCTATTTAGAGAAGGTCGAAAGAAAACTAGTACCCTCGGTGAAAACCTTGGCCAGGGAAGAATCGGACGATGCGGACCGTTTAGTCGAAACCGAAGATCTAGCGGCTAAGGAAGCTATTGAAAAATCTTTATCCAAGCTCAAGCACGTAACAGGTAAATCCAAAAGAGTAGAACAGTAGAAAAAAAATCTTACTGTTTCAATAAATACATTTTCTGTATTTGAAGGAGCAAAAGATGAAATGGACGTTATACGTAAATTCAAAACGCAGAATGAAACCAAAGACAGGCTCGTCAAGCTGAAAGAGACAGTTGAGAAGGAAAAACGCGACCTGGAAAAGCGAAAAGAAAGCTTAGAATCGGAATTAGAAGCTCTTAAATTTGCTCAAGTCAAAGAAAAAGAACAGTAATATGTTTTTAAAATTCATCATTTTCAGTACTTATATGTTTATAATTATAAATCAAGGAACGAAGAGGAGTTAGAAAAACTGAAAAACAGCATCGTCAAGAAAAAAAGTGAGAAAATAAGACTAGAGAGCGAATTCGAAAACGACGAGAAACAGTTGAACGATATTATAGAGTTCTTTTACGACCTGTGCAAGCTGATGAAGGTGAAATAAATTTGTAACAAGAGAAAGGACGATTTATACATTTTTGTCCCCGCGCAGGGTTTCGAAGATACCCCAGCCCCGGAGAGAAATGAAGATGAAGAGATACCGGAGCTCATAGAGACGGTTGAAATCAAGATAGCTGCCTTGATGAAGTATGTGGAGGACAATGGTATATTGGATGAAATGCTGACGGACGAGATGGTAAGTAAAACATAAACATCTTTCTCACTAGGGGTAAAATTTACCTAAAAATTTCAGCAATTTTAAAAGAATAATAAGAAAATCCCTCAACCCTTGTTTAAAAGACACTGCTTAAACAATGGATGGTAAATCTGCAACATTCTCCCTTCATCACGGGATAAATTTAGTATAAATGTATTCATGGTGATATAAATATTATAATTTTATATTAAAAATCGGTTATAAGGCTAATTGGAAAGAGATCGCTCAGTTCGTCGAGCTTTCGAGGAATATATTCCCTCCATCAGAACATTGAAACTATTATTAATCGCTTGCATACAAGTATAAGAAATACCTATAAATTTTAGAATGGCAAAATGTTTCGCAACTATAAATATCTTTAATCTACAAATTTGCCTAAAATAGAAACTATGGGAGAGCCTTTCAAAGCGCTTATATGGTGGTGAAACATGGCTGATTAGGATCGTGAATAAAACAAAAACTAAGGACTGCGAAAGTGTTTGAGGGATAACCCTGCGCATAACTAACTTGCATGCTTAGTCCAAACTGAAAAGAATTTTGTAAGAAGGAAATGCGAAATCCCATCCAAGTTGAAAGGGTAAGAAGTGAGAATAAAATGAGACGGCAAAGTGATAAAACGGTATCCTCGACATTGGAAAACATTCAAGGGCAGGCCTAAAAAAGAAATGGGAAATATGAGATGATGGAGGAGATAGGTGGAGTGTTGTAGATTAGGACGGGCAGACAAGCACGAGTGTTGGAACGTTGCCGCATCCTTCTTTCAATATAAACATTATAAATAAATAAATTGTCTTTATATGTTTCTTTAACGTATTTTCGATTATTATCTTTCACATAATGAAGTTATTTCCTTTCTGTTCCGTTCCGTAATTTCTACTTTAATGAGCAGTAATTGTTAATTTCTAACTTTTTCATACTTCTTGTTATTGCTAGGTATGCTTATCGTTTCTATAGCCAATTAATTCATTACTTTAAAGGTTTGCCCCATTGAAAAGATAATATTTATCATTAACAGTACATTTTAGAATGTAGAGATTATTTATGGACAGTAGTTCTTTTATTCCTTCTTCCTGTATACAATTTACAAATAACCAACAAAAAAATTAATTCAGCCGCCCATTCTAGTGTGATGATTTAATATATTAATCCTTAATATCATGGAAGAAACACGTTCAAAATTCTGAAATTAATTTCATTATTGCTGAGTAAAGTTAGTAACATAAATGGTAAACTATGTGTATGTTGGCTATGTTTTCATGAAAGAGAGACGAGAGAGAGAGAAATAACGAGAGAATGAAAGACAGAAAGAAAGTGAGGGAGAGAAAAAAGAGAGATATATAAAGAATAGAGAGAGGAGATACTAAAAGAGAGAGAGAGAGAGAAAGAAAGAAAAATAGAAAGGAGGGAAAAAGAAGAAGAGAAAGCATAAGGGATAAAAGGCAAATGGAGAAAAAAGGAGGAAAAGTGGAAAGAAAGAAAGAGAGNAGAGAGAGTGCAAGAAAGAGGAGACAGCAAGAGGAGAGAGAGAGAGAGAGAGAGTGCAAGAAAGAGGAGACAGCAAGAGGAGAGAGAGAGAGAGAGAGAGAAGAGAGAGAGAAATAATAATGGAGGAAAGAGAATGGGGAAATAGAAATAAAGACAAGAAGAAATCAAGAGAGGAGAGAGAAATAGAGGAGAGAAAGAGTGGGGAAAGAGGGCGAGTAGAGAGAGGAGAAGGAAAGAGATGGGACAGAAAGAAAAAGTTAGGAGAGAAAGAGAGAGAAAGAGGAAAGAAGTAGAATAGAGAGAAAGTGCATAAAGAGAAAGAGAAAAAAATTGAGATGAGATAGGATGAATGAGAGAGAATGATATGTGTTGTTGTATGATAGGTGTTGTACGTTCACATAGCCATCGTCATTGTATATGTAAATAAGAGAAGGTGATAAACAACATCCTTGTCAGACATCTCTATCGGCCCAGTCAATTTCTTCCCAGCATTGATGAAAATTTAAGTCTTCTTAAGATTAGATTTTGTTATCATATTTACTTTCAGAAGTTTTCATGCAGGGTACTAAATACATTCACTCCTTAAAGATTCTATCATTAACAAATTACATTCATACCAATACAGCAAAATTATACTATACGTAATTACTTTTCAAATGACACTAGTCCTGAATTTTGGCCTACCAATAAATACTAATTCTGGCCTAAACATTAACATAATGAGGTTTTCTCTTAGTGTCTCCAGGTTGATGAATAGTTTTGACATTTCAGATTATTTATTCACTTTGTTCTTATCACATCAATTGTACAAAATTACTAAGTTATGAATGTAGAAGCATCTTTACTGTGAAAAAGTAATTATTTATCTCTTTGCCCCCAGCTCGAGGAAAACCTTGGAATAGAAGAACCTTTTGATAAGAAAGGCGAAGGCGAAAAGGAGGCGGATAAAACTGAAATAACAGATGTCCCAACAAGGACCTTCCTCAAAAGGCAGTCGCAACTCATCGTCGAGGCAAAGACAAGAAAGAGAGGCTTTAACCGTGATCCAATACCAGGATACAAATAAAATAAATTTACCTTTTGTACTTTTATGACTAAAAAAAGTAATTTTAAATTTCAACAGTATATCTGTCTATTGGTCTCTGAATTTCCCTGATATAAAAATACAATTTTTCATGTAACATTGTTACTTAATATTCTATTGGGTGCTTCAGCCATTAAGTTTACAAGTAACTTATCGCATGTGGAATATTCAATATTTTTGTTTTGTAACTTACTATTTTTTTAGATTTTGCAAAACCCCTTGTTGATTTATTTCCTCCATTTTTATCAATATTGTAGTTGGTGCTCATTTGGTACTAAATAAAGTCATCCTGATGAATTACCATTCTGGTCCAATCAGACATGTTTTGTTTGTTTCATGATCACCCAATAATTAAATGTAAATTTTTAACAAAAACTACCATTCTGTTTATTACCGTTTTATTTATTATTACTTGTTTATTTATTTTTGTGACTGAATTTCCATGTTAACCACTAGAAAAAAGTTACTTACAAAACGAACTTATCAAACCAACATGTGGGGAGTATCCTCTGGCCCAGCCCCTAAAGGGCCAACCAATCCAGTCGCAACCAACCATCCAGGAGGAAGAACAGGCCTACCATTTAGTTATATAATAGTGTACGTACGTTTATTTAAGTAATGAGGGTGGATGGAAATAAAAACCAATGACAAAGATAAAATATGGAAAAGTTCAAATCTTGCTAAACTTGCTCTGGAGGCCCCTTTCTCAACCCAACAAGAAGCAACAGCCTTATTAAATAATTCAAAGCAGCATTAATAATTTAGAATGCATCATTTAAAAAGTGTTGAAGGTTAATGGGAATTGGGTAGATACAAACATTGCAAAATATGGATACTTTCATTTTATTTATAGTATGATCTTGCCTATGGATACATTTTATGTTCTTGTTGTACATTTAGGTATTATAAAAAAAACAATATACAAGAAACATGAAAAAAATATAAACATTTATAATTTTCTTCAATATGAAGAAAAATGTTTAATGATATATGTTTGGAAAAGAATTTAAGTGGATATTTAAAAAAAAAAAAACACGTATACAATATATAAAATGCTAGAAAAGAAACTACAAGCCAAAAATAAAGTGACATTATTTGCCTAGAATTAAAATAAAATATCAATAACTTATTATTTCGGCAATTCGCGCCGAAATAAAACATTACACTTGTATTCCTTATGAGTAAAACTTTTTGATAATAAATAAATAATTAAGGATACAAACTTGTTTAAAACAAAACTTGGCATATTTAAATAATAAAAAAACCATCTCCGAAGACTTAACAGTGTCAACGATATTGGCAGTGGTTTGGCAGTGTAAAAATTTCTTGTATTTCTTATGGCTTCTATAACATAATTTTAATTATTACATACTGAAGAAAACATATCTTTCCATCATACTTCACACATATAGAGCGTTTGATAAAATGAGTTTACCGATAACTTTTTGAGAGGAACTTTTTATTTCCTTTCTATTATAATATCTCTAAACCTTTTATTTTTCCAGCTGATGTGGAATATAAGAGCTAAACAAACTAAACCAATTCCTATTCAAAATTTTAATTTAAATGGAAATAAAAAGAACAAAATAACCCAAAATTATGATGCCTTAATTAAAAAAAAAAAAATTAAAAATAATACAAATTACAGTTAACATAAACTTGGAAATAAATATTATTTTAAAAAATGTTCTAACAAGAAAAGACTAGTTCTGTACTAATGAAGAATAAAGTGTCACAAAGGAATGTTTTAAAATATTTTTCTAAATAAGACATTTTTTTTTTAATTATGACTTTTGTTTATGGAACATGGATCAGCCTTCTACAATTTTAAGGATTCAGTTCACTCTACGATACTACAACTAAAAACAAGAAGAATAAACATTCAATCCCCACCATCCTTTACACAAAATACTAGTAAGCTCAGTGACATTCAAGTTTTTTAGCTCTTCGTATTCACTATCTTATTTCTTTTAATAATTTTTTTTTTGTAATTTTCAGATTTTATTTATAATAGATAATTTATACTTTATGATGTTATATTTTGTACAATTTTACATCCTTATCAATACTCTACACAACTCTCTTAACTTCCAAATCTGATGATTTTAAACAATATAGATACAAAAATTGATAATTAAATGAGAATACATCAAAAACAAAATGGAAAAATTAATTAATTATGTACAAAAACAAAACATTGCTCACAACGTCCATATCAGGGCTCGGGGTTTGTTACAAAATAGGTTATTTACATCAAATTAGTACAAAAGTTTGGTATACGTACAGTTGCTGATATCAAAACATCAGAAAAAGTCATATAACAACTGTCGTTAGTAATTGCTACCTTCACACATATTAGGCAATTTAAAAAATTGAGACCATAAAACGTGTAATCCTGTTGATTAAAAAATGACAAAAGTATTTAATTTTGGTTTTCAAGTGCCAAAAACAAAAGAATCTGCCTTCACTTAAATATTGTATTCTACTTCAATCTAATATTTGTGAAAATATAAATAAAAAATGAAATTACTGATGTTTGCTAAGATTACAAACATGACATTTATAATTCTTTATTTAATAATTCCGGTAATAAATGTATTGGCTATCAAAAAGCACTTTCATTTTTTTAATAAAGAACAGCCTTTAACGAACACCATTAACTTGTTTTCTTATTAAAAATATTTCTCGTCTCAATCTTAAATAAGAATGCAGTCTCAAACGCAACAAGCGTTATGATATCCCAGCATCATTATTTTCAAAGTTCAAAATTACTGGGAGATTCCAAGTTAATTCTTCTAGGATAGAAAAAAAAAAAATTATGGATGTAGTAAAAAAGAAATGATTTCAGAAAATGGTCAGTATCATCTTCATAGTTATTTGGAGCAAAAACAATTTGACTAAATGTTTTACTACTGCCATAGGAGATTCCTAATTTAAGACAAATTGCAGTCAAGACCATTTTCTAAAAAACCATTTCAAATTTAATTGAAAAAATCAAATTTATAAATATTCACACATATAACTAATCAGTCGAATAGAGAAAGAATTGAATTATTAAGAATCAGTCAATTTGTAGGGGGGTAACTTTTTTAAAAATCAAAATAATAAAAACAAAACAGGAAGGCCTTTGACTTCCAGAAATTCGATAAATTTGCTAAAATCAAACGTTTATTACGTGGGTGAGCAACCCCAATTTATAAGATACTGAGTTCTGCCATCTGGCAAAATACGCTTTGCTCTGACCGAAAACTTTTCACCTGCAGCAATTCTATTTACACCACCAAAATAGAGGTTCACAGTACTTTTTAAGTCTTCCATGTTTAGGCTCGACTGGCTCTTCACTGGGGATGTTGTCGGCGTTGTCTGTGCTGATTTTATTCTCCTCATCCTTCTTCCATTTTCCAAATGAATCCCCCTAGCTCCAAGCTTTCCGACTCTTCTTACTCTTCGTCTTTTAATCTATAGTGAAGAACTTGTTGCAGTTAAGTAAATCATTTAAATAAAGACAAATCATACCTCTCCGTTACTAGTGATTATAATATCCTTTTCACTAAGCCGACGCTTTGTTGGTCTCAAAACAGGTACAAGATTTACAGGTAGCGATGTCGAGAGAAAAGGGTTGTTTCTTCCTTCAAAATCCGCTGGTGGAGGGATTATAGAATCCAAAGTCCCTCTAGAAGACGACTCATCCCCACTTGTATCTGGCTGAGTTGTCAAGTTTACATCCGGGTTACTCTCTGAGGAAGGTGGAGTCGGTGGCAACTCCTGTTCCTTCGAATTCTTAAATAAATATGTTTATAAATTAGTAAAATAAAATGTTTATAAATTAGTAAAAAAACACTTTATTAAGCACCATATTGAATTATTTACCTTTTCTAAGTTTCGTTTTTTGGACTTTTTGGACTTGAAGCTGCGCAGTCTGTCATCAGCAACTTGAGCTTTCAGTCGGCGCTCAATTTGAGATCTAGATTCAGGATAGCAAGGGGTTGAACTTTTGATGCATACCTAAAATTTAAAAACTTACAAAATGTAACAGATTTTTTAACATATATATAAATTTGGCAAGCGTACATTGTGACCGTTTGCAGGGACCCCATTAGGCAATACGAGAAGCCTAGTATCAACATGTAACAGTTCAAGGCCTGGCAAGGTATCCTTCAACTTTTCCCAATCTGGGTACAAATTGTAATCCTTTACAATTTCCGAATCCCTTGAAAAGGTATAAAGAGTTAAAAATAGGGTTTTTAAAAGGCACTGATTTTATTCGAGTTATTTACAAGAGTTTGCCAGGGAGAAATTTCAACCGAGCGCTGTTGTTCCAAGCATCAGACAAAACTTGATCAGTAAGTGGTTTGTTCGGAGGAAGGCTAAATACAGGCGTTGGAGGAGGTACTCTCACTTTCAAACCCCACATGGTGGTTCTTTTTTTGACTTCTCTTCCATATTTGAACCTTCAAAAAGCATTTAGAAAAAATAAAGAAAAAAATTTAACTTAGAACTCTCTACCTGTTCCTATTGCTGGTCAAGACCGACATGACTGTCTCACGTCTTTCGGCAACATCTGTTTCGATTATCTTTGGTGGGAGCTGGAGGTTACTCCATTCAGTATTAATAAAATTTATAATATCTAAATCGACGTCTTGATATTTCTTAGCGGTCTTCAGCGTTAAATTAAATATTGTTAAATGAACTAAATCGACCCACTTCAACTCCAGTCTTCTAAGGTATTCCTTGCCCGAATTGCAAAGTAAACAGATGAAGACATAAAATCTAAAGAAACAAAATAAAGAGGAAATATAGTTGACGTAAGTTGACAATTCTTTAAATTTTTTCTATTTAAAGTTATTCATACCTATCACCATAAAACAGGGGTGTTTTTAATGATGAGATACATCTCCCATGGAACCACTGGCGGCATCGCCCACATTGGAGCATTTGCAAGAACCACTTCCCTGAGTTACCGCAATAACAATATTTTCCCTCAGTATTTACCCGATGTTGCATATCCCAATGCAGGTCAGACAGCTAAAAAAATAAAATAATTGAAACAAAAGAAACATGATATAAATTAATTATTTTACGTTATAAGGTAATTTCTTCTTCTGAGGTTCGCTAACAGTATTCACTGGAGATACGGTGGTCTGAGGGGGCACAGAAGGTGAGAGAGACCTTGGGACTGGTAGGGCTTGAGTTGATTTTCTTGGAGGGAGTTGCCGTTTCCCAGGCAGTTCTTGGCATCTCGAGCATTCCCATTTTGAATCATCTTTCAGTTCATCATTCTTCACTTGAGGCTAACAATGGTCAAAATATTTATGAATAAAAATTTTCAATAAATATGTAAGAACAAAAAAAACTACATACAACATGGCATAACTGGTGATATCCTCGTGAGCACCTATCACAGACGATTATATCATTGTCTGTCTTTGATTCAGACACTTTACACTTCACACACATTACATCCAGGCCAGTTGATAGTTTTGTTAGTCTTGAGAATACAGACCAGCTATCTGTGTTGTCCCCAAATTTGACAAGACATTGATCCCTGGAGAGATCAATCTAAAAACAATAATCGATAAGTCTGGTGGCATTGGGTGTTGAGTGGTATTTGGAAAATGATAAGAAAACTATTATCACTATTTAACCAAAAAACATTTACTTTAACGACCGTCCCCAAGTAGAAATTTCCATCTTTCCTTTGCATAAGGACTTCATCGCCAATTAAAAAACTCTGCTTCTCTTTTGTCGTGCTATCAGGGGTCGGGTGATCCCCGAGCAAATCCTGAAAAAAAGTTTTATATTTTATGCAAGCCGTAACAATCAATTTCAAACACAGCATAAAAACTATCCTTAATCTATCTTTAAAGAACAATTTGAATAGAACTTTAAATAGAAACACCACAATGGACAATTTTGTAAGTTGTCATAATTATTAATGATGAACAGATAAAATTTTGCACAGAAAGGTATTTATACATAGGAAGAATAACCTAAAAATCATGAATTCAGAAAAATTTGTTGTATTGATATTGTAACTTAATTGATACTGTAATTACAAAATTGACCTAAATGAACAATTTGGTCCGGCATCAAAAAAAAAAGGGTCATACACAAGGAATCACAAACAAACCACTGAACATGCTGAAATGTTTCTGGTGGACGGCACCAGTGAAAACATGGTATGTTAAAACTACAGTATATTTATTGCTCGAAAACTATACAGTAAGAGTCAGTTCATTTTTTAATACTACAAAATGAGATCCAAGATTTTGCATTTTGAGCAAAGAGTAATTTTGATATTTAATTATAAGTTTAGAAGCTTTTTTTTCCTATCTAAGCACAAATAACAGCCATTTATCCTAGCATACTTTTTACTCCTATCAATAAAAAACATGTGTCCATAAAGAGTAATCAAAAGTATTTATTACTTTTGTATCATTCATACATAATAGCCATTAACTTTTTGCATTTTTAAAGCCGTATTTCTATGAAAAGTTGTTGTAAGTCATTATTGTAAAATTGGCTATTTTGTATCATCAATAATTATTTCCTTTTTTGGTTCAAAAAGATTAAAAGCAAATGTTGATTAGGAAAAGCCACAAATATTTGTTGATAATGATTTGTATTAATGATATTTTTCAATCTGGTCATTATCTTGCAATCAGTGACTTAATTTATTACAATGAGCTACTTGCAATTCAGACTTACCAAGCTTCAATAATTGGATAATTAAGAACTGAACTTTTACACTTTCATTGGATAAGTATATCTATTTTCCATAAAACACTATTAATTTTTTCCAAGAATCCTTGTTGTTAAAACCTTTACGATAACCGATTTGATGTAAATTTTTTATATAATTTTAACCAGTAATTTTTGGTATATTTTGCAATAGTGCATTTAAAATAGTACAATCAGTTTTTAAAAAGGTGAAGACAGGCTTTTGAAAGTTAAGATAAGAGTTGATTATAAAATAAATTGATTATGATTTGTATTAGTGATATTTTTCGATATGACCATTATATAAGAATCAGCAACTTGATTACAATGAGCTTCTTGCAATTCGGACTTATTAAGCATAAAGAATGTGATTCATTCAGAAATGAACTTTTAACACTTTTATACCTTAATAATTCTCAGCATGTTTTGCTACATACAGGAAAACAAAACAAATTGATTCTCTGATTGTACTGAAAGTCAATGAATTTTCAGTTTAATGTAATAAACAATCCCTGGCCTTATTCAAACTGGGAATATAAATTATTGGTTCAGATTAGTTTTTATTATGCTTTTCCTACATTTATCTATTCACACCTTTTATGTAAATGCATTTTGAGACAATTTTTTGATGCCTAGTCGCCTGTTGAGGCTCGACTAAATTGTACGGATGAAGAGGCTAAAAATGCCTCAAAATTCATTTAAAAGAAAGTTGTGAACATAAGAAAAACATTCGAAAACATCACTTAAATCACATGAAAGAGACAACAAAAATTAAAACAGAAAAATAAATTATTCATTTTGGAATCTTTATTATTGTAAATTAAACCATTGTTGTTTCAACTTTCTTTTCACATTATGGATGGAGAACCACTGCAATAAAAAATTTTACTTTAAAGAAAATTGTGCAGTCGAATTTTAGAGAGTTTAGTTTATAGGAAAACATCACCCAAACCACATGAAAGAGACATCAAACAAAAATAAAAACTGAAAAATATGATTCAATTCGTAATATTTGTTATTGTAAATTAAACTACTGTTGTTTTACATTAAGGATGGAGAACCTCTGCAATAAAAATTTTGTTTAAAGAAATTGTGAAGTCAAGTTTTAGAGAATTTACAGGAAACTCTATGGAATTATTTTATTTTTTTACTATGATTTTTATTAGTGATAGTTTTCAGTGAGGACTTTTTCTTGGAAACAGGTACTTTATTTTTGAAATGGACTTGCTGCAATTTGGACTTGCGAAGCAGAAATTATTGGATTCATTCAAAATTGGACTTTTTCCATTTTCATTTAATACTTTTAAATGACTGTCCATAAAATATTAATTTTTTCAAAGAATCCTTGATTTTAAAATCTGTACAGTAAATCAACACATGATTGTGTACATAATGTTATATGATTTCATTATTTTACCATTATATTTAGTAAATACTTCCTTTTTTACTTAAAGAGGATGAAGAGAACATATATATATAAACATTGGTTTGTATAAATTGAAAAGATACAAATAAATTTGGGAAGGGCCATGGCATTTGTTGATTACGATTCGTATAAGTGGTATTTTTTAGTAAAAATTCAGACTTACCAACGTAAATAATTACTTTACTTTTTAACACAATTATCCCATTATAATTATGGGAATACAAACATACTTCAGAAATTGAATGAAATTTATGCTTTCATTATTTGTACTGAAAGCCAAGTCACTGAATTTTTTGTTTAAAGAAAGAAACAACCCCTGCCCTTGTTCTGAGTTTAAAAATTAAGTTTATTTTCCTTTTTGGAGAAATTATATATTAAAAAATTGCTTTAGAGGCTTTAGAGGTGCTAGATATAAGCCATGGCATTTGTTGATTACAATTTTTATAAATTACATTTTTCAAACTCATCATTGCCTTGGAATCAGTGTTAATCTGTTTCAATAATCTACCTGTAATTTGGACTTTAATTAAAAAGTTTATTCCATTGTTATAGTATGATTTTGTGATGTTACCATTTCATTTGGTAAATAGTGACTTTTTTAATCCAATATGGATTTGCTATAATCTGTTCTTTACAAAAAGCCATCTAAATATGGACCTGATAGCCCAGTCACTGAATTTATTGTTTAAAGAAAAAACGTTTAAAGAAGTTTAAAGAAAATTAATTTATTGATTACGACTGGGATAAATGATAGTTTTCAATATGACCATTATGTTGCAATCAGTGATTTATTGAACTTGTTCCACTTTCATTGGATAAATTAATCTGTTTTCCATAAAACACTATTAATTTTTTCCAAGAATCCTTGATGCTATAACTTGTCATTAGGGAAGTTCAGTCTGTGTCTTTGTATTTATTACAAAATAAGCTTCTTTTATAATTATTGTAATCGTTTTAATGATTAGGAAAAGCCACAGAATTTGTTGATTACAATTTGTGTAAATGATATTTTTCAATATGACCATTATGTTGGAAACTAATTTTCTGAACTTTTTCCATTTTCATTAGTAATAAGTTTTATCGACCCCATAAAACACCATGTTTTTTATTTTTTAAGAATCTTGGATGTTAAAACTTGGGTATTACATGAATACATTCTGACTTTGTACATTATATGAAAACTTTTGTAATTTTTTTTTTATCTGTAAAATCTTGAACTTTATGTTATCATTTAACAATTTTTTTAATTGCACTTGTCAAAGAGTGTATGCTGGAACTTTGTAAGCAATTTAAATTAATTACACTTTTTCAACTCAATTAACACCTTAGATAAATATTATAAATTGTAGATAGAATAAGTTGGTGATTTTAACAAGTATATTCAATAAATAGAGGCGTTTTTTAACCAAATATCGACGAAGAGAACATTTGCAATAGAAATATCAGTTTTAGAAAATTGTATAGTTTGTTTCTGATTGTTTAGATATAAATTGTAAGTGTAAATAATATTTTCAATATGACCATTTTGCTGAAATCAACTTACTGAACTTTTTACACTCTCATTTAATAACTGTAATCCATTGTACATAAAACACCAATATTTTTTTCTAAGAATCCTTGATATTAAAACGTGTACAGTAGACGAATACAATATGACTTTGTAATTAATTACAAAACAATCAAACTTCTTTTATAATTATTGTAATCGTTTTAATCTTTTGATTAGGAAAAGCCCTGGTGTTTGTTGATAATGATTTGTATTGGTGATACTTTTCAATCTGACCATTATCTTGGAATCAGTGACTTAATTTATTACAATGAGGTACTTGCAATTCTGCCTTACCAACCATAAAATATGGGATTCATTAAGAGCTGAGCTTATTACTCTTTTATTAGATAAGTTAATTTCATTGTATTATAGTATGATTACATGATTTTACCATTATATTTGGTAAATAGTGACTTTTTACTCAAAATGGATTGGCTTTAATCTGTTGATTAGGAAAAAGGCATAGAATTTGTTGATTACGATTTGTATAAATGGTATTTTTCAATATGACCATTATGTTGGAATCAGTGATTTTCTGAACTTTTTCCACTTACATTTATTAATAAGTTTAATCGACTGACCATAAAACACCACCATCTTGATGTTGAAATTTGTGCATTAAAAAAGCATATTCTATGACTTTGTAGTATACATTATAAAGACAACTTTTGTACTTATTCTATTTTTTTTTTTAATCTGTAAAATCTTGAATTTTATGTTATCATTTAACAATTTTTTAAAATTGTATTTGACATAAAGTGAATGCTGGAACTTTGTAAGAAATTTAAATTAATTACACTTTTTCATCTCAATTAACACCTTAGATAAAAAAGTATATTTAACTTAAATTATTAAAACGTCCAATTATGACTAAGATCTATGGATTTGTAGGCAATAAAACTTTTGTTTCAATTATAGTAGTTTTTACTTAGAAAATTATTTAAAAAAATATATTATAGTATGATTTCGTGATTTTAACCATTTTTTATTCAGTAAATAGAGGCATTTTTTAAATCAAATATGGACAAAAAGAACATTTGCATAGAAATATCAGTTTTAGAAAACTGTGTAGTCTGTTTCTGGAGGGTTTAGACATAAATTGTGTAGGAAAAGCCATTGGATTTGTCGATTGTGGTTCACATAGGTGATTTTTTTTCAACCTCAACTTTGGTGAAACAGAAGGAAAATCGCGTTAGCTTTGAGGGAGCCCGATATTTTTTTTTAACATGCTGGGGAAAAAAATAATTTAGCCCTTTTTTGTCCTAGGAGACCTTTGCAATCAGGAGTCGGATTCGAGGGTATTTTATGTTGGAAAGGAGTGTGTAAACACTAAACAGAGTGGATGGGATCGAGAAGGGAAGGCGTTATCGTGCGGGGGCGATTGAAAAATTGTCAAAATTACCTTTCTCTTCGAAGACATCTCTTGGCTTGGAGTCGCTAGCGGCTGGCTCGGATTCTCTGACGGCTCGTCTTTCGGCCGGCTGGCATTTCTCGCCGAGTGGGAAACGGGCGATCCGTCGTGAAGCGGACGTTCGGACGGCTTCCGAGTTCGGCGGGGCTCAGGTCGAAATTCGGCGGCCTCCCACGACAAAGCCCGGTTCAACTCGCATCTGGCCTGGGGACCGAAATCGGGGCGAAACGAGGCGAACGAGGCGGGCGGCGATCATAACTCGATCCGAACGGGAAGCCACCTCCGACCAGTCGAGTCCGCCATGTTTAATTTTAAACAACAACTGCCCAGTCGTTGACGCTTCGTCCGTCCGTCGTCTCGTCTCGTGTGCCCGCTCTGCGGCTCGCACTACACACTACGGCACTACCCAGTACCCAATGAACCCATTGGGTTGAAATTGAACCCAGTGCCAGTACCCGATCGACGAACCAACGCTCAGCCACTGAAACAATCGGGAAATGAGCCGGCGGAGTTAAGAAACGACATCTCGTCTCAAACTGACTGAAAAATGGAAAAGGTACGACAAAAATAGTCATCCAACGTAATTATTCCAATTGTCAATGTTTTCAACGGAGATCGGTTTACCGACGAAGTTGTTGACATTCATAAAACCCAAACAAAAAAAATATTTTTTTTAAATTATTAAACAGTTCAATTAAAAAATATCAACATTAACAACATGCATACATTTTAGTTTTAAACCACTTAAAACTAGATGAAACTGATATTTTTGAGAAACTATGTCCGATTAAACCTACTTCTGTCGTATACACCTGTATACGATAATATACCCTTTTGAGTGTTCACGTATTGTCAAGATAATCTTAAATAATCGCTATATACAATGATGGACAAAATTAACTCACCACCCTTAAATTTTAATGAATTTACATTTATTCATATTTAAAAATAAAAAGAAAGACACTTTATTTGATATAATCCAATAATATACAATTAAAATATAGATACTAAAATAAGTACTATTACGACATGGAAAATTCCATCTGCCTGAGGCGAATGAAAACGGCAACAAAAATGCAGAATAATACAAAATTTGAATTGAAAAAAAAGAAAATACTTCCAAAGAACTTAAAGAAAAAGATAAAACCATAGCTAAAAATTTAAATAAATAAAATAAAAAATAAACTAAATAAAATAATTAAATTATACAAACACTAAATATTAATTTTATTGACACAAAAATATCTGTATTGTCATGCATGTCTACAAAATCCTACAAGTGAAGCTGGCTCATAAATTGCTCATAAATGAATAGGGATATTACTAATTTTATAGTATTTACTTTCCCAAACATTTTTATTATAAATTGCATAATATCGATAATTTTGTTTATTGGACACAATAATTTTTTTTAAACAATTAATAACATGTACACTGTCCTCTGTTAGCCAAAACCTTTGGGCACCTGTTAGGCAAACTGTTAATAAGGTTGTCATTAATTTCATAAGGAATTTCACTCCGTAGATGCATTCAGTTGTAGCACGTCAACTAGCTGCTGATGGAGATCGAAAAACCTTCTCTGCAACTTATCCCACAGTACTCAACAGGATTAAGGACTCAAGACAGTGGGGGAAGGAGCAGATGGGAAATTCTCAGGTTTTCTAAACATTGATGAACACTCTGCCTATATGAGGTCTGACATTGTCATCCAGAAATTCAAAATCCCTGCCAATGAGATCCCTGGTTTGAGAGATATATTCCTCGATAATTTCTTGGACGTAACGGTCTGCGATGAGGTTTGCCATAAGCAATATGGAGTTCAGATTGTCCTCCAGTGTAAATCCCAGCCCACACCATTACACCACTGTTCTCCAATCTGTTCTCGGTAGCCTCTTCAGTGCCTGCTGTCACTATACAGGCAGAAACACGACTCATTCCAATTGGTGTTCTTTTCTAGGCACTTGCTGCACCATATTGTCCTAAGTTGCTGGTGGTGGGCATATGCTGCAGGGGAATACGTTGTGAGGCCAACTTCCAACAAGTGCCAGAACATTTTGTACTTCATTTATGATCTGGCGGGCACTATAGAAAGGGTTCCATCTTGCAGCAATAAATGGTCATACAACAGGAGTCCAACCTCCCACAAACAATTAAGAATCGTTTATGTTCATAAAGGCCTTGCCAAAACATCTTCCTTTACATACTGGTGGGCACTATGGAAAGGGTATTGTCTTGCAGCAATGCCAATATTTCTCTCCTTCCTTTGCATCGTAATGCACTGAGATCCACTATCAGGTCTCCAATTTGCACTTCCAGCCACTCGGAATCGAGCTAAAGCCCAGGAGACCATACTCTGAGAAACGCTAACTGCCTCTGCGATATCCACTTGCCAGTGACCTCGATGACTCATTTGCACAATAACATTCTGATTCAAGATGATATCTTTAAGTCGTTAAAGAGACTACAACTGGATTGAAATGGAGAAAAGACTAGAAAAGTTACTAAGTTTACAAAATGAGTAATTTTCATGTTTACTATTAAGTAAATCCGTTATTAAATACGAGGATTAACAGTTGTTTGTTTTTGGTTTGTATTTCTATTTTGTTTTATCCAACTAACAAGAATATATCACTTAATTTAATTGACATTAATAGAATATGAATAAAGTACAAATATCTTTATTCATTTTTGAGCAGTTTATTTTAACTTGTTAATTAATGGTCTCAGAAAAGGGAACTACAGCCAGATTATTCATATAGGTTGTTCATATAGTTTTGGTTGTAAAAATAAGACATTTAAAAAGAAAATGTTTATTACCTAATTCAAAAAATGTATATATATACATTTTTTGAATTATATATTATTATTATATTTGAATTATTAATTATATATGTACATATATATACAAAATAAAAAACGTCTTTGCATTCTGATAAAATCCTGAGGAATTCTTTCCAATTCATCATGAACCTAAAACGTACTTATTGTAAAATAGACTATTCATTTGTCTGCTAAATAATTTTCCAAATATCTCATCATGTTTTTTTCCCTGTTAGGGTGACTGGGGAAGTATGCAGCCTGTTAGTACCGCTATGGACAACCTTTCCTCGGCAATCAAGTCCAACATAATCCCTAACCAGGAGTACCTACTGCAAGGAAGCGTACTTGACACCGCTGTAGAAGTCTTGCTTCATAGGTTGAGAGGGCTGTGTGACAATGTCGACACTGGCCCTGAGACCTTCCATGATCATGAGATGTGTTTCAGCATAAGTAATTCCAACATATTAGCATATGATTTAAAACAGACTAATTAAGAGAGAATTATAAAGGTGTTTTATTAATAAACGTTTCCTACAAATTAATAAAACCTTCGTGATATATGATTTGTTACAATCAGACATTCATCAAAAAATGTATATTCTAGTGAATTTAGACGCAGGCGCATCGCCTCAACCACTAGTCTTAAGAGTGAGAAGAGCGATCGATTTTCCAGAGCTGCCCTGGCAACTTAGATACATAGGCCAGCCAGAAGGAACTGGTAATACAATTTTGTATACCTTACAAACCGTATATTTTATTTGAATATTCGCAGGTGACAAGTCTCGTCCAACTATTGTGAGAAGCAGCATAGATATAGGGACGAGCTCGACCGTTGTGGAATTCCTTACGGAAATGGGCTGTAGAATGGACTTCGAATATGTCGCGCGTGGCTACATGTTTCGAAAAGGAAGAATGAAAATTACAGTTTCAAAAATATTTAAGGTATCAGTTATTTTTCTTATGTTGTAATATTTCCTCCTGTGGTCTGTGGGTTGATGAACCTAATTACCCATCATATCGGTTTACATAGCCTTGCTAATTTTGCCTGTCAGTTGTGTTTCGGCATTTCACCATAAAAACAGTTTGTGAATAAAATGTAATCTATCTTTTAAAACGGTGAAATTATTACTTTGTNATTCCAATACTGTCGCATCCAAATTGCCCAATTTATAATCCTCAGAAAAATCCTTGATGCTCCTTTTTGTGTGTCGAAACACCCCACAGAGATATGAATATTCCTTTTGTCTGAGATATAATATCCACTTCCGTTATTGCGAATTTCATAAAACCCTCCCAATAACCATAAATCCTCAATTATCTGAATCCGAACTCTCTCAAACCCCCCTCGCTGATTAAAGATCTACCCAGTAATAGTGACAGTGACACTAGTCTCCATTAAAGAGAGAAAAAAATGTTTCATTGGAGTACTGTCGATGGGCAGTTTATCCACTCTTGCTTTAATTGTGTACATATGTGTACAGGGTGTTCTTTTTAGATACCTTTTGATACCTTAATTTCTCTTTAACCAATAACACTATTTAAAAAAATACATGTTTAATACTTTTCAAGTTTAGTTTCAAATTTTTACCATTTTTGGAGAATGATGTCAGGATATATAGGGTCGTATTTGAAATTTTGGAGTGGAATTGGGCCTGAGATAGATAATAATATAATTAGATAATTTTTTTCCAAAAAAAAGGTAAAAATTTGCAATTGGACTAAACAATATTAAACTTATAAAACTTTTTTTAAACTTATACTTTTTTTTAACCTCTCTAATTGAAGAGAGTAAGTGTAATGAACTGTTAAAAAAATAATAATAAAGTCCAAACAGGAAAGTCAAATCAGCATTCCAGAACTCGGCTGTTCAAGTTTCAGACTTCAACAAGACCTCAGCCTGGTCGCCCTCCTCTCTCAGCTTTTCTTGGTTCCTTTCGTTATTTTTGTTTTGTCTTTGGGTTTTCAAGAGGAATAAATATTTTGAATCCCTGGTATATATTTTTTTTAAATACTGACACTCCTTACTTTTAACTTCAGAGTGGTAGAACACCCAGGATATCAATCCAAATGTCGTAGGTTCAAATCCTGCTCATGACATTAATTGTTTATCTCGACCCCACTTTGGTTAAAATAATTAATTGTTTAATAATAATATTGTTCTTGTACCTTTATTACATCTCGAACAATTTTTTTTAAATTAGTAAACTTTATGCCTTGTTGCCCTGGGTATTAACTTCTGGATTCCTTTTGGCATGGTTTACAGGTGGTTAAGCTTTAGACATTCATTCTCTTTATTTCTCTGTATACATATATATAATTTTTGTTTTTTCTTTTTAACCCATTATCACATTTTTTATTTTTTAGATGGGACAAGGCAAGCCGCCAGAGAGTTACGAAGCCATATCGCAGTCTTACTTAGTGGAGCTGAGCGTGCTCGCACCCAGTGGGCAAGATGCGATAGCAGAAGATATGAGGAGTTTCGCCGAGCAACTTCGGCCGTTGGTCCTTCTTGAGAAAGTTGACTACAAGCGGCTGCCTATGTCATTAGGGCCTTAGTTGTAAATGTTTGTAAATAATGTAAATAAAAGCTGTAAACTTCTAATGGTTTTTATTTTACGTAACAACTTTTCTTACATATTTTTTTTTACTCCAAACCCTGAAAAAAAAAATTAGATTGGGCTTTAATATTACATAAATGATCGGAAAAGTGTTATTGAGGATATGGTTAAATGATGAAAATGACGGTATAAAAGAGAAAAATAAGAGTTTAATGCCACGTAATGGTAATGTTAATTGTTTGAAAAATTTTGTTTTCTAACATCCATTACAATAGTTTTACTTTTTGACACCAGGTTTATTTATTATAATCGTTCTATTACGATTAATTTATTTGAATTTAAAACTTAAAAAGGGCCAATTTATTTTTATAATGAACTTGATTGTAAATTTCTAGTATGTAAATTTAAAAGATTTAACGATTTTTTAATGGACTATGTGAGATTCTCGCGGGCAGCAATTCTGGAGGTTTCAAACATTGAAAACAGAATGTGCTTTTTGTTTTTGATGGATGCGATAAGTAAAAAGTATTAAAAGGAAGAAGAGCGAAGAAGGAAACAGGTGGTAAGTAAGCTTCTATGTCATCAAATCAATTACTTTGTTCTTTATAGGGAGCGTGTTGGAATGTGTCTGTATTAATTGTATTAATAAGAAATTCTAAACAATTTTCCTTTGCATTTTTTGGTAAAAATATTGTTAACTGTGAATACATTTCAAAATCGATATAGGACTAATTGGATCAAACATACAAAGGTTTCTATCTTATTAATCTACTGGTTTTGGTCAAATTAAGAAATTAGGTGTTCAGATAGGCTATAATATGATAAAATAAATGCTGATCTAAAATAAGTAAAAGTAGCTGTCTAGATCCTTTGAATAGAACAAAAACTAATGCGTTGACTGTTGAGTACTCGTAGAGAGTAATCCCCCCATTCTCACTCTAGTTTATAAGTCATTGGTTGGTTTGGCATTAGCTTTAATAAATTATCTATTGTATGTGCAGATTGTTTCATTATCTAAACTCTCGTAAACACAAAGTAATTTATTTTATCAACGTCTGCCTATTCTTGCTAGTCTGACAGTTTGTAATAGTAAAATTGTGAGGGTGGGCAAGGTGTGGGTTTTGGCAGTTAAATTTTGATGTGCAAGGTGGCAAAACATAGGTTGCTCGATCGTCCTTGTTTGCCAATTCTTGCTTGCGTTTGTCTGTTGGTTTGTTGCAGTTGAATTGTGATGTGAAAGGTGGCAAAACATTACGTTGATCATCCTCGATCATCCTTGTCTGCCAATTCTTGCTTGTTTGTCTGTTGGGTTTTGGAAGTTAAAATCTGATGTGTAAGGTGGCAAAACAGTAGGTTGATCATCCCCGATCGTCCTTGTCTGTCAATTCTTGTTTGTGTTTATCTGTTGGTTTGTTTCAGTTAAATTGTGATGGTGTGCGAGGTGACAAAACAATAGGTTGATCACCCCTGATTATACTTGTCTACTAATTGTTGCTACACTTTTTTTTTTGCCTAGCACGTCATTCATTTTAAATTTAATATACAGTATTTAATAACTAGTAAAGTTAAGTGCATAGGAAAAAAAAATAAACAATCCAAGCACCAGGAATGAGAAAACGAGACTCCACAGTCAACGTGGTAATAAGAAGACAATATCTTTTTTTTTTTTTTTTTTTTTTTGCGAAAAAATTGACAATAGACAGTAAACAAAAGCACTTTTTTATATAACAATATTTCATATTTACCTTAACCAGCGATATCAAGCGTTTAGTTAAGATAAAAGATTCTTCATTAAGATTTTCAACCATATCAAAATGATCTACTTCAGGTATAAGAAAATATTCAGCTTCAATTTGTACTTTTTTCAATAACTGTAACATACATTATTATGTTGTTTTTTCAATTAATATTTTATATTTGTTCACTTGAAACTGGACAACCTTGAAGTACTGGCATGATTGTTGTTTGAAAGCTTCTGAATCATTTTCCGCTAGCACAAACAAAACTTTAAAATCTGGATTAATTAATAATTTTCCTATAAAATCTGTTACTTTGGTGACTGGGCTATTTTCAACAGCATCTTCGCTGAAATAAAAATGTTTTTTTTAGTGTTTGTTCTTGTTTTCAGAAAAATGGCTTCTCGTCCTGCAGGATTTTCAGACGATTCTGATGAAGACGATTTCTCATTTTATACTCCACTGAACCAGACAATAAAGAAACCTGAGATTGAAATATCAGGTACTGAAAGGCTCATTAGTGCTATTTTCGATAGGAATATTGAGAAAGTTCAAAGCCTTTTGTCTTCTAATGTTGATATTAACTTGAAAGAAAAATCATCAGGGAAATGGTCTCCTGTAATGCATGCAGCTTACATCGGTTCTAAGGAAATTTTAGAACTTCTTTTAAAGCACGGCGCAAATCCAAATGACCATGCTGAGATGTTCACCACGCTAATGTGCGTATGCGATTCAGCGTCTAAAAATGATGATGAGTTGCTTGAATGCTTGGAACTCCTTCTCTCACAAGGAGCTGATCCTAATGCTACAGATTGGTATAAGACAACTGCACTTATGTTTGCTGTCAAACGTAATCATCCCAAATTGGTCCATAAGCTACTAGAAATTGGCTGTCAACTCGATCAAACAGACAGTGATGGCTGGACACCTATATTTTATGCAGTTGATGCTGGTGACGCCCATATGGTACAGTTGTTAAAAGATGCAGGGGCAGATTTATCTTTAGAAGATCGAAGAGGACGCTCACTGACTGAAATTTCTTCATCTAAATACTACAAAGACATCACTGAGATTGTAACACCGAAGGATAAATCCTTTGAACAAGAAGAGAAAATTGAAAGCGTTTCTCCCACAAAGAGACTCACTCATTTTCAAATAATGCTAGAAGAATGTCCGAATCTGTCATTAAACAGATTGCATGGTTTTCATAATGAAGCTATAAAGATAATAAATGGAATCGGCTTGAATTCTTTGATTAACATTTTCACGGAAAAGAAAATCCAACTTGGCGAATTTTTAACGTGGGATGATGACCAATGGATAAAAGCAGGCGTTGAGATGAGCTACGACAGACAGAAGATAAAAGCCAGCGTTCAAAAGTATCATGAACGAAGCTGGAGTAAACAAAGCTTGAAGATGATTGATCCAAAAGAACAAATCGATCTATTGCAATTAACTCAAATTATGTGCAACATAGTAAGGCAGTTCCATATCCTCAGTACGACCACACACTACTACCTTAAAAACTGCAAGCCATCTGTCGGTCAAAAAGAAATCAAAGTGTTTACAGAAAAAGGTCTGTTGCACTTAAAACTGATTAACACTGATTTGGAATTTATTAAAAAGTTAGCTGAACAAATCGATAAAGAGGAAGATGTCATTCCAGCAGATCTTATCAGTCCAAAAATCAAAACTCGCAAAAACTTTTGGAAACTGGCCATTTTACCAACCGTAGTCATAACTGTCATTTTAGTACAAGTGCCAAAGTTTAATTTAATTAAAACCTTTTGTAACAAAATTAACATCCCCTCACTTTTTTGACTAAAAACAATAAAATTTGTATTTTTAAAAATTATAACTATAATTTAAATATAAATATAATTAAATCTAAAACAAAAGTGATTTAAAAATTGTATATATTGTACACTAATGTTAGTGAGTAAGTTTAATAAAAATACCATTTTATTTGTAATTGTCTTATTTTTATCAAAGTGTTATCAGGTATACCTTACTTTTTATATGTTATCTTTTATCTAGGTGTTATTTGAGAATTTCACTAAAGCATTATTTTATTTGGTTTTTCTTTTGAAATGCTTACTAGCTCATTTTTGTATAATCGTTAAATTCCGTCCTCAAGATGGGGATCAAGTCATAGATACCACTTATGAGGATAAGACCTTTAAAGACATCCCTCATTGGTTTATCTACACTTTTCAGCCAATTTTCATCAAGTAGCGAAGCTGACAAGTGACCACCTGCAGAATGTCCTCCAAACCAAACTGACCTTTAAAAAAACTTTTTTTTTACTGGTTCAAAACTTCAAATGGTGCATGTTCACCCACTTGGATCCATTTCTCACAGCATACTCTAGAACAAACTTTGCCATCTTCTGAATCTGTGTTACCATCTCTTTCATTGTAGCTAGATCAGCATAAGATTATTTATAAAAGTGTATATGTTTATATTTTTTTTAATATCTCTTACCTCCAGGCGCTAGATCATAATCAGGAACAAAGACCCTGATTCCATTCTTCCAAAGAGGTCTTGCACAGTAACTTGATACATTCTTTTCAATCATATACCAGTAGCCTCCATGTATGTAAACAAATATTGGTGCATCTAAAATATTTATGACTTTTCAACTTTCTAAGTACTGAGTACATGCTTAATCAATAATTTGATCATCATCTTGGTCTATGGATGAGCAAGCTATAAAGCAAATTGCTAACCTAGGTCTGGAGGGTAATGAAAGTGCAGCTAAGGCCAGGACATCCTAGACTTAACCGCCATGATATGGACCTCTTGACGTTAACGCAATAAAAAAACGATAGGTGGCCCTCAGAGGATCTGACGGGTCATCCTCACTTCATTAAGGATGGCCACTTGAATTTGCCACAGACACTTTTGGGCCAAAGCCTGTGTATGTGTCTTTCATGTAGAAAAAGATGCTCAATTTATCCAACCTAATTGAAGGGTGCCACTCAGTTCCACGTAGAGAGGAATGCCACTCAATATGAAAATTGTTTGAGCATGAGTGTATTTTGATCCTCTGTTTCAATTTTTGGAGGAAACAGGACTGCTTTACTATATGAATATAGTACTTTGTAATAAATATCTTGTATTGTTTCTTTGTGTACTGTGCATTGACACTGAATGTATTTATTAGCTTGAATGTGCAGTGTAAGTAGGCTGATGCAGAATGTTGAGAACCCAATATATATTTTACTCTGCCCTGTTTTCCCATATATTTTAATAAATAAGAAATTATATTTGTTTCTGAGGAAGGCAATTTTATTACCTACTCTTTGAGTGTTCAGGTCTTAAAATATTTGATATAGATTGATTGATTTAACAACTTAAATTTATTTTCAAAACGAGTGTCAATACCAATTGTCTTGTAATATAAAATAATTATGTAATGAAATGTTATTAATATTAATTTACCTTTAGGTACAGAGTCCTTTCCATAAATGTCCACTAATTCAGTTTTCTTACTTCCATAAGATACATCCGATTCGAATGGAATGCACTTCCTGTTTGTCTCACTCGCTAAAATCATTTTTTTAAACCAATTTCAAAAACGAACAGACGGATGACAAACCTTCACTTGTGACTTCCATGTGTCTATTCACGACTACATTTTCTGGGAGCCTTTTACACCAGAGCCTCGGCCTGTATTGCCTTCGGAACTCTTCCTGGAAATTTATAAAATGGTATGTAAATTGTCATTGCGGCAGTTAGCAACAAAAAAAATCACCTCTTTTGGAATTACAACGCTCATTCTGTTACAACTGAACTTCTAATGATGCCCTGACACCTGATATATGGAACTTATTACATAACGCCAAATCTTTTTGGGCTATTTGTCTTAGTTTTCCATATCTTTGTTTTTATTAACTCTAACTAGTTTTGTTAACTGTAAACAATATTCTATAGCTTACGCATTATTTATTAATAAATATTACGTATATATAGTCACATGAACCCACCACTCTACCTCTATTACTAGAATTGTATAAAATTTATTTAGCAAAAGTTTAGACATGAAATAATAGCATTTAAAAATATAAGACAAAAAATGTTTATTAAATTATTGCCTAAATAAAATAAATTTTACCTCAGGTTTATAACAAACATTTACTTTTGTCTTATTTCGTGTTACAAATTATTTTCTGATGTAATTATCTATTACATTATATTGATTCATTTGAACTTGGAGCTTCTTCATCAAAGAAATCACATTCAACTCACTTGAAAATGAAGTTTTACAAAATGAAAAATTAAGAGAGCAACCAAAACAAGCATTTCGTACACTTCATGTTTCTTCGCCGATGGGACAGATAAGACCGAGGTTTGACTCCCAGACCACCGAAAACCGCTGAGTTGCAAATCTCAATTCTGTAAATGCAAAATTGAGCTCATGTAAAACGCATGTTCATCTTACACCATCTTCTATCTGCTAGTCGGTCAACTAAGCAACCCTGAATACTGACGCGATTGCTCTTTGAAAGCTTCTGTGTTATTTGCTGCTACTACAAACAGCTTTGTCTGGATTTTTTTTTTTTTTTTTAATAAAACGTGACGTGACGGCCATTTTCAACAGCTTGCTGCTGTAATATTGTTACAATTCTGCAATAAAAATTGTTTTAAATCAATTCATCTGAACCATAAAAGAATATATAATATATATAATCCTCGCCAACTTCTGGCTGTTAGTCTGTTATCTGAACAACCTTGAAGTAGTGGGGTGATTGCTCTTTGAAAACTTCCGAATCATTTGAACTTGTTCAAACAAAGCTTTAAAGGATGGATTTTCCTACAAATCTGTGACTTTGATGACTGGACTTTTTTTAAACAATCAACATATCTGGACCAGAAACTTGTTCATCTTTTGCCATCTTCTGGCCATTACTCTCATTTCGTGCATTAACCAAAGCTAAAGTCTGAGCTATAAAATCAGCAACAATCTGCAAGCAAGGATATAAGATGTTAATGTTATCACAATGTAGACCTTACCATAATGTTTATTTCAAAATTTATCCAATAAAAGAAAGGATTTTGTAATAAATAAATAAAAGTACTCAACAAAATATCTTTATTCTCATAAATATTTTTACCATTAATAAAAAAATATTACTTATTACGATGATAATTTACAAGATTCTCAGTATATTTAATAGGGGCATCAAAGGAATCGCTTCCAACTTGCTTTAAAATTTAATTTTACAAAATGAAAACTAAGCAAACAACCAAAGAGAACATTACTTCTCTCCTTACACTACTAACATTTCAAATATATTAATTAACAATAAAAAAAGAGAGAAAAACAATTCTTATGATATCCATGCAATTAAATGAAAATTGTGGAAATTATAAAAATATATTTTAAAACTTTGAGCAAATCAAATGTTTTAAAGCCAAAACATTTCACAAGAAAATCATTCGTATAACATTTAAATATTTCACATTTAACTAAAACCGAAAGGTAATCCTCTTTAAATGTGCTGACACAAAATAAAACTAACTCATCTTGAAACAATTAATTGTGCAAAATGGCAAAATAAAATTTAAACTAGATAAGTCAAGTCACATTACTTGACAAATTGTTTTACATGTGACTAATAGTAACAATAATTCTAATCAAAGCTTAAATAACAATTCTTGTCCACAGTCGATAACTGCAATAACATTCATATGGTTCTGGTGTTGTTTGAACTGCATTAATTTAAGACAAAGCAAATTTGATCTCGCACAAAATAAAAACATGTGCCTGGCAATGAGAATTTATTTAACCAGATTTGTTATGTATTTATTAATATCATATAAGAAGTAATGTTATTTTAAGTTTAAATTGTAGAATTTATTTCTTGATTTACATTTCTCATCAAGGTAAACTTATACAGAAAACATGGACACACTTTTTTTTTACAACCTCTCTTTCTTATATTTTGTATTATGTACAAATAAAATTATAATAAAAAATAGAACAAGCTCGACTTAATTGTTTAAAATTCATTTATAAATGTATCACACATTACAACATTAACATCTAAGCTTTTATAACTTCTTTTATGACTAAAAACATCAATATATTAAGACTAATAAATTACTTTCTTCAGAGTCTTATTTTAATCGATTATTGATATTAGATTTTGTCAAAAATTATAGAATTTTTAGAGCACAGCTAGGTCTACATTTCTGTTGTTTCTAATACCTTTGTTTTACAGTGTTAAAAAAATTATTATATTTTTAAAAACAAATGTCACAATTTGTGTTTATTTGTAGTAATAATAATGGTTAAACAATAACAATAAAAACTTGAATTGTAATAAATAAAAAAACCTATAACTTAAAGTTTGCAAGTCTTGGAGAAAAAAGTATTAATTTCAAATGTTAATAAAAGTGCCACTTATCCATTTGTTAATTTGTTTTCACTTTTTGTCACACATGGCATTAGATTTTTTAAAATATATATTATATTTTTAAGGGAGTTTCCTCTTTCTTTTTTTAAACTAATTTTATATCTATTTTATTTTTGTTTTAAAGTAATAAAATTTAAAAAATATTTCAAAATTTGATGTTAAATAATTGAAAAAACTATACGTTAAGTGTTATCCTTTCCACATATAACTAATAAACTCTATTTAAAAAAAAGTAATGAATAAAAAAAGGGGCAAATCTATGTAGTCGTATTACAAAACTAAACAAAGCCTTCAAATTGTTTAAGGAAGACTACACTTTCTTGCCAATTTTAAGCAAATTTTCATACCGGATTCTGGAATAAAACTTTTCTAACTATGCCTCACAGCACATAAGGATATGAAAGTGTTAGCATGGCTCAGCTGACAGACGGGGATAACGGTCGTTGCAATGTTGTACTCTTCCAATTTGGCGATTGTGTCATGGATCAACTGAGGTCCTGGAGAGCGGCCGACCCTGTAGAAAAGTTGCAGAGAACAGACCGGTATCGGGGACAACGTGGCGTTATTGTTACTGTTACAGTTCTGCTCGCACTGCACTGTCGGTGGTGGTACTCCTTTGAATAAACGAGACATGGCATACCTGAACACCTCAAGTAGCTGCGCCTCGGACAAAGATTCACAGTTGAAGCCTACAGAGTTCAAGTTCGAAATGACAGGATTTGAGACCGAAGATACTACAAACAAATTAAATTAATAGTTTTCTCTTTAAATAAAAAAAAAGCAATATCTTTTACCTGTAGAGACGTTACAAACAATAGCAGAAACAGAACTTTCATAATTCCACCTTCTCTTGATAGAAACACGATTCTCACCAACAACACAGCCAGTTTCTTCATCTAAAATATTTTTTTTTTAATTAAAAAAAAACCATAGCCTACCATTATTCATATATAACTGATTACTAATTTATGTACACTGAAATCTGTAAATGCATATACACATGTATAAAGTTGAGCCTATCACTTCTCGCAGTTCATTGGGAATTCCAGTTTTTTTTATTTACAAAAATTACCGGTAGGCTTCGAGAATCACCCACCCCAGGTGTTGGCAGTCCAGGTATAGACCTCAGTTATACCCGCCCAGCCACTGAGGTTGAACGCCAGGGGCTATCAAAAGCTAGATCATTTCAGCCCACAACTTAACAGTCTCCCATTTACACTTTCACTCACTCTTAAATACATTCTTTCCTATTCACATCCCATTCACTCAGAATGATGAGAGGATTACTCAATATTCCTCCATTACCCTTTTCATATATTAATAACTAACCTAATTGAGGGTTGATGGGGTATTCAATATTCCACCATCATCTCTCTCTCACTGCACATTCACACTAATTCAGTCTCAATACGCACAAAGAAACTCAACTATAAAACTATATACAGTAAAACAATCATTTCCTCCAAAACACGGAACAGGGGACTTGCTGCCATGCTCAAGCCCAATTCTTATATAGGATGGCATTCCTACATGCTCTCTATATGGAGCCAAGGGATGGCAAGTCACATGTTCATTATGACATTGAATTGTAAAGACTATCCTGAGATACATTAAAAAAAAAAATTTCTTCAAAAAATCGTAAATAAAATCATAAAAGTTCACATTGAAAAATAGTCTTCTCAGCAATGTTGCCAAAGCGATACTAAAGCCAGTGACATCATTTCTATTCCAAAAATATTATCAACACCCGCAAAAGGCTTAGAATCAGGTTTTTGCTAGAAGAGGTGCATCAGTCTGAAACGATGCTTGTATATGGGAGGGGTGTTAGTGTATCATTCAGCAAACTTTCTCTACATGCCAGATACATATGCAGGCTTTGGGCCAAAAGTAAGTGTCCATGTGTCAACCTCACATACCCTATCTTTAATTGGGTGAGGATGACCTTTCTTCTATGAGTCAGCCTCCACAGGGCACCTATCGACATATGCCGCTTCCCTGCCAATCTGGCCTATCTTGCTGCTGCTGCTTTCTATTAATTATGTTTTTCAATGCATTTTTAGCTTCAAAAGGCTGGATCGCGGAGGTTGGGGCAACCCAACCTTAGCCGCCTCATCCGCTTTTTTTTTACCCTCCAGACATGTCGAGACAACAACCACCATTTTGCTGAGACAATCCAGTTCATGGTATCACACCAAGAGCACAATGAGAGGGTCAGTAGAGAACATGTCACCGACAGCCGTAACCATGCTGAGAGAAGTGCACGCTAGGTAGGCAGGGCTGCCATCGTCACGAATCACCTCAATAAAATCTAACTCAAAATATATATATCACGTAAATATTTAATAATTAATTACATTCAAAACGAGTGTTTCCTCTATGGGCCCAGACTTGCCACTCTACAAGAGACGATTTCGGCAGTTCTCTTACAACTATGTACTCTACAATCGCGTTGTTTGTTCTTCTCTCCCATTCCTTCCTCGCTTCGGCTATATATGATGCATTGGTGACGTAGCAAATGCCTTGTACGACATCGCGAAGCTGGGTGTCCTTGTCCATTGCTTTAACCAGTCTGCCAACATGCCTCAAAGCAAGCCTACATTGTCTCCTTATACCACCGGATACGAGAGTCATAGTTCCTGGAACCAACCCGATCTGCCCAGCGACGTATATCACATCTTCTCCTCCCTAAAATTGGCATTTATTATTGGAGAAACATTAAATAGTTTTTTTTTTAATATTTATGATTTTGATGTTTTGTTGTAAGCAAAAGGGTAGAAATTTGTGGAAAATATTGAGTTTGGGGATTGCCAAAAATTGTTTCTGGATATTGTTGTCAGGGATGGTATGAAATAATTTTAAATAATTCATCCAACCGAGTTAGTGATTTTAACAAACAATTCCACTTATCCTCAACCAATGCGTTAAATTACTCAAAATCATTATTCTATATAATTAATTATACTTTTTATCTAAGGTCTCGGTTGAAATTAAAAAGCTAGTGTCAAGAGTGGGATTCAAACCCACAACCTTTGGCTGCCGAAGGTTCGAATCCCACTCATGACCACTAGCTTTTTCATCTTAATCAAGACCTTACATAAAAAGTTAATTAATATGATCAATTATGACTACTAAATGTACATGTATGGTTTTTACACACCATTAATACAATTATAATTAGTTAAGCATTTAGTGTTATTAAGAATCTTTCACACATTGAAACATAAATAAGCCTACTTCATGTGAAAATGAATGATACATCAAAGAAATTTTAATTTTTGTTGTAGTTGAAGATAATTTCATTAATTTAAGAATTTTGCCAATTTTTTATTTAATATATATACTTAACTTAATGACTTGACTGTATGGTCCAATATTTGCCGGTGCCCAATGAGATATTGACTGAACATGCATGCAGTGTTTTTTATTAGAATAAGCTAATGCGTTTAGCATCACAGGTGTCTGTTCATTTAGTCCAACCCCAAGGCATGTCCTTACAGGGGGATTCGGTCCTGTTATTTTATTCAAATAACATTTGTTGACTTGTGTGTACTGAGAGAGGTCTTTCAAGAACAACGACACGTTCACAAGGTGGGCCAGTTGAAGGCCTTTTTCCTGGAGGATGGCTGTAAAGAAAAAATCTTGCGTTAACACAAATGTTCAGCAGAAAATCAATGCAATTGTTGTTTAGAAACATTTTGTAATAAGACATACTAATCATATTATTGTAAATATTGTACGTTATTAAAATATGGAAAAATTATAGTGAAGTCTGCCGTGTCAAACCAATAGCTTAAACATGTCCAAAAGTCTCCCTACTCTCGCTGGTTGTATCATTTTATTTAACAAAAGAGATGATTAACAAATAGTTTGATCATCCTTGTCTGTCTGTCCACTCTGGTTTTGTGACAGACATATTTTGCATTTACCATCTGCAGTGGTTCATTTGTGGTCATGTATATTTTTGAAATTAATTCATAGTTTATAGTTGTGAAAATCATTGATTTTAAAAATGTGGTAGAGTTTTGGTGAGAAACAGTAGGGTTAAATATATTAAATGTGTATGTTTTACATTAAATCAAGTTAAGCAGGGCTATAAAAATAAAATATGTAAAAACCTTCACTTTTTAAGTCCCAAACTTTGGACCTAACTACCACAATACAGACCTTCTGGCACTAAAAAATGTAATTAAAATCATAATTAAACAGCATCAGTGGGCTAAATTAGAAGCTCTATCAAAAGAGGTCAATAGAAGAAGAGGGATCAAATTCACCCGACTGAGAAGCCTTGCAAAGCTGACATACAGACACTTACTTTTGGGCCTGGCATGTTTAGAAAAGTTGTTCATTTGTCCCACCTAATTGAAAGGTGCAATTCCCAGGCTCCTTATAGAGAGCGAGTAGGAATGCCACCTGTTATAATTATACCTGAACATGTCAGCTAGTGTTTGGGTCCCCTGTTCCAATTTTTCTGAGAAAACAGCAGTTTATTGAAAATAGTACTTGTTAGATATCTCGTTTTATGTATATTGAAAGTGAATATATGTATTAAGGTGAACGTGTAGTATGAGAGGGCAAAATATTGAGTACCCCATAACCCTTAATTAGATTAGTACGTAATGGAGGAATATCATGCACTCCCACCCTAATTGTGTAAATGGTTTGTAAATAGGAAAGAATGTATTTAAGAGTGTGTGAGAGTGGGTTTAGATTTAAAAACCACATGTGTGGGGACTGAAACAACCCAGATATTGACAGCCCATAGACCGTAACTCCAGCATCAACAGAGAAGACCGAGATCTAACCCGGATCACCAAAAACCAAGGTAGGTATTCTTCGGGCTTACTAAGAGAAGTCATAAGTTCAATTCTGAATACATGCGTATGTACATATGTGTGCAGAGTTGAGCTTATATAAATCAGTATATTGTTTTACTTCAATTGATTTGGTGAATCATAATAAAAATCAAATTTTTGGGAAAAATTAAGGCTGATTAAATCTTTATTATATTAGAAGTTTTAAGAAGTGTGTAGAGATTTGTGACCGTTAATCGGTAGTTATTCAGATATCGTGAGATGCTGTCGGGTGTGATGTAGGTTTCAGAAAAACATTTTCTTTATCGTGCCAACGTTTCAATCTTTTATTGAGATCATCTTCAGGGCTGGGATTTACAAACAATGTTTACATTTAACAAATACACATCCTCAATGTATTTGTTAAATGTAAACATTGTTTGTAAATCCCAGGCCCTGAAGATGATCTCAATAAAAGATTGAACGTTGGCATGATAAAGAAAATGTTTTTCTGAAACCTACATCACACCTGACCGCATCTCACGATATCTGAATAACTAAAGTTTTAAGAAGTGCTGATATTTTGTAGTTAAATTTGTCTACCTTCTAATTTCACCAATGCGTCAGTCATTGCCAAGGTGATATCACTGTTTTCACCGACTATCCCTCCAACCCAGTACCAACCGCTACCATTGCTCACGGCTGTCACTTTATTCGGCGAAGGCTCCTTTTCTATAATCTCCAACAATGGATCTATATCCTAAAACGGAGGAATTTTGAGGTCAAGGAAAATCGCAGTAGGTAAGTAACATTAACCAATGCTCCATCGAAGTCACAGTCTGTAGCATCAGAATCAGTATCGGTCACTTCTGCCTGGTCGATATCTAATATATAATCATCGATGGTTTTTGCCCGGCAAATTTTCAACCTGTCGGCTAAGCTTGAATTGCAGTCTACGCCCTAAGTAAAGCACAAAATGTGAATGATATAATTCTATTTAAAAGTACAGTCTACAAGTACAGACTTCTTTCGATACAAGACGTATTTTTGTAAAATTCAGATATCCAACAGGGGCGATAGCATCATTAGAATGGATTACAGTCTCCCAATCATCTCTGGAAAAAAAATTAAATTATGTACTAAAGAAAAAAAAAGGTTTTAGCTTTTTTACACGATTATATTTTTAAAATATCTAGCTTGACTACTGACTACATAAAATGAAATCTATGTTGAATCAAACTAAAATAGTACAACTAATTACAGAATAAACATCTAATTTAAATTAGTCTATAATGTACATATCAATAGAACTTTCATAAGATAAATTTATTAAAAAAGTCTGAAGAATATAGCAATTCTAGTCTTACTTTAAAGATAGCCAGGTAGCAGAGCATTAAGCTCAAACATAACTAGCTCAAAGATGGAGCTTAATTTCAAAACTAAATTAAATGAATTAGGTATAAGTTTCCCTCTGCTGGGTTCCAGGACACATATTAGTATAGGGAAACAAGAGGGCACACACTAGCAATGTGTATATTAGACAAGAAGACAGGAAGAAAATGAGGAACAGTGGAATTCACTCACACAAACCAAGAAGCTTCTGACGAGCTTCGGAAGGAAAGAAGCAACAGAATGCATCAAAGGAAGCATGAAAAAACTTTGAATCCTACTAGGAATCTTAACAGGACACTGCACGGCAATTGAAGAAGATTAGAATTCAACGCGGTATGAGTAGATTCCGAAAAGATACTGTACTAACAAACTGCGGGTCTACACTTGCCCATAGGAGTGCTTTGTGATGTACAACATAATTATAGAAGAAATTCAACCGGTGAAACCGAGCCTACTAATCAAATTTCTTGATGAAATAGGACTCACCGGGGTTCTAATAACTCTCATAGGGCGCAGTGCGTTACAGAGGGCAGAGTATATTACCCTAAATAATACATCTAAAAAGTTATAATATTCTGAAGCTAATGTAATTTTTTGTTGAGGATCAATCCCCAAGAGCTCTTTTTTCTTCCCCCCCCCTTAGGCTACTGAGATTTGAACCCAGGATGCTTGCAGTGATGAGTTGCCGTATCAATGCCTTAACTTTTGCAGCCACCAGCACCTCTTATTTCTCATTGATTCATAGGTCAACAACTTTTCAATTAAAATTCGAATTAAACTCGGATTTTCTTTTGCAAAATTAATAAACATGTACAATACATCTAAATTGCCTGTTATCTAACATTATTTATGTTAAATATTTTAAAGAAATCTTAGTTGTTTATTCTGTAAAGTATATGTTCTGTACAGCTATTTAATAACCACGTCCATTATAAAAATAAAATAGAAGGAAAATTTGAGGAAATGAAAAGATAATTAAATTATAAATTCTGAATTGGAAAAAAAAGATATTACAGTGGCCCAACAAATATTAGTTAGCAATTATTAAAAGTAATTTGGCTTTTATTGTAAAATATTCTTCCTGAAATGCACAAAATCAAAACCTGTTATAATGAATTTTTCGTTTTATATTCTATTATAAACTTTGAAGGTCTCTCATACTTACATGACTAGAGATTTGCAAAACAAGGGACAGTCGAGTGTAAACGTCTCATACTCCCCGCCCTCCCCACAAATATTTAATCCATATTTTTCATTCTGGAAAGGAATTTGATAACAAAATCAAGATACACAACGCCGCAAGGCAGCAGAGTCGTGAGAAATAGAAGTCTTCAAATAAAAAAAAATGATTTAAATCTTATAATAACTAGCTTATATTTATAAGAAATTATGCCTTTTAGAATTAATAAATAATTAATTAACCAGTCTATGACTTTTAGATTAATTTTAATTGATAAATAAATTAAATCTAGACCTTCAATAATAATCAAGAGTAATGAAAATTCACTAATTTCGTGGTCCGCTTGACCAATTTATCTCAACTGAAAACCTTAATTAATCGTAAGTAATGAAAATATAGTATTCTACTTAATGCTAACAATTAAATTAAACATTTACCTTTACTAAAGCAAAAAATACGCTGAAGCAAAAGTCATTCCTATATAAATGAAACAAAAGTTTTCTAAAAGCGTATTAAATACAATGCTCACCATTTTAATAAGATGGGGTTGTATTTCTGATATTTTTAAGCCTAAATGTTTCGCAGGATCTAGTCCTAAAGCTGCGACCTTAATAACAATGGCATCTATATGTGTATTGATCATTTCTTGAAGCAATTCGCCTTGATCTCTTCTCCAAAGATAAGCTAGAGTAACCAGACCTAGCCTGGCACAACTGAAAATCAAAGAAATATACAAATTTTACAAGTATTGATTGCTTGACATAATTCTTTTTTTGTTATAGTACAAATATTTGATTTTATACGTTGGAACTAAGTACATACACATTTTCTACTCGCAGTCTTTGATAATCTGAAAGAACGGCTCCCACACCAACTGCTTCAATATGGACTTCTTTCTACAAATGATAAATAAAATATTTACGATTCAATCTTAAATAGCCTTCAGGACAATGCATTCTCATTTACACACTAACATACATAAACAATAATCATGAAACAACACAGATAAAAATGAAAATGAACCTGGAGCTTAATTATGTTGTTTACGACAAATAATTTCATTAAACTAAAGTTCATCTTTATATAAACATAATCTTTTACATTTTTCCTGTATAATTTTTTGCACAATGTATGTAATTTATCCAGGCCTGGTAGATGACCTGAATAAAGGTCAAAACATCGGCAAATAAATGAAAAAGGTGGTTTTCTGAAATACGTCTAATCTGACCGCTCCTCAGTACTTCAACCACTTGCTTAAAGTTTAATTGTTACTGATGCCAGATGCATTTTCAACCAGTGAAGATGGTAAAATGATGGAACATGTCTGACAAAAGTAGAAAACATATAACCATGATGGTCAGTGATGTTCAAGCTACAATTTCTTAATTTTTTCTTTCATTATTTTTGATTTATGTTGATAGTTAATGTAAATGTTTTTAGAATTTGACTGCTTTTTTCCCAGTTTTACACTAAAATTTGCTACTATGCACTTTATTAAAGATAAAAATGTTAAGTGGTAAAATATTTACAGGTTACAATTAAAACTGCATTTAAAAACTTCATTGGTTTGAGAACCTTTTGAAAATTTTTTCAAAGCTTTTTCACATTAATATAATGATTTTTGACCGTGCTGATACAGTTCCACTTGTTTTACCTTAACATTAAGCAAAAGTTTATAAAGATCTTCAACTTCATCCTCAGGGGTCGGAGTGTACATTTTTTCATTTTGCAGCGCGACTCCAGAAGTCTCATATCGAAACAGTGGCAAATTCAACGCTTCCGCATACATTTCCACCCCTTGATGCCCGACAGTCTGGTACATGTAGCTGTCGAGTTCATCTGAAAAAAATTAAAACAGATACAATGCTAGCAAACTCTTTCTTAAAACCTTTCAAAATCATTCACATACCTCTTGTGTCTGGCTTTAAATTAGCTAAGGCGACAATTTCATGACCAGCCATCACACACTGCAGCATGTTGTAACAGCTGTCTTTTCCGCCACTTATTAATGCTACTACCCTCATTTCGAACTCAATAAACGTTGTTTATCCACAAAAATAAGTTGTTATCTAAAAAATGTCACTGAAACAAACATTCTATTTTTGAGAGAAAAAAAAACTAACTCTTTAATAGATAATATAACTGATATGTGTGGTTTATCTATGTTTGTACAAACTGGTGAATTGATAACGGGCTTCTGTTCACCGACAAATCCAGCTGCTTACAGTTTTAGATAAACAAACTTACCAGCGACATTGTGTACGTTGAAGAGATTCAAGAAATGAATTTGACAGCAAGTCTAGAAAAAAACAGAAATAAATGTAATTTAAACAACACTAAATCTTGTGCGTAAAATATTAATGCTAAAAATAATCACATATATAAAATAAACTTTGCAGACAATAACTAAATTGAGATATTTTGGTAATTATAAAAATTAAGTTTTGGTATTGTTATAAGGGGAGAAAATGCCCTTGCATTACGTTGAAAGTTTTTTATTTATTTTTTACTATTATCTTATCCAGGATCAGATGTCTTCAGATTATCTGTTGTCCAATATGCTTCACCGGTATCTCGGTAGCAAAGTTAAAATGTCCTTAACTATTGCAAATTTTAAAAGAATACTACATAAGAAGAAAATATTACTTGTATTATATTCACTTTTATACACAATTTAAAGTAATTACATTATCTATATGGCAGGAAATTTTAAATCCCCCCTATCAAATTCGTTTTTATTTCATTATTTTATGATGTTAAAATATATTATAATTTTATTTGAATTATTTCTTGTACACAATGCTTTCTTGTAGATAATGGATATAAAATCAAAATGAACATCGACTTTTTTTTAATGTAAAGAAGGTTAAGAAGAAAAATTAGTGTCATTACATTTTTTTTTAATGTGTAGAGATTAGTGACCGTTAATCGATAGTTATTCAGATATCGTGAGATGTGGTCGGGTTTTTTTTTAATGTTTTACTATTTTACACACTCCTACACTTTTTTGGTATTTTATCATTTTTAACCAAACAATTGTTATATCACATGAATATTAGCTTGAATGAAGAGGCTTCTTTTTCTTTGGGGGGGGGGATTCAAGAAGGAAAAGAAAAGAATAAAAAAGAATAAGAGGGCTGGTTATGACCAATGTAGTTTGCCAACTCTACATCTATCCACAAGAAAACGTCAGACTTTTAGGCAGATATCACTAAATAAAATTTTAACTTGAATTTGATGTTGCCAAAATATTACAAAACAATTATTTTTTAAATGCATGTATAATCCTTTTATATTCAACAGTTTGAATCCTTGTGCACAATACTAATACATTTTGGCTGTAGAGAAAAAAACACAGTGAAATTATGGATCATTAAGCGAAATTAATCCTTGTATATATCGTATTCGGTTTTTATAAAAGATTTAAATCATATCTTGATAACTGAACAATCAAACACCAGGTTTTTGGACAGAAATCACTACTTTATTGGTATACCAAATGAAAGGTGTCACTGCTGTAAGACATTTTGGATAATCCAATTCAAATATGTTCACATGGAAAAATATATTAACATTTTATAATTCTTTATGGGTAGACCAAATGAAAGGGTACTGCCATAATACGAATGTTTTAAATCATTTCAATTTATTATAATTTAGAAAAATTTAGAAATATATTGTTATTTTATAACCTTACATATTAATTTAGATACATATTATATTATTATTTTGTTTAAAATGAACTGTATTATTATATCTTTACAAATTTACGTATATATGCATAAAACCTATAAACTCACAAAGTTACACAATCAAAGCCCAAAGCTGAGAACACTTCATTGGTATACCAAATGAAAGTTACTGCCCGAACATGGTCATTTTAGATAATCCCAAACAAATAGTGTATCAAATATTGAAAAACAAATATGAAAATGTACTTCCTTTTTTGTTCTTTTTTTCTTAATATCTTTACACAAAAAAATAAAATAAAAAATAAAAAAGCCTAGCCAGAGAATTTATTTTTTTGGTATACCAAATTAAAGATTTTCTTCTAAATGGCAAGACATTTTAGACCATCCAATCAAATACATATGTTTTTATCTAGAAATTTAATTTACAATGATTTTACGATCGTACAATACAAAAATAGACTTTCTTATTTTTTTATATCTTTACTAATTTTCATGCCTGCATGGGAGATGAAATTAACAACAGCTGAACACACAACCCTAGGCAGAGAAATATAGATATTTTATTGGTATACCAAATGAAATATTTTTGCCACTTCTAAATGACGAGACATTTTATACCATCCTAATCAAATATGTTTGTATTGAGAAATTTAATTTGCAATTATTTTAAGATCATACAATATAAAAATAGATTTTTTTTGTGTGTATATCTTAACTAATTTACATGCATACATAGGAGATGAACTAACGAAAGTTTAACATATTTTATGTATATCTTTACTAATTTACATGCATAAATAAGCCATGAATTAACAAAAGTTAAACACTCAACCCCCAGGCAGCGAAATATAACTTTATTGCTACATCAAATGTAAGTCTCTTCTAAATGGCAAGACATTTTAGATAATAACAATGTGTGTGGTGATTAGTGACCGTTAATCGATATTTATTTAGAAATGAGATGCGGTCTGGTTTGATGTAGGTTTCAGAATACATTTTCTTTATCGTGCCAACATTTCGATCTTTATTGAGATCATCTTCAGGGCTCAAAGTGTTTGTCTTCTGTGTAATTGTGTCATTCTTGCGTGTCGTGTCAAGAGTGCCACTCAACTCACAGGCAGAGAAATGTATGTATGTACATATTTTATTGGTACACGAAATAAAAGATTTTTTCCGCTTCTAAATGGCAGATATTTTAGACCATCCCAATCAAATATGTTTTTATGGAGAAATTAATTTACAAGATTTTACGATCGCACAATATAAAAATGGACTAGTTTTTGTAATTTTTGTATAACTTAACTAATTTACATGTCTGCATAGGAGATAAATTAACAAAAGTTGAACATATTTTATGTATATCTTATAAACTTTATTGCTACACCAAATGTAAAATTTCTGGCCCTTCTAAATGGCAAGACATTTTATATCATACCACTTTAATGTTTGTTTCAAAAAATATATTGCGATTCCTATAACATTACTAATTTACATACCTAAAAAGGAGGTGGAATTAACAACAGTTAAACACTCAACATCCAGGCAGAGAAATATAGATATTTTATTGGTATACCAAATGAAAGAATTTTGCCACTTCTAAATTACAAGACATTTTAGACCATCCAAATCAAACATGTTTGTATTGAGAAATTTAATTTACAATGAGCTTACAATTGTACAATATAAAAATGAACTAGTTTTTGTATTTTTAGTATATTTTTACTCATTTAAATGCCTGCATAGGAGATGAACTAAAAAAATTGAACACACTTTGTGTATATCTTCACTAACTTACATGCATACATAAGAGAATGAATTAACAAAAGTTGAAATATAAACTTTATTGCTACAAGGAAATGAAAGATTTCTGCCACTTCTAAATTTCAAGATTTAGACCAGCCCAAGAGAAACGTTTTTGATTTTACAATATATAAATGGTTTTATATCTTTATTAATTGGCATGCAAACATAGCAGATGAACTGACAGAAGTTAAACAATCCCAGGGAGCGAAATGACTACTTTATTGGTATACCAAATGAAATTTTAAATTCAATTCACTTCTGTTCAAAATATTAAATTGCACGTGCTTAATTATGGGCAGAGTAAAGATAATTGGTTGTAACGTATTAATTTAAAAAGGTCTCATCTCGTTAATTGAAACTTATTATTGACCACAAAGTCTTGGTTTTACTTTGGAAGTAAAAACAGCTCCAGATTGTGAATGAATGAGTTGAATATAAAGCTACAAAACTACAAAATGTGCTATTAAAGAAATGTGACATTTTGTCAAACGACTTTTACCTTATCTCACCGACATTGATAGATAATATTTATGTCGATAAAATCATTTTAAACTATTTTTAAACGGAACTAAAAAAGATGACGAATCTCTTTGCCAAAACTGGCGTTTTTTATACAAGCGCAAGCTAGTGGAGCTTGATTTTAACATAAAACACTGGGCTTTTTTGTAATTGATCATGCATTTTTGTGTGAAATTTGTGTTGTGTATAATTAAAATCGTGATTAGTTTTTTTTAAGTGGTTCAAGGCAGGGGGAAAAAGATGGAAAGGCAAGAACAGGAAGAGTTGGAAATATGGCATTTTAAGAATCTTCTACTGTCAGAACTTTTCCAAGTAGAAATATATAATTTTTTTAAAACGTCAATGTGTAATTATTGAAAAAAATAAGAAATATAATATCTCGTGGAGGTTGAAGCGGTGGTTATCCGTATAAAGGGATTATTCTATTCTAAGCAATATGCCCAGCAATATTGCAATTTAGGTCTAAGACTCGCCTTACCTGAAAGCCGGCCAAGCACCCTCGGACCGAAAGCCTTCCCGGTGTGACTTCCCTTCGGAAAATTGACCAGGGACAAACAGAAGATGAAATAAAAGAAAACTTTTAAAGTTTTAATATAGATCTTCGCGAAACCGCCATCACAAGCGCTCTCTCGCCCGGCCGAGATCACTATGAAACGCTGGCCATGTCGTCGATTTTTACCCATCGTACGAACTATCAAGGCGTGATGTTCGACTTTTTAACTCAAACGAAGATCGATGGAGGTCTTTATTCGAAAATTTTTACTTTCTTTTCACTTTTATACACTTTTATTTGGGTTTATTAAAAGCGCGTTTAGGATGTCATGACCCGCATTTCGGTCGACCGTAGCTTCCAATGTTCAATTAGCTATACAACCCTCATTCCTCTCCCCCTCAAAAAATTCAATCCTTCTCTTTGATTTTAAATTATTCATATTGAATTTGTAAATCCTCATTCCTGAAATATTTATTGTACACGTAAATATCGCTACTTGGCTTTAAAAATAGCAATAACCAAAAAATATATAACGTTTTAATAACAAACTTAGCATTATCAAATAACTTTGCTAATCAGTTCTAAAGTAGTTACAAAAATAGTTATCGTCATAACAATTTGAAAAGCACATTGCAGCTTATAAATATGTATATTTTAAAAGCACATATTTTTTAAACAAGAACAATTTCAAAAACAGACAAATATTAGCGATTGCAACGCTCCTTGAGTCAGCTATATGTAGTCATTTTTAAAAATCTTGAGGTCTAGTGTATTTTTATAATTCTCACTTACATTAAAATTACGAGAAATTATTTGTGGAAAAAGATATTCCTTAATCACTGTACAAACTCGGAATTACTAAATGAACTAGAAATAGAACTACTGAATGATTAGAAATATAAGTCAGACATTATAATTAGTACTGATTACTGATTTATAAAGCTCAAATGTGCATAAGCATGCTGTTGGCAGTCTGGGGTCAGACCTTGGTCTTATCCGTCCAGCACCAAGGTTGGGTTCCAGGGTATATCAACAGCTAAGTCATTTCAGCCCCCCCCCCAGTGTAATCGGTCTCCCATTCACACTCTTGCAATCTTAAATGCATTCTTCCTTTTTTATATACCATCCACCCAGTTAGGGTGTACCCTAATTGAAGGGTTGATGGATGCTCAGTATTCCACTAATGACCCTCTTACACTATACTGTGCACTAATAAATACATTCACTCTCAACACACTAGGGAACACAAAAATATCAGTATTATATACAATAAAACTAGAATTACAACAGGAGACTCAGATACTCGTTGCCATGCTCAAGCACAATTCTTGTATCGGGTGGCATTCCTACATGCTCTCCATATGGAATATTTGTCTGTGTCAACCTCGCATGGCTTATCCTTAATCGGGTGAGGATGACCCTTCTTCTACAAGTCAGATCCTCCAAGGGCTATCTATCATTGTAATTATACATAAATATAAGTATGGTTATCCAGCATTCGTATTAAAATGTTGAATTTATTTTCTATTTATTTTTTGTGCTTTGGGTAATTGATGAATTCTACCTTTCTTCCTCTGCAACCTAAAACCTTTGAAAAGTGCCCTACATTGGAGGCAGATTAGCACTTTCACTTTAGAATTATTTCTTTAGGTATTAATATCACTTTTCCAAAGAAGCTTGTTTCCAGGCCAAAGCTTTGCACTCACAAAGGACGTGCCGTTGTCTCTGCTTCTTTATGACACACCGAGTGCACTTTCCAATGTTTGTAATCATAGGTGTTCCTAATAAGCTTATATAGGTTGCCCCTTGGTACTAAATAAAGAACAAATTATTTTTTAGATATTTAAATATCTAGATCATATGTTTAACCACATGGTCTCACCAAAAATACTTCTGTTATTATGTAGCATATAATATTTGGTACACAAAAAACTATGGTATTTACTGGAACAGTGTAACTTCTAAAAAACTAAAGAACATTCCAAATTTTTACATTATTTTCTATATTTCTTACTCGATGACATTACGTCATTTTCTAATTTGATTTTGTAGATTGTATCTCATGTCAATTTAAACTTGTGGCAATATTCGCTTTTTCAACCAACTTTGGTGGTTTGTCAGTGCATTTCCTCATTTATAGGCATTGTTGTTAAAAGTGGGGAAAGGCACTTGGCACAAAACCAGTAAGATTGGGAATGCCAGGCTAAAATGAAATAATCAAGCTAGAGGCTTAGACCTCAGCAAATATTTCACACAAAAAAAATTATTTATTCATTATTACAACTTATTTTGTATTTTTCTTTTGTACATCCACAATAAAAATATATTGAGAAGAAAATTTCTTATCATATTGAATGAAACGGATATAGGTTTTGTGTATTTTAACTTCAGTTGCAAGAATTATATTTGTGAATTTAACTCAAAATCCCAGCATGCTAAATAACATTTTTCAAGCCAACAAATTTGATTGTATTGTTCCAACAGAATTTATAATAGTAAAATACTATGGCAGATGTTTTTTTCATCTGACCTTGTACAATGAGGTGTTTTATAACAATTTCTTTGGAAAATCACAGGTACAATATGACGTGAGACCTTAGATTGAAATCACTACTAATTGGATTGGCAGAACCAAAATGGAGAACACAGAAAGAAAAAACGTGAGTGATCATCTTTACAGTGTGAAACTTTGTAATGCAAGTAGACATTTGTTTTTCCTTAAAGGGCAAGTTTAAGTATCACAAGCAATGAAATTTTAAATTTCTAAATACTAATAGAGTATTATTGTATTTTATTCACATAAATATTTTACTTTGAAAATATTTTTTTAAAATGAAAATGGTTTGATTCGTTGACTACAAATTTTCACCTGAAAACTACTTTAAATAATTTTTGTTCCTTCGCTTTTACAGATGCAAGATGTTGTTCTCCAGGTCAGTTGTGCCAAATTAGTGTTTTGTGGTTACACATCTAATTTTCTCTTTTTACATCTTCCATGAGGAGACTCGCCAAGAATTTTACCTCAAGCACGCAGCATGGCTGTAAATGAGCTGCAAAGGAAAATCACTTGTTTGGCCCTAAGCCAGTCTCAGCTACTCAGTTCCTACAGTTCTTTGTCAAAACTGAATAATATCACATGCAAAAGAATCCATACCACTGTACAGTGTATGAAATGTAAAGTTAATGCTCCCAAGAATGAAAAGAAGGAAAAGAATGAAAATATTGGAAAAGTTGAAGAAGCGCAAAAATCACCTATATGTGACCCATCGATGTGTTGCAGGCCAAGTTTGAAGGACATTTTACCAGCCTGTTATGCAAATAAAATCTGCTCTCTTGTAACTGCAATAGTTTTTCCTTTTACCATTGTGGCATTACTATTAGTTCTAGCAGATGCTTTGTTCAACTACATCGACTGTCTGGAAGATAATGTATTAGACTCAGAAAAGCCATGCTCGCCTCCCCGTCAAATTAACTTGCTCAACAAATCAGAGAAATTTTCTCTTAAAGAAATATTTTATATGGCTCTTACATTGGGAATAAAAGTTGACAAAAAGAAACTTGAGAGGCCCATTTGCCAACAAGTAGTAGATGACAAAGACTGTGAGGATAATGCCAATAGAAAGTCCGAAGGAACACAGTTAAATAGATTAAATAAAAACCTGGAAAAAATTGTATATTTCTGTTGGAAAAAAACTGATAAATTAGTATGTCGGAGAGCTACAAAAGAGGAAGAAGAAAGGATGGCAGTGTTAAATAAAAAGCAGTGCATAAAAACAAAAATTTCTTCATCACAAACAGAAAATGAAAAAGAAAATGAACAAAAGAATTGTAAAGAAGATGCCAACAAAGAAACAAAAGAAACTGACAAAATAAAAACAGAAACAGCACCCAAACCAAAAGATGAGAGAGGAGAGCCAGAAATAAAAGATCAAGAGGCCCAAAAAAAAACCAAAATGGAAAAAGATGTCGTTACTCTTAAAATGAAAGATAGCAGCTCTAGTAGCACTAAAAGTCCTAGTAGCTCTAGAAGCACTAGTGGCTCTAGTAGCTCCTTCCCTCATGAGAAAGTAAGGGACGATGCACTTCGGAGGGAAATTAAAAAAATCGAGGAAAAGGTTATGACAGATAGCGATTTAGGATTGCCTTTGGGGATGGTTAATATAATTGCTCTAATAATTATCCTCCTTACAATGATGTTATGACATAATAAATATATCAGAGCTTAATATTTTTATTTAAAAGTCATTTTAATGAAGACAAAATGAAATAGTATTAGATTGTATTCACAATAAAGGTTTCTAAATGCTACATTTTGGCATTTCTAAATATTTTTGACCAAAAAATATATTTTTTTATAATTCCCAAAGTTATATCAAGATCTTTTTTTAGAGATTACATTTATATTATTAAACTTGATGATCTCAAAGGTTAACATTTAACCATAGATTTAATAAAATTATGTGTAATTAATGAAAGATGCTTTTACTAAATGTTTGTTTTATTTGGTAAAGAATGTTGTAAAAATTTTGTTAATTATCTGTAATCACCTGCAGGTCTTGTATTACATCTATCCTAGTTTTCATACAACTTATTTTTTAAATTAACACAAAGAAAATTTGTGAATTTCTAAGTCTGATGATGTACTGGTTAAGTGACAGTGGCCATGTGTACCTCATTTAATTTTAACATTTTTAAAAAATTGAAAAACCTAATTAATGAAATGTTTAAAATGGAGCTTATGATTAAAAAAATTAAAACTTCTAGGTTGAGTTGTTTTTAAGAAATCATGTATATTTAACTTTTTATCAAATGGTTTTCACTATTTTTTTGTAAAATTGAATTAACTTTATGAATCCACAAATGAAAACGTAAGTTACCATTTGAAAAACAATTCATTTTTTAAATTTTTAAGAAAATGAAATAACCTGTAGTTATTTTTAACTCCAACCTTACATGGCATGACCACATCAGCTATTATCGCTAATATTAAAGGTCTACTCAAGAAGCCAATCACTTCGATGTCTTATCTTTTTCACTACACAGAATTTCTACTATACTCCCTCATGCCATACTTTGTTGAGAATCTGAGAAACATCTAAAAACACTCCAGTCATGTACAGTTTCTGCTCAAACTAAAATGTGGTTTTTGAGTGTTAGCTCTTCATCAAGAATGTATATTATAAAATTTATATCCAACACAGACTAACATTAAAACAAATTACATGGTCTGCAGGTTATTATTTAAAAAAGAAGGAATTTATGAAATTATTATGACTATACTGTGATATCCACCACCTTTGCAAAATTGAAGTACAAAATTCAAAGTAGTTTTTTAAGTTATTAACACTGCTATTGGGTTTTATGTGAAATTTGTACAACAGCAGAGTGAGTATTTACCCCTGTGACACCTGCCAGTATTTTTTTCATCTCGGAAGTCCCTGGTTTACTGCAAAAAATCTCTCTACAAGTTATGATTGTATAATCAGATAATAGGCCTGGGGTAAAAATATTTTTGATTTGTACAATAGTCTCTCATATCATACTTTGTCAAAAGCCTGAGAAACTTCCAAAACACTCCAGTTTTGTACGGTTTCTGCTCAAACTAAAATGTAGTTTGTGAGTTTTAGCTGTTGATGAAGTATTTTAGAAAATAATCCAGACTGTCATCTTTACATTTATTTATATATATACATATGGATCAAAGATCCTTCACAAAGAATATAAATCATGAGGTTATAAGCAATGTTAGTAGACAAACAAAATTATAAAATAACCAGAACAAAGTAAAATGCAGAGAAGAAAAATGTTGAATATTGTGTGTTGGATTAAAAAAATAAATAAATAAATAAAAAGTCAATAAACTATATTTATATATTTTATATAATAATTTATTATAGATTAATTAAATTCTATATAATACAACTATATTTATTTCAAAACAATCTATAAAATTATTGTTTTAAATTTGCATTTAAATGTATTAAAATTTAGTTGAAAAGATCAATATTTGGAGATATCTTATTTCCTTCTACCATTATTCTATTCACGTTTAGAGTGGTATTATTGAGAGAATAATTATATACAATGGTGTTGGAAGAATGATTAATGGAATTACTGAGCATTTAGCTACATTTAAATTTAAATAATTAATTTGACACCATAAACTAGATTAGATTATATAGGAGCCGGCCTGTTTATGACCTGTACATCACAACCAGTATTGGTTTATTGCGCAACTCCATTTTTTTTTTATCTAGAGCTCCTCATTAAGCTTAAGGCCCCAAACTTTTTTCAATGGCTCCCATGTATTCTTCAGGGATTTGCTCTCCCAGGATTAGGAATCTCAGCCTACATAGGCTTTCATACCAACTGTTCCGCTGTTTCTTCTTCGTATTGGCAATATCTGCTCAGGCTCGTTTCTGCCACTCCGAGATGATACATATGCCTCGGAGTCTGCAGTAGTTAGCAGACCAACTATTATTATAGTCCTAGCATGTCTTAGATTTTTATCTATTAACTCTACCATGGTTCTTTGATAAACTTTTTTGCATTCCTCTGTCCCAAGCTACATTCCCATTGAACAGAGGACTTATTAATCCATTGTATAATGGATCCACCTTTTTGGCAGTTTGATAAGCCACAAAAAGGTTCAGGGCCAACAGATGTCATCATTGAACTTTCCTTGTCCTTTTTTGTTGCTACTCTGCCCTGGCACCCAAACAAGGGTAATTTTGTTATTTTCCCCAACTTAGTGGTGTTCAATAACCTGCTTACATAATAAGAAGCAACTAAAGATAGGGCTCTAACTAAACTCTGGACTTTACAGCTGATGGGGCAATTGCTTTCAATGCTGCCTGGCTATCCAAGTATATGGCTATTCTTCTATTGACAATCCCCAGCCTTTTTATCCCCCTGGCACAGTGTTCAATAGCCACAGTTTCCAGTTGAAAGACGGTGGCATATTGTCAAAGACTTATATGAATTCTAGTCATTGGATTATTTACATAAATGCCAGCTCCTGACCCTTATTCAGTTTTAGAGCCATCTATAAACCAGATATAGTCGACATTAACTGCGATCCCTTTCTCCCAGTCTGCTCTACAAAGTATTTTGATTGTAAATTTTTTGTCAAAACTGAATTTAGGGGTCATGGCATCAGCAGGCATCTCCAAAGTTATGTCTAGCTGAAGACCTCAAAACTTTGGTTGCTCCTTATGTAAATAGGCTATTGAACAACACTAAGTTTATCAAAGTCGGCTGCAAGAGAAGTGTTGATTTTATAGAGTACAGAATTTTAAGATCATCAGCATAAAATAGAAATGGTGTAGGAGAAAGAAAGGACTTAAGGTCGTCTATAAAGATTAAAAATAATAATGGGCCTAAATGTGATCCCTGTGGAAGTCCAGATGTAACTGAAATTTCATTACATCGTATATGGTATAAAAAGGTAACTACTTTTTTTATGAAGATATTTATGAAATTATGATGACTATATTGTGATATCCACCCCTTCCTTTGAGAGATTGGATTAAACAATTCGAAGTTTTGTTTAATTATTAACACCATTATTGGATTTTTAAGATATTTTATTTTGTGTGTCTCGTATTAAAAATTGATTGTATGATTAAATAAATCGTTGAAATTATGAAAACAGTTGAAAAAGTCCGACTCAAGTGTTGGCGTGAATAAAATAGAAAAAAGGGGAAAATGGGTCTGCACTCTGCGGCCTTGTTGATGCGTGGAGCGCTTTCGTCTCGTCGTCGAGGGGTCGCCCCGTTCGCGTGAGGTACTTTTTTACGGTGGCTCGAATCGCCTCTCCTCTCACCACTGACCGACCGCAGCACCACTCAGGCACTCACCCTCGGCCGTCTCGGGCTCCGCTCAATTCCGCTTACTTCTCTCCTCCAGACAGGAAGACAACACTCTCTACGCCCAGGGCTAAAAAGGCGAGCCCTCTTCCCCGTTCACGTTCCGGGATGGTCTTCGCCGAGAAAAACGCGGACAGCTTGAGGAACGGCAGGGGCTCGAGGGTCCCGACCCCGAACGATCTCTCTGGGTTGAGCAGCGACGAAGAGTCAGGTACGCATTTCGTCGAACCTCGCCGCCTCCTTCAAGACCTGGAAGTCGACGCCTTCCATCAGATTTTCATCTTCACACCCCATTCCCTTTCCTCCTTTTCCCATCTCCCTTTATACAAATTAAACCTAGAACCGATCCAGGGGTTTCGATATATTTCTAAAAGCTCAAATCTATTCCAGGTGAGAAAATCAGGGTTGGGAGGGAGTACCAGGCAGTCATCCCTCAGTTCATCCCCATCTCAGGTTTGTTCAAACCCTTTTTTTAAAAAAAAAAGCTTTTTTATATTCATTGTTTGTTTTTTCCTTTCAGAAAGAAAATTAGACCAGTGCCCTGACCGAGCTCTCCTGGTTTGGTCTCCAGCCACCAACATACCTGATCAAAAATGTAAGTTATTTCACACTGAACAATTCTTTGCATCATAATTTCCTTCAGTTAACATAATATTTCAAAAACTATATTTCATTGTACTACTCTAAATATATTTCTAAAAAACACTTTCCAACAAGTGAATATTGATTTACGCCTCTTGAAAACTTTACAAGTTAATAATTTTGTTAATAAAGTTCGTTTGCATGTTACATTTCAAAGCTTTAAAAAAAATATATATACAATTTTAAATAAATTTGTTTTAGCCAAATTTCTTTTTAATAACTGCTACTATTATACTTGAAGTTTAATTTAGTTTACTTTCGGTGTTAATTGAAATATCTAAAAGGTGCTAGTAATGGTTGACTTTACTTTTAAAAATTTCAAAACTTTCTTCTATGTAAAACCTCCATTATCCAGAATAACGGGGTATAGGGACGGGATCCATGAAAAATCAAAAACCTCAGATATGGAATTTATTTTTTTAATGCGTTAATTAAAAGATGTATTAAGAAGACATCCTATATTATTTTTATTAATGATTATTATTTGGATATTGTGAGATGCAGTCTTGTGTGATGGTGGTTTAGAAAAACATTTCATTGTGCCTACGTTTCAATCTTTACTTAGATCATCCTCAGGGCTCAAATTGTGTGTTTTTTGTGTAGATGTGTTACGGTTGTGTGTGTTGGTTCGGGTCTTTTATTAATACGTATATAACAAAAAAAATTGTATGAAGAAAAAAAATGTAAAAAATTTCCAAAAGGTCAAATTGAAAAATGGTCTTCATATGTTGACAAAGTGTTAATAAAGGCCTGTGACGCCGATTAAATTCGATTCTACATATACCCCAATAGTATACAATAAGCTTTAAAAGCGGGGGCTTTCTAGAAGAGGTGTGTCGTTCTGGAATGACGTCTATGTATGGGAAAGGGTTTAGCGCGTTGTACTAGAATGATGGCTGTAACTAATGTGTTCAATCTACACAGATTGGTAGGAGGAACAAGACAAAAGACAGTATTCTTCAAATCGGAAGTGACTTGTTACTATGTGAGATATATATATATATCTGTATGCATAGTACACGTATACAGAGACGGGGAGCCCGGTTAATCGAACCCAGGATAATGAAGGTTTTACTGTATATTCTTGTAAAACAAATCTCCTATTTTGTCCTTTATTTTCCCCCCTCAGTGTTCGCAATAGCAGAAGTCATATCAACCCTCACCCCTGGGGTGCCGATGTTTTTAAAAAAAGTCCATTTAAGTATGTTGGCTCAGAATTCAGGGCTGCTGAGATTTGAACCCAGAATTTTTACCTTACCTGTCCTCAACCTTTGCAGCTACTGAAGAGCTTCATTTATTAAATGGTGACTGGCCAAATTGACTACATTGCCATATCTCTAACTCTGTAAGTTCCTTGAACTTAGGTCGAGGTATGCTGGTTTTCGCCTGTTCTTCGACGAGTTAAGGATTGAAAATGTGGCCTGTGCTGTGTAAAACATCCGAGTGGCCACTTTATGGACTCAACCCCACATTGCAGTGTTTACACTACTGAGCCCACCTTTGTAGTTGAGTAGCCTGACTCCGTGAGTGTTTTTCTTCAGATTCTTAATGGACCCTCTCGTCATACTTTCATTTGAAAGATAAGTTGGGGTGTCTCGGAAAATCATAGTAGTTGGGGGTGGGGTACCTTGACAATTCGGGCTGGAGGACATCGAACATGTGGGATGGACCACCCTCCATACCTTACTATCGTCATCCAGCCTGCTGATGCTTAACGTGCAATAAAGAATGTGGAAAGAAAATGACAGCATCAGTGGACCGAGGAATCCGAGGTGATCTTACACATCAAGAGTATGGTTGATAGGTGGTCCCCAGTGTCTAAATTGCAGAGGATTATCCTAACCCAACTCAGAAACAGCTATACGTGGTTGACTCAGAAACTTACTTTGGCATATAGAGAAATGACGCTTAATGTGTCCCACTTAATTGTAGGGTGTCATTCCATAGCTCCATGTAGGTATGCTTCGCAATATGACAATTGTGTTCAAGTATGGCAGTAAATATTTGTGAAATTTAGGGAAACAGGGGAATTTTCATACAGTTTAGACATAGTTTGTGTTTCTCATGGTTTTTTTTTAGAATGTATCTGTAAGCGTGATGTAGATGTGTGCATGTAGACTCCCATAGACCTTAATTGGAGTGTGTGTAATTGTTTATATAAAGGGAATATGCGATATACAGATATTGATATACAGTACTTAATTTAATGGTATATAAATAAGAAGGAATGTATTTAAGAATGAATGTGAATGAGTCTAGGTTAAAAACTACACAGGCTGAAATGACGTTGTTGTTGATAGCTGTTATAAATAAATAAACAATAATAATTAAAATAATAGGTCTGTCTTCACTCACAGGTTTGAGTAGTTCAACAAATCTGTGAGTGAAGATTCAGCATGAGTTTGCAGACTCGCAGACCAACATCCCATCAACTATAAAAATAATAGTTCAACTATATAATTTACCCTTTTTTTTTTTTTTTTTTTTCCTACAATTATCTTGGTCGTGCAGACATACAGTGTGTATGGTTTTAATTTTAATAAAAACCACCAGGCTCCTTTTTTCATTTAAATGCATTTTCGAAGTCTTATGTGCTTCCTCTTCAGAAATGAGTCGAATCCAGTCGTAATATTTTTGAAAAGTAGCCCATAAACTTCAAAAATGCATTTAATGGAATCAATGAGCCTGGAACAAACCCTTCAGACAGAGTACATAATTTATAACAAACTAAACCGACCAAATACCCAATTATATCATAACTAGTATTCAAATTTATTCTCTTGGCACTTATTAAACTGTAATTTATTTAAATTCAATTATGTTTTGTAAATGTTAAATCCTTATTTTATATTTTTAAAAAATTAACAGTTTTAAATGGAATAAGAGTAAGGCGATCTTAATTTTATATTATTAAAATATAATAAACCAATTAAAATAAAATATTTATTAAATCCAACGACCCATAATATTTAAACATATCATCAACAAGTGTTAGTACCCCATTAAATTATTACTTATTTTCAAATTGCACAGATAAATCAAAAAGGCAAAATATATAATGAAGTAAAAAATAAATAATAGAGTAACAATTGTAACCCATTGGGTGTGTCATAGATGAGGGGTCAGAACCACTTTAAAATATGTTTTTCCAAATTATTCCCCATTAAAAGTCAAGGGCTATGCTGGGGTTCGCTAATGCGGTTAATTAATAAATCCAGACACCATAACTATTTGCCAATCGGTCCCTAACAAGTTAAATCAATAAATTTAAAAGCAAAAAAAAAAATAAATCAACAAAGTAATCAAATAAATGTAGAAAAATGTGAATGAGGTGGGGTTCACATTGCAGAAAAAATAAACCACTTAAAAAGTACATTCGAAGGGGACCTCAACCAAGTCTTCCTTCCACCTTGGAGTAATGGTAGATAACAAATAAATGATATGGAGAATTCGAAAAAAAAAAAGAAAAAAAAGTTCCTTCATCAATTTTTCAAAGAAGACACCCCCCCTTCAACTGGACTTTGAAACTGTTTCTATTTATTTACATGGTTAACAAATTCAGTAACATGAATAAAAATGGAGTGATAGAGTGAATATTCAACAGTTGGTTCCACTCACAAAATGGCAGTGTTTCGGATTTTGAGGGTTTCCTCATCAGACTATAACAACTACAGTTTGTGAGTATTAAATACTCATTCCATAATTTTCATTTGTTTGTTAAGTTCAAACTCTATGTATAGATTTTAATCTTTTTAAAAAGATTGTTCCTACTCACAGTAAGTTGTTTCCGGATTTTTTAAGGCATCATCGTAGGGCATGTGGGGGCAGGCATCATGGGGTAGTCGGTTCGGTGAATGCCAGTAGGAGGTGAGTGGGGGAAGGGTACCTGAGCATATTAGGCTCTGTAGGTCTGGGAGATGTGCACTTTTCCACGATATCGATGTAGTGGTTTTTATTCACATCTCTGGATGGACCTCCGTGGAAGAGAGAATACATAAAAGGTAAGCCTTCCTTTTCCCGGGGTTTGTCGGTTGCTGGGCTGGGCCTCCTAAATAAAGTCTAAATAAAGTGCCTGAATATGCACCCGTTTTAAAACTAATAAAAATTATATAATTATGATGGTGTGAAAGAAAATTAAACAAAAACACCGTAAAATCATTTAGTTGTAGATTAAAATTTAACGAGTTTGTTAAAACAAATGAAGCCCTGATCTCATTTAATTTGGTTTGCAGTAATATAAGTAAATTGTAATTAATATAATAATAAAAATAAATATAGTTTGAAGTAAACAACAAAATGCGAGTGTCTTTTTTTTAATTTTTTTTTTTTAAAATGTTTTTAAGTATATTTGTTAACCATGTAAATAATTAGAAATAGTTTCAATGTCTTGTTGATAAAGGAACTGTTTGCCTGTCAAATTTGCCTTAGCCCTGATTTTTTTGTATATAACTATAACATTAAGGTTGATATCAATCACAGATGATTTTTTTGGCGTAATTTAAAAAACTTCGCAATAATAGACACTTTTAGACCAAGTCATTATCTCTGGTCTTTATCAAAAGCCTAGATGTATGTAACAGTATTTTATTATATCAATCCATATATGTTCAGCAGTCATAATTGACCGTATTAATTATTTCAATTAATTATACTTTTTGTCAAGGTCTTGGTTGAGATGAATTTTCAAGTTAGTGTCACAAGTGGGATTTGAACTCACAACCTTTGGCTAGCCCTAACTTTTTCATCTTAACCAAGACCTTAGATAAAAAGTATAATTAATTGAAATATTGTCATATCTTAAATACATAGTGTATAAGAAAACCTTTGAATTCAATGCAGAGCAAAAAAAAAGCAGATTTTGTTAAAATGTTAGTTTTTAACTAGCTATAATTAGTTTACTGAAAAAAATAAAATTATCATATTTTGTCAATTTTAACAAAGTAATACATTAAAAATTAAATTCATAACCTTTGTAGACCAGCCCATATAATCCTAGGCCATATTTAAAAATAATATAAACAGAGAATAACACCAGTGAATATAATTGACCTTTTTATTGCTATACTGCTGTAAAACTAAAATTTGCTGAATGAGTTGGTAATTTTTCAGTCTCTGCCCAAAAATCTTGATTGGTCACTAAAAATATGCTGGAATATCAGCCCAATTTATATAAAAGTTAACCCTTAATTATTAAACAATTATTTACTATACCTGGCCGTTGAGGATTACTCAGTTAAAATTTTAAAATGTTGGTCATTTAAAAAAAAAGTCTTCACCTAAGTGAAAATCAATCAATACTTATTTTATGTAGTTAGCTCATTTCCAATGTTTTATATTTTGACTTGGATGTAGGAACAGAAAATTTAGAAAATGCAGTTTGAATACTTCTCTCATGGAATCAATGTTGATCAATGCCTTAAAGATTAAAACACCACTTTAATTATTAGTTGTATTTTAACTTAATTCAATGAGTTTATGAAACCTGTCAAATTTTACAGAACTTTAGTGAATAAACAATTTTTGTCAGAGAATATAAGTACAAAGAATTTTATCAATAGAATTTTGTCAATCATTTTTGTTTTTTGTTATTCTGTTATCCATGTGTATGCATTGCTCAGTGTAATACATGTTACATTATATGCTTATGGTTGTCTTCTTTTTTTTTTTTTTAATTTTTATTAAAAATCTTGTTTCTCTCATTTTTTGTGTGACAATTGTAAAATGTTTTTCCTGATGAATTTATCTGGCATGAAATAAACAAGTTTGAGATCATCTTTTTCTGATCATCTCAGGCTGTATAAGTACTTTTTAACCAACCTTTATATTCTTGTCACCAAAAATACATTTAATATGTTTGTTTTAACTTATAACATTTCACCATTTAGTGCATGTGGATAATCATCAAATGCTAGATAAAAGAAAACCCTTTTAGGTATATTAATTAGTTTTTCATTTTTATTTTAGTGGATAATTACATTGCTGTTGCAAAAGAAAAATATGGTTACAATGGAGAGCAGGCCTTAGGGATGCTTTTCTGGCACAAACATATTTTACAAAATGCACTCGATGATCTGCCAAATTTTACGCCATTCCCAGATGAGTGGACAATTGAGGACAAAGTGCTTTTTGAACAGGCGTTTCAATTCCATGGAAAGAGCTTCCATCGGATTCGTCAAATGGTAATTTTAAAAAATTTAAAAAAGTGCATTTTGTTTTGAAACTTGCGATTTTGTTTTAACCATTTTTATTTGTATTTTGAAGTTACCAGACAAATCAGTATTTACATTAGTTAAACACTATTACTCTTGGAAAAAAACAAGATGTCGCACAAGTCTTATGGACAAACACGCAAGGAAGTTATCAGCGAGAGCAAGCCTCACGGAAGAAGGGGGTGGTGTTTCGGATGGTGGTTCTGAAGTCGGCTCTAACACAGACTCTGACTCCGAGGACAAGGTCAGTTTGAGATATTATTAAAAATAGAAATTATTGTTTTTAAAACATTCATATTTTTGAAAAATAAAAAAAATGAATGTTATGAATAAAATGACAATATTCATTTGGGAAAAGTTAAATAAAAATTTAAAAGTGGAACATTGTGTCTAGAAGTGGAACCGATACGGGCGAAAAAGTTGTTCACCACCAAGTACATCTCAATCCAGTCAAGAAAATATACAAGACGTGAGTCAAAAAAAAAGAAAAAAATTTTAAGTTAAATTGCACAAACGCTCATAATCGCATTTCTATGTTTATCGCTTTAATCAAATAACTTATTACACACCTTTCTTGTAACAAATGGGGTTTAAATTGCATGTTTCAATTTGGTCATTCAAACTAAACCAATTGTTCATACAATCATCCATCTATTGCTTATTTATTTATTAAGTTTATATATATAAAAAAAAAGGAAATCTATAGAAGACTAGTGTTTTGTTTCTTAGTGCTAACACACATTGTTCATTCCATCAAGATCAGCTTTTGACCATAGAAAACTGTAGATTCTTTAACGCTTTGTCACAAACATTTTTAACATTTAATCATATTGTTTCAATGCTATTGAGTCATTGTAACTAATTGTACCTCTCTGTTTTCTCGTTTTTAAAACAAACCATTGGTGTATACTGTATACAAATATGTTTTACTCAGAGTTGTGAAAGTTGTGTAAATTAATTCACTTTTTGTACATATTTGTGGCTTTAAACCTTACAAAATTGATTGATAGGTTATTTTATTTAGCCTATTTGAAGTGGTGATGTAATGCAAAGGAGGCAGTTATCACTTTTGAAAATTATGTCCTGATCTACAGGGTTTTTGATTATCAGTTCAGTTAAATTATTTTGTCTCCTTTTATTTGCGTTCATCCATAACTTTTTTTTTGTCACTCCTTTTCAAATACTTTTCGCATAAATATGGTGTCACACTACTCACTATGGGTGGGAACAAAATATAACAGAAATTTTAAAAGTTTATGTTAAACGTTTCCTTTCACTAATATAAAATTCCCTTTGTAAAATATTAAATTTTTATTTGGCGAGCCATTTTCCAGTATGCTTTCATTTTCTGCTGAAAAGATGTCCATGCATTAGAAAAAAAGCTTTGTAGGGGGAAAACATGCAATTAAGATCAACATTTCTTCTTTGATCGTCAAAACATAATCTGCTAAATAAACCAGTTATTTTTAACTAAGAAGAAAAAACGATCTTTAGTAAAAAATTACTTTCCTTCCGGTTATAAAATGTTTTTGAACTTTCATATATCATTTATAAATTAATAAAATGTTTAAGTGAATTATTATTAGCTAAAGACTTGTGTAAAAAAAAAAGTAGGAGGAAAGTGAAATGTTATGCTGGTTTTCAAACATTTGTTTTTGTTAGTACGAGTGGGTATAACGGTGAAAAAGGTCACCTTTAAAAGAAAATAGATATTTCAACTGCTTTAGGCATTCCATTTTTAATTTTAGAAGGAAGGAGCAGACTCGAAGACGCCATGTAGTAATTGCGGGGTGTTGTGCACGGTGGCGCAGACGACATCTAAAGGACCGCTTTGCAATTCGTGTTACACCCACTGGAGGTTAGTATTTTATACTTGGCCTCCTATTTGTGTGTATGTGGCTTTTCGAAGCTTTTGTGCTAAACAATATGGCATTTACAGGCGCACGGGCTCAATAAGGCCGACGGTTGGTCCGGCCAAGCCCAGGGACAGGCATGCCAATAGTGTTCTAGCAAGAAGTAAACGCAAGCCACCGAGGGGGATGTACATTAACCATGATGATCTTGTCGTCCTTTCCTCAGACTGCCCTCAGCACGGGGAAGTTATTATTAAAGCTATGGATAGAGAAATTATCTCTCTAAAAAGACAAGTACGTTCTTAGCTCTGATGATAGTGTCTTTCAGTTCCAATCAATGTTTTTTATATATACGATTACACATATTACACAAATATTGACATTTGATTTGGCAAATTGAATTCAACTAATGAAACTATGTAAAGAATTTTTTTCACATTTTAAAGAACATTTTTCAGGTTTGATGATATAATTTTAATTTATTATTTAATTGAAGACGTACCAGAACTCAATGGTAAATTGGTTTTTTGAGATTATCTCAAACTTTGAGTATTGTCACACTTTAACGTGTCACAGTAGCATATTTGAGAAAGCGAAAATTAATGACACTAGTTAAGATGGATTTATATTAGGTGCTACTTAAAACATTCTGCTTATAGGAACTGCAGTTTCTATGATTAATTTTAATTTTTGCTTTATAATATATAATTTATTTTTAATTTTTACACTTTCTTTTACCAGCTGTGCACAGAGATAGAGAGGAGATGCAATGTTATTTTTATTTTAAAATTAGATTCTAGGCACTTTAATGACTTTGTCTTAAACTTATATCAAAGTCTTAATAGCATATATCTCATTAAGATCTAAACAAAAGAGTTGTGAGATATATGCTTGGCATTTTCCCTCGCAGCTTTAAAAAGGGTAGTTATGCAAAAAAAAAAATTATACTCATCATTTATACTAGACTTTTTTAAACGACAATCCATTGTAAACTTGTGTTTTTTTAGAGTAATAACAATTTTTTGTGAACAATTATTTTCTAGGTAATTTAAACATCAACTATTTTTTCTATTATTTATATTTATAAATGTATACTGGTTGTATACCTTGTTGATTTTTTCTCAATAAATATATTGTAATAAGTCTTCTTTTAATTTTATCACAAAATTGCCTCCTCTCTGTCTGTCCCCCCCTTTCATATTTCACTAGGGACTAGGGCATTTTTTGTCGATGGCATCTTTATCTAGTTTGTAAGTGAAGTGAAAACGCATAAATGTTAAACATTTTTTTAAGTCAAAACATAATATATTATCTTAATATAAAAAAGAAATAATTTTGAAAATCTGTAACCTAAAATCATATTTTAATTAATTACTGTTGAAAAGATGAAAAATAAAAACATCTGATACACACAACTCATGGGTAATAAGAATAATTAAGCAGAATTGTATGTCAGTTTTGAAGGCCAACATGAAATTAATAGTGTGACATTTTCAAATTTCCTGAAATAATAATGTTTAAACATTTTATTCCAATGTTTTGAATTTAAAAACACTAGAAAACGAAATAATGCATGCTTATATTTTGCACATTGCTAATTCTTTTTTAACGCTTCAAAGTTGAAGTAAACATTGTTTACCACTTTTCATTGCCTAGTATAAATAGTACAATTTTGATTTCTGATTTTTTTTTTATTTGTGAAGTGCACAAGCATCTCTTCAAATCATCCATGTCATCTGAAACTTACCAGAATCTGTCTTCTGTAGCATAATTGAACAAACCATTTACATAAAAAATAAAAACACTATTGTATAGATGTTTGATTTTTCTTTAGTAACTATTATTTAAGCAGAATATATATCATTAAAATACTAGGACGCCATTTAAGTAAGTGGTTTTAAAAGGGGGACAGACAATAAAACAATGCTAAGCTGCTTTTTGTAGCCAACAATTATGACAATAAAACAGAAGATGCTTCAATGGCGAACCTAGCCACTAGAAATTCATTTCAAAGATGAATTGTTTTTCCCTGGAATCAATGTAAGTTATAAATTTTATTACAGCTTGCCCTATATCCTGGTGAAAGTACTATTATGGTCTTTGGGAAGTCTAAAACATTGTATATATAAAATTAATATAATTTAAAAAAATCTATTTAGTAAAGTGAATATTTTTGGGTGGTCTTAATAATAGTCAGAGTTTGATTTCAGGTCCAATTCAATAAACAAGTGCTGTCGGGGTTAAGGGCAAAGACAAGCAAAGGCCTTGGCACATTGCGTCCCGCTGATAACAACTCCCGAATCAACTCAAGGTGGACCAACGACGAATTGCTACTTGCAGTACAAGGTACAGTATGGAATATTTGTTTGGCCTCTCGCATCTTCTTCAACCGTTTGTGCTTCAGGTATACGAATGCATGGGAAAGATTTTGCCACGATTGCTGAAGTGATTGGCACGAAAACTGAGGCCCACGTTAGGTTATTTTTCGCCAACCAGCGCAAAAGGTATAATTTAGATAAAGTAGTTGCGGAATATGAAGCAGAACATGGGCCTATTACTGCGGAAGTTAAACCTGAAAAGGTAATTAAATATAATAATACCTCAGTGATATAGATGTTAAAATTTATTTTGTTAAAAGAGGCAGAGAATTCCATGTAAAACAATAGCCCTACTAATGGTAGTACAATTTATCGGGTCGTAAAATATGTCCTCAGTGTTTTTTGGTAGTAAATTCAATGAACATTTCAGTTACTTGAACGCAAATTTAGCCAACATTTAATCATAAAACATTTTGTTCCTGTTGCATCTTCCATTTAATTTTGAAATTCCTTTCTCTGATTTTTTTTTTTTTTTTTGAGCAATTTGTTTTCAATTATCCTCAAGAAAATAAAGTTTTTCCCAATTGATAGTTTTGTAGAGCTGGAATAAGTGAAAATCTGAAGGGGCAATTACAATGGGTTAACAGCCAAGCCCCAACAATTTCCAGTGTGTCTATAAAAAAAACACGTGGGGGCGTAATCGTGTTGGAAAACAACCCCTTGTGATTAGTCAATGCTGATAGTTTTTGGTTAATTGTTCTAATTGTGTACAGTTTACTCTAGAATGAACACTGGTTTAGCAGAATTATGGTTAGGGATGGCAGAATGTTTGGCAGAAGAAGTTCCTTTCAATTCCACCACCTGTGCATTACCTTATTTGGATTAAGTCCAGCTTATGGAGTTACTAGTAGGTCGCTGCCTTTTCTTTAGGATTTTCCTCTGTAAACATTGTTGGACCCACTTTTCAATCTTTTTAAAAATGAGATATTTCATTGCATATTAGGAAAGATGGAGGTGAAGTCCAATAAATTCAAAGTCAACATGAGAGAAACATATTAATCTGACAAACATATCCATCCTGCCCTAGATTAGATAAGTTGTATGAGATATGTTTTAAGTCTCTCTCTGCAATATCTAGTCATTGAGTGAGTTTTATTTGTGCCAAAAGCTTGAATTTGGTCAACGGATGAAGGACGACCAGAACGTTTCGGATCTTCCAAATCAAAATTTCCACTTTCGAACCGAGCTAACCACTTGAGTCTGGATGGTACTTTCAATCCTTTTTTAAAAAGATAGTTCCTACTCGCAGTAAGTTGTTTTCAACAATCCAGATTTCAAGCTTTTAGCACATCATCAGTTTGTAGAACTCCTTCAACCTGATGAGCTAAAAGCTCGAAATCTGGATCGTTGAAAACAACTTACTGTGAGTAGGAACTATCTTTTTAAAAAGGATTGAACACCGAACTCACTCCACCATTCATCATTTCTACGATGGTACTTTCTCCTAAAGTTTTATCCCCACACTCATACCAATTTTTACTAGCAGTCTGAGCTGTTGTTTTCCCTTTATGGTAATAAAACAACATTAAATGGCAATGCATTATTTTTTCTTCTATTTTAAATTGTCAAACAAACCTTGTAAAATATACAAAACTGAAGGATAAAAACGCCTTAATTAATTTGTGTAAACAATAAAGAAAAAATAAACGTTGCTTGAAAACAGAAGAGTGATAAAATAGGATTATGAAAAATGCTGTGAATTTATTTTACAACCCAATATATTTTGAAATGTGAGGTATTCAAAAATCAAAAGGAAGAACATAGCTTAATCATATTTGATCCTCCTAGCTTTTGTCAGACACATTTCACCAAACATTACTTATTAAGCCAACAGTCCAAGTAGAATAACGTTGCTCCAAAAACCCACATCAGTGGCAATCCTGAACTGGCAAAACGCAATTCGACTGAACCAAACTCCATCGTTCGCTCCACTTCAAACTTTTATGAATGGGGAAAAAAATTTCCCATCCTTCTGTGCTTTGCTTACATATACTTTGGTTCAAGGAATATAGGCCCATTTTATACTCACAATTTTAGTAAATTTGTAAAATAATACTTGCCTTTTTTATGGCTTTTGTATTTCATTAAACTTATTAAAAGAAGGTGATAATCAAGTTTCCACAGAAAAAAAGTGAAACCCCAATTAAACCTAGGTATTGTTTAAAAAAAATGGATATACTTAAATCTATGAGCAATCCTGTTAGCAACAATTTAAATACATTTTGGTGGTTTATCAAGTGTTACAAAAATAATTGTTAAAAAAATTTATCCTTTAAAATGACATAATACACAGACCGAAAGAGCTGGGATAGAAGATCGGGATGATCAGAAACGATCAAACTATGAGTTTATCGCCTTACAAACCCTAACAAGAAATCCTAGAATATAGCTTGAATCCCAGTTAAGACCATATTTTTTCATGTCCAGTCCCTAGTACAAATCCTACCTTCAACAGCAACAATCAACAATTTAAATATTAATTTATTTTTTAGATGGAAGTCGGTGGAGACTCCAGTACTCCATCTGGGAGTGCCCCATCATCGCCAGTATCAAAGCAAAACAACAAAGACAATGCTGCGAAAAACTAAGACACATTTTCACCCCATTGCTTATTTGTAGTAAAATAGGTTGGCCGATTTGGGAAGATGTTCAATTCAAGATGTATTGTAAATAGGCGTTGTAATAAGAAAGCTATTCAGTTAGCATTAAATGAATTTTAGAATATCCTTTTAATTGTGATATGAAAAATTTAAATTCTTTTACTTTTTTAAAAATAATTTCTTTGATATTGGTTTAAATATACTCTTATAAATATAGTTTTGTAAATTAAATAGCCCAGTTGTATCCAATTGTGCAAGATTAAACATACATCTAAGTTATTGATTTTTTTGTATTTTAATTATAAGTATTGATTGGAGTCAATTGTTTTGGAGAGCTTGTTAATTTGCATAGTAGCCAGATGCATTAAGTTATTTAATGAATGAATGATCAGAAAACACACCTGATTAATTTTAAATGCTCAATGTTGTGTCCATTGAATGAAAATTAATATTCATTAATTAACCATTATTATTCCATTAATTTAATTCATAAATAAAACAAAATGTAAACAAAAAGTATTGTTTTGCTTTTTCTCTTAGAAAAAGTTTGCTCTTTTCTTAGAAAAAGTCATTTATAATAAAAAGCTTAATTACACTTTATCTTTTTTCATAATTTATTTTTTAAAGTGAAGTAAAAACTTTTCTGTAATTTTTAATTTTATTAATAAAACATTTTGAAATATTTTTATAGATTTTTTAATTATTTGTATTTATTTTGAGCATTTTTTTTATTGTAAGCAAAAGTAGTGTAAAAAAATTATACAACTTTGTTTTGTTTTAATTTTTAATATCACATTAAACCTATCAAAACTGGGTCACATTGGCCATTTTGAAGCTTGAGCCATGTCCAAAGGTAGGATTGTTCTATTTTGGTATCTACAGTTCATACGAATGTAACTGCTTTCATTTCTATATGTTCGATAAGAAATGTTCTTTGTAAATAAAATAACCTACCTGAAATCCATGGATTTTCTTTTAATTAGCCTAATCCTTCATTACAGTTTAATTTTTCTTTTGTAATCTGATTTAAAATGTTCAATATGTGTGAGTATGAAACAAGCAGGCATTGTGATGTGTTACAGTGGGTCTGCTAGATAAGGCCTAGCACCAACATTTTATTAACAATTCACAACTATTCTGTTGCAATATGGACTTCAATGGTTTAGCTATATTTGATGTTCTAGAGTTCAGGAGGAAGAAGAATAAACATACAAAAAATTGTATTCATTTTATCGAGAGGAAAGGGGAAAAATTTTTATCACAAGTTATATTTTTATCATTTATCACTATTAAAGTAAGGCTGTCAGTAATACGTCTTTTTTTCATTGGTGTGTGTTAAAGATTCTTGGGCACAATTTTCTAAAACTACCTTCAAAGTTGTTACAAAAGAAGAAAAATCAATAAAGGCCAGAAATATGTCAAACAGCCACAAAACAAACTCATTTTAAAATGGTGTTTCTTGTTTTAAGGAAGACTTCAGACTGTGAAAATGGGGACTAGTATTAAGAGTCTTGTTAATAAGTACACTGTTCTCCAGGTGTTCGAACTGTTAGCAACTTTCTGTAGAACTTCTTACAAAATGAGACTCCATATTTGCTTTTCATAACCCTGATTAATAAACAGTTTAGTATGCACAATAATAAATAAATATGCATTTTGAAAGAAATAAAAAGCTTCTACTTTCAAATTTGATTATGTAAAATGGTGTGGAATTGGCAGATATTTTTCCTAGCTATCCATTTAGTTGCCAGAAACTTTTATTGCTTATTCTACGTTCTGAGTACAAAACACAGCTAACCCATCAAAATCCCATCTTGCCACTGGTTGAATTGTTGCAAAGGAATAGTTTAATTGTTTGCATCAAATTTTTTTCCAGTACTTTTTTTTGGGTTGGAGTGTTAAAGTACAAGTGTTAATATGTCACTTTACTTTATTCACACAGGCAAGAAAAAGAAGGGTCTTCTTCTGATGTCCTGATTTTTCTGTTTACCCCAAGTTCTCACTTTGTATACAGTTTCTGTGTAAAATTAATACTGTTTTTAGTTACATGGATGATGTTTTAAGAGATTCAAATGTAGGAAAAAGATACGATCTGGTAATGGCAAATATTTTACCAGATGTGATAAATGCATGCATTCATATGTGGTAAAAATTCAATGGCGACCAAGAAACGGGAATGGATATATTATGCAGGAGATTCATAACGTAACAGTTAGGTAACAATGTAACATAAAATAATGTTAATAAAATTTTCATAGCTACACATGAATTTTTTTATAAATGTAAAATAATATATTGTAAATAAAATTTTAGAATGTACACGAAAACTTTTATTTGTCACTTATGTACATACTAAATAAATAAAACATTATATGTACATTAAAAAATATGTGTGGTGATTAGTGACCGTTAATCGATATTTATTTAGAAATCGTGAGATGCGGTCTGGTGTGATGTGGGTTTCAGAAAAACATTTTCTTTATCGTGCCAACATTTCGATCTTTATTGAGATCATCTTCAGGGCCTGGGATTTACATACATTGTTTACATATTACAATATGACGTAATATACAAGATCAACTGTTTAAACTGTCCGGCAACTTACATCGGTCTTACATCCCAATATCTGGACAAGAGAGTAAAGCAACTACTATGATTGCAAAAAACCCAAGCAAAATCCTACAGCACTCGCTACCCACCATTTTGAACACCAACACAATTTCGACTTCAAAAATCCAAAAATATTACATACAGAACAAAACAAATATAAACGTAATTTCTTAGAAATGGTTTATATCAACCGACATAAACACAGCATCAATTACAGAACAGTTACATGTAAACTCAGTCGCAACTACGCCAATATCATTAATCACATTCAATACAGATAACATACCTATATCATCACATTACATTCCACACATCAAATATTTTTCACATAGTCTAATTTCCCGACAATTCAGCTTTCCTTTTCCTATTTATCCCTTTCTATATAATCCTGAAAAGATAATCTAGCTGAACCATTACCAACACATTTTTTCCCTTCGTCGGCTCTTTTCACCTCAAAGAAGCCGACGCTTTATACAAAAATGTCTTTTCTATACCGACATCCTTCCCCACCCCTTCAAAATCCAAAGTATATAAACACAAAATAGCAAAATCTCACTGGCACTCTCGACACGACACGCAAGAATGGCACAATTACACAGAAGACACTCTGAGTGAGTAGAAATACTTTGATTGAATATATAAAATATATTTTGCATTGTATAAATTCACTTTTCCACATCCAAAATGTAATTGTAATATGTAAACAATGTTTGTAAATCCCAGGCCCTGAAGATGATCTGAATAAAGATCGAAACGTTGGCACGATAAAGAAAATGTTTTTCTGAAACCTACATCACACCAGACCGCATCTCACGATTTCTAAATAAATTAAAAAATATATATAAATTGGGACTAAAAGACCCACCACAGCTGTCCACCTGTTGACTTTCAGTATTCTAATGCCAAAGTATTCTAACCTAATTAGAAAGAGAAAATTAATACTTTTTTAACATAAATTGGCCTCCCAGTAGGGTGAAAATTAAAATTCTAGCCACATTGAATGTATTAATTGTAAGCCAATTTTCCCTTGAATGCACATTTCTTCATTCGTCAGACAATTCCACAATAATTTGCTCAATATGACTCACCCAGGAGATAAAATAAATAAAAAATAAGGATATAATTTATTATATTTTGTTTAGAAAAGTAATACAAAAAATCATAAACATGTTTCCTTCAGTTTTGTTTTCACTAGAACAAAATAATTATACGAATGCAATAAATTCAAAACGTTTAGATGTCAATTTATGTTATACTTTTATAAAAGAAGAAACTATGCTTCTTATAATTAATCATAATCGTGCTAATAAACACGGTGTAAAACCCTAGTTAGAAATTAACTTAAGACAGTCAATGAACATAAAACATCATATAGTAGTTATACAACTATGAAATATAAATTACAAAGAAAAGAGTGACTCTATCTAGATCGAAACTGTAATAAGAAGAAAACAGTTTTAGACAAATAAATTTGATGTTTTTGGCTTATCGCTAAATTACATTAAAAACATCAATGATCCTTTCATTCTGAAAAAAAAATTAATAAAGCATTAGTACACGATATATTTAGAAAAATAATTTTTTATGATAATAATTGTATAAATCAACCTTCAGCGCCTGTCCCTCGAGTATGACCTGGAGCGACGGAAAGGAAAACTATGCGACCTCGAACGAGAACGGGATCTGGACGACATCCTCCTCCTCCATGGAGACCTTGACCTGTTAAGAACGGCAAATAAGTACATATCCATGGCACAAATTCAGACCGAGAAGTTAAAAAAGAAAACTTTTTTTTTAATTAGAGGGAACCAACAATCTCTATAAACTTAACTGAAATAAATCAATTTAACACATAAACACTGGAGCTTGGATAATGATCCTGATGCAACATAACGATATGGAAGCTATACAGGGAGAAAAATTGTTAAAACTGAACGAATGGATAATATTACTTAATCAATTAAAGCTTGGCTTAAAAATCATTGTACAGATTTATTAGGATAAGAATTAAAAATAAGAGAAATGTTTGCCTTATAAATAAATAATGAAGTAATTTTTTAACTTATGAATTTGTGTGAATTTTATTTTTCTATAACTGGAGCTAAACAGCACCAATTCAGTGGTTGAGTACAAAATAAAAAAATGTAAGAGAGGGTGTAAAAATGTATAGATAATTGAAAATTAGCACTATCTTCTCTAAAGTTTTGTTTATGTAGAAAATTTTTATTTAGGAACTCGATCTCAATATATTTTTTAAAGATGAAACATAGTTTTAAAGGAATATATTAAAACTAATACTTCTGTTTATTGTCAATACATCGTAGTTTTTTAATATCACCAAATGTTCAAACGTTACATATAGTGCTAAAATTAGCATTTCTTTACATAGCCTTTGAGAAAAAGTGCACAATAGGTCTTTCCACCCATACTCATTTTAAGCCAAGTAATAAAACTGTAACATTTTCATTTTAATAGAAATCTAATAAAAATAGAATTAAAATGGAGGGCAGTCATTGCCTCAATTATTAACAAAATAAAAAACAGAAACTATTAATTAAAAAAATTAAAACACACAGCACTCGAAATACTTACAATAATACTGTAAACAAACTTTGGGAAATATTAGCACCAGTGTTATATAAGAGAATAAAATACTAAAAAAAAGTACCCTAAGAAGCGGCAACATTGCCTAATATTGTGAAATTTTGGAAATCATAGCCACATGCTAAGTACCTAATACAGCAGAGTGTACGGTGGTTGATTGGTTGGTTGGTTGATTGGTTGGTCAGGGGTTGTTGGTTGTTTTTTGTTTATAAATAAAGTTGGATGGCTGGGAAGCCTTCATGTTGGTAGTAAAGTGACGATGGATGGTGGATGCAATAAACATGATGTAACAGCTTGAAGAAGTATAGAGCTATACTTGACCGTGTCCCTGCAACGTTTGGATAATTCAACTTTATTTCCAATTGTTTTTAATAAAGTTTTTAAACTGAACATTCAAAAACCACCTGGGATAGATACCATGGATTAATTTTGTTTTTGTCTATTTCCAGAAACATTATTGTTATTACATGTGAATAGGGACTTCTATATTTGCTCTACAAATGTTATTTTAAGTTAATAAATTTGCAATAAAGAAGTTGTTTCTGTGTATTATTATTACCACTTGACTACAAAACGGGCTTCCCTTTTTTTTTATACTCCCAAACAAATTTGTTATAAGATGAAATTTAATAATGATTTTTTAAAACTGTTTAAAATTCAGCTATTGTCAAATATTATCAAAGTTCCAAAGGCTATAGTTACAAAAAAAAAAAAATAATAATAATAATAATAATATAGCTGTTTTCTTGAGTAAATTTTAATGCCCAAGAATATTATTTTTTTAAACCAATTTACTTGTGAAAGAATAAACAATTTCACCTTAAAGAATATAACTCAAAATCTTTCAAACTCTGATAAATTATTATCATGACAGAAATTCAGTCATTAAATAAAATTAAATTAACAATTAGTTTAAAGAGTAAATTTCGAAGTACCTATGTTAATAATTACAATTTAATATTGTTAATTGATAGAAAAAGTATTAATTTATGCTAAATTTTTAATGAGGTAATGTTTTAAATAACTAGTATTTAGTGACTGTTAATTAATGATTATTTAATGATCAGTCACACTTGCATTTCAAAAAAAAAAAAAAAAAATTAGTTACATTTCTCAAACAGTGTTTGAAATTGAGTCTGAAATTTTTTATATTAAAAAACCCTAATAAATACATAAAATTTAAGTTGTGAATAAAATAAAATAAATTTTGCTTTCAAAAGGAAGGAAACAATCAAAGTTGAATCACCCACTGACTTCACTTATACAAAAACAGTTTAAAATAAAAAAAAATATCCCAAGTTAAATCCCAGTTAAAAAATTAAATAAATAAATAAAAAAATCACGGACTGGCAGATAGGCGCATATTAATATGGTCAATGACAAATACCCAGTTATGCTTTATTAATACTACGACTGAATTCTAATCTATTGAATACACACCATCCCAATTATTAACCTTTTTTTGAAGATCAAAATAACAGAAATCCAAAAATTTAATTTAAAAAATTTGTTCATACACATTTACATCCGTTTTTTTGTTTGGTGCCGTTTTTTTTTTTTTTTTTTTCCTAATTCTTATTTAAATCAAAATTTAATCCTTAATGTTCCTTTTCAATTTCATTTTTATACTTAATTTAATTTTAAATTAATTAACATTTTATATTTTTAAATTGTAAAAAGTCCCATTTCATTATCACTGGACTGGACATTACTTCTCAGAATCAACAATACATACTTGACTTAAATTTTAAAATAATTAATTTGTATCCAAAACTTTCCATTTAATTTAAAAGAAAAACATTGGTATCACAAAATTATATAGATTTTGTATAAATAGATCAAAGAAATTGTTTAATTTCAATTTTTTTTAACTAAAAAAAAATTTCTTGTGTAATTGATATAATAATTAAAGGGAATAGAATTGTAAAAATTTTGATTTTATGACAACTGATAGAGATGCAATGACGCATGCTTTTTTTCTGCTTTCTAAAGTGTTACTGAATAATGCTAGCAATAAATACCTCGAACGTCGAGCTGGTGAACGCCTGCGACCACGTCCTGAACGTGTCTTCCCATTTGACATTTCCACAATAATTCTAGTACCACAACATCGACTGAAAAAGAAACAGAAAAAAAAAGGCATATTACACAGAAGTTGCACCACGAGTCAGATCCTCCAATCCTATTGACAGTGCTCTTGATTTTGGGCTGGTGAAAAAATAATGCAGGTTTTGAAAAGGCAGTCAAAATCATTTTTAATTTTTATACAATAAAGAAAATTAATTCAAAATATTTTCTATCACAATCTATACATCTATGCCAACATGTAATAAGCGCTTTTATTCCACTGACATAAAAATCTTTTTTACTCACAATAAAGTCTTGGGAGATGTTTTTGGCTTCACTGCTTTCACCAAAAATTTTATCCCTCAAGAAATGATCAAAATGCCAAAAGGTGGAAGTCTGTAGGTGAGAGGTTGGGTGAATATGGAGGTAAGGTTTCATACCCTAAGTCCTTAAGTTTCCGCAGGGTTAGTACTACGACATGTGAACTGGTGTTATCGTGAAGAAGAATTGGCCCCTTACCGTTTACTAATGCAGTTTCCCTTGCATTTTGTCAATTTCTTGTCAATATTTCTCTGCTGTAATAGTTTCACCATAATTCAGGGATTATAGTGAACAGCCCCAGCAGAACAACACCAAACATTCATCACAACATTTTTGGGTTCACATTTTGTTTCAGGAAGTGTTCTGGTGCTTCAAACTTGCCCAACAACTGACCTGTACACCTCCTATCGTACAGAATCCATTTCTCATCGCACATGATGATTCTATCGAGAAATGGATCATTTTGGTGGCACAACAGAACAGACATGCAAATTTGAAAGTGTGGATGTTTTTTTTGGCTTTGTTAATTCATACAGTACCAACTTAAGCTTCTTTACTTTACCAATTTGATCCAGATGGTGAACAACAATTGAGCAGTCAGCACTAAGCTATTCCGCAATTTACCGTGTTGTCTTAAGTGAATTTTTGTCCATCAACAATTTGAGTTCGTCGTCGTCTACAATGGAAGTTCGTTTTGCCTAACGTACTGGACTTTAGAAAACAACTGAAATGTACTAATAGATGCGACACACGAATACTTCGGACCTTCTCGTCTACAATGGAAGGCCTACTGCGACCTTCACTGTCTTCGAGATCACATCTCCAAATCAAAATCTCTGAAACAAATGTTGCATCGTGCATTCACTAATGCTCCGTGCGGTTTGGGCCACACTTTGCCCAAGTTTAAATTCATACAAATAGAAAATCTAGTTTGGACATATTTAATTTTGCAGGTCCTCACTCTTATAAAATTTCATATAAACTAAAATCCATTAAGAGGTTTTGTGGTCTGACTGACCAAATAAATTCTATTCAATTAATTAATCTTTAAGTAAGGTGTTGGTTGAAAAAAAAAAAAAAGGCAAAAAGAAGGGAAAATTCAAAAGAAGTCACGATAGCTGAAATGGTAGAGCAGCAGCGTATCTAGCCGAAGGTCGTGGTTTCGAATCCCGCTCGTGACACTGACTTTTTTTATCTCAACCAATACCATAAACTAAAATATTTTGTATAAAAGATACAGCTAAATGTATTTATTGTAGTCCATAAATTAGATTTGAAGATTTAACTTGGGTTACATGACAAGCACATGTGAAAATAAAACAAATTTTCAAAACCTGCATTAATTCTGCACCAACCCAATACATGATGTTGCCAGTTTCTTTTGCTATTATTATTTTTTTTTTAATTTTTTTTTAAAGCCGGTAACAGCCAGGTAACAACCACCATTATGCCAAAACACTCCAGCATATTGGCTACATGTTTTATCTATTCCTTCATTGAATATAATGGGCATTATAGTTTGAAACACAAATTCACATAGAAGAATACAAACACAAAGTGCTTATAAGTTACAAGTAAAGGCAAAATTGTTGAGAACTTATGTGTGCTTAAGAGAGAAAAAATCACAAGCACAAAATAATTTAATCATTAATTATTAATCAAATTAATTATTATAATTAATTAATCATTCATTTAACCATTTAAATATCCTAAATGGTTTTATACCCAAATGAATGCAAAAAGTTTGTAATTTGACACTCTAATACTAAAAAGTGTTTGTTTATTTAAATTTTTTTTTCATACATGACAATGTTGTTTGCAGCCACGCAAACGAACTTGCCAAGTTAGAAAATGACAAACTGTTCAATTGTGTTATTAACTCACGTTCCATCCAGGGCGCGGACAGCATCCTCGGCGTCCCTGGCGTCCTCGTATTCAATAAAAGCGAAGCCCGGAGGATTCCTCGCCACCCAGACGTTCCTCAGCGGGCCGTATTTCGAGAAGACATCCTCCAACTCATTTTTGGACGCATTGTTGCCCAAATTGCCGACGTACACCTTGCATGCCAAGTCCCACTCGCGGTATCTGCTCATTCTGCTTTCTTTCTAGGGGTCAGAGACGAAAACGTTCGTAAATGCCAAGCTCGGCTAATATGGCGCACTGTGAAAGTTTCAATAGTTGTACAAGTACACTTACAATTTTGATGTACTGGAACTGGAAAAGAAATGCTGGAGATGTTTTTTTTAATCCAAAAGATCCGGTTTTGATTTCGCCCGTTCAGACGTTAAAAAAAGTCGGAATGCGCACTTTTATTTGACAATAACGACCCGTCGTTTAACAAAGTACTACGTTGGAACGCTTGTGCTAAAGCTAATGGCGACTGGCCGCAAATCGACCCGATACGTCATAACACAATGCTTTCTTGTTTCCTCGGCAAACAAACGTTTACAGCATTACGCTCACAAAAGACAATTGAATTTTTAATAATTTTTTCATAAAAACCGACAATTTTGAAAAGTGTAAAAGTTTTTAACGTTTGGCGCAAAACTAAAGATTTCGAGCAGGTGGTCGCTTCAGAATGTCAGAACCCTAACAATAAAACGCGGGAAATAACACATTTCAAATAAAATGTCACAACAAATTTCCCTTTGAAAAAAATTTTTATTTGTACAAAGTAAACAATATTTGTTTTGTAATATTTTTTATATTTAAAATAGTGTTTTTTTTTAATTTTTTTCTTTTGTTTTACGAGGGTTCGCAACAGCAGAGGTCATATTGACCCTCAGGATGGCCGGTGTTTTTGAAAAAAAGCCCATTTGTAAGTATCTCCGGTTCGAATGTAGGGCCACTAGATTCAAACCCGGGACCTTCACCTTGATGAGCGCCGTGTCAACGCTTATCGTTGCAGAATTAATGCAGGTTTTGAAACGCCCCCTTTTAAAATAGTGATGATGTATAATGTTATATTTTTTGGATTTATATATTTATTATTTTAGTATATTTGTTATTTATTTTAGTAAATTAGGATATCAAACTGTATTTATAAATAACATAAATAATTTTTTTTACAAGTTTGTAATATAATATATAATAAATCTTCTTTTTTTGTACACCTATATACATACTAAATAAATAAACTTATAAAATATATGTATATTATATCATACTTTTTCAGTTAAAAAAAAAATATTGGGTATAAAAAGACCCACCACGGTTGTCCTATTGACCTTTAGAGAAGCCAAAGTATATTTATATTTAAAACTTTATATATAAAGATATATTTAAAATCATGATGAAGATGTATAATTTTGTATTTTACCTAAATGTTATATATTTTAGTAAATTAGGCTATCAACCCGTATTTGTAAATAAATAAATAATATATCGATTAATTTATAATGATAATAAATGTAATACAATATACGAACTGATGATGGGTGTAAATTCCCGAAACGCCATATAAATGTAAATAAATAATGTATAAACACCACATGAAAAGGTTTCCTAACATAAAGAAAGTTCTTATAAGTAAATAATATTACTATAAAACTAACATTCAGTTCCTAGTATTCAAAGTAACTTTACAATTATTTTAAAAATTGCGCTATCTTTATGTTAGTTTTCTTCTGTATTCTTTTTATTAATTATTATTATTATAGCATAACTCCGGCTGAAGGTTATCCAAGCCGTATATGCTTTTATATGGTTTTTATTATTCTTAAGTAAAGTATTTTATTATTATTATTATTATCACAGTTAGAGCATATCCCACTGTTATCAATGTTGACAACTAAAATGTAATCTACGGTTATCCTCTCATTCCCATTCCCCAGTGCTGTCGCTAGTCCCTAATCAGTATTCTCTCACACAGTTTCAGTATATCAATAATTATGCATTCTTCTTTAATGTAATACTTGAAAGGAAATCTACCATGATTTATGCAAAATGGTCTCTTATTCTGCTGTTTTATTTAAATATTTATTTCGTCTTCCCAGTAAGCCTGAGGTGAGTCAATTTCTGGTTGTATTCATGCAGTGACATGAGAAAAAGTTTTTCTTTTTTAAATATTTTTTTTTTTGCAGCGAGATAAACAAAGGCATTTCAGGCGGATGCACTGAAATGCTTGACACATTTGCTGCGTACTCAGCAAATTTTACGTATTGCGCGATTAAGAATGCTCGTCCGATAAGACTGTGCACCAAGTGCAACGATTATTACACTATTTTAACCATAGTTTATTTTGAAATTTTAAAGGTATGGATTCATACTTGCTCGTTTTTTGATTATTTAAAAAAAAAACTTTTTTTGTTTTGTTTCAGTACCCCGATGTCGATGGTGATTGTAGGGATGAACTGTTTAATTTGGACAGACTCCAGGTTGTTATTTCAGGATATCGTTATGTTATGGACTTGTGGAACAGGGCGAGCTGTGATAGTAAGTTCAATGCACATTTCTTCAAAATTATATTCCAGTTATTATGTCTTGCTAAAACTGACATCGACTGCAGCATTGTGCTAACATTCAGCATATTTTTCTTTAAATTATATATATGTATTTTTTTTAAATGTTAAACAGCTCAAACTTTTGCAACTTTATTCTTAACTCTGGTTCCCTCTTGTTTCAACAAACATAACTACAGTGTTTGAAGTGAAAGGTCTAATGTTTACTTCTTTGATTATGTAATAATTTCAATCAGTTTCTTCATGTGCAAGATCTACTCAGATATTGAATTATTGTAGAATTATTTATATGCATTCAACTACTTAATATCATCACAAAATTATACATTTTTTGTTTTTTAATGTTTTTGCATATAATGGGTAAAGGAAAATCTGACTCTCAGCTGGACTAAGTTTTGAGAAAAGTTCTTTTTAAAATTCAAAACACCACCATATCCCAAGACTACCATTCTATACCAAGCAACAATTCAATGCCAACAACCAAGCATCCAACCATATCATCATCGAACGTGAAGCAACAGCTCAATGAAGATTTAACCTAAGATACAGAAAAACTTAGGAAATGAGAAAAAGGATTGCACTGAACTAGGGAACTAGGAAGGTAGAAGCCAGAAGGCTGCACAAACCCCTTCTTCCAAGTATCCTCATCACCATCTATAACAAATTTTTTAAATTTATTACTAAATATCCAACTATAGATAAAATGTAATTTCATACCCTCTCAATTCTTGTTTCCTCCACTGGCGCCCCATGTTGACAGTGTAGCAGGGTTCGGTGGTGGTCGTTCTTGGAGTGGATTGAAGAATGATTTTTTTAAACTTACTATAAATGATGGTTCTACTCACAGGTTTGTTGTTTACAACAAGGGATAATAGTTTCATTGATATAGTTCTTTTTTTGGGACAAGCCTTTATTTAATGATTATTTGGAGGTCGTGAGATGCCTGTCGTGAGATCTTAATAAAGATCGAAACGTTGGCACGATAAAGAAAATGTTTTTCTGAAACCTACATCACACCAGACCGCATCTCATGATTTCTAAATAAATTATTTATTGGTTTGTATTAATATAGTTTTTTGAGAAGGGGCAACAAAAGTGCCCAAAACCGACCCAAGAATATACTCATGTAAAACACTTAAGAGTTCATTAACTTAAATAAATCTCATCAGACTACAATAAATGGCTGGAAAAAAAATACAAAACAACATACATTATACGATATATAATTAAATCAGATAAAAATTATTAAAAAAAAACTACAAATACAATATGCAAGTGTGGGCACCTTCAACACGACAGACAAGAATGATACATCTACACAGAAAACAAACATTTTGAGCACTGAAGATGATCTCAATAAAGATCGAAACATTAGCACGAAAAAGAAAATGTTTTTCTAAAACCTACATCACATCAGACCGCATCTCACGATTTCTAAATAAATATCGATTAACAGTCACTAATCACCACACTTCAATAAATTATTATTATATCAGGAATTTGTTTCATTAAAATTTCCATACATGCCAAAAACGTAATCCTTCATTCATAGTCAGTTTGCTGCAAGCATTTAACCAGAGAACCAGAGAAATCCTATATGGCTTAATTCTATAAGTTTTTAGAACTCGGTGGACTATTTGGAAATACCCAGTACATTCACTGCATTTCTTAAGATGAATCATAATTTTCTTTAATGAAAATCAAAACAGCAATTCCGTATCAAAGTAACTTATTGTTTGACTCGTTGGGGATAATTTTCAATGGAACCTGTTGTCCCAAGGTATTAAAATTTGGTCTAATCCACTCAGGAAATTTTATTGCATAAATTCTAGCAGTTCACACTCCACGTACACTTACACAATTCCACTACTCCACAACTAAGAAAAAACTTTAAATATATATAAAGCAATTTCAAAATTCTTTCAAATATCAAATGTCTCAATTTTTTTTCTGTTATTACATGTGTACTTGGTCTGCCCATGTGTGAATGCCATGTATTTTGGAGTGTTTGTAATAAGTTAGTCATGATGATAAGTTACTGACTCAAAACAAACTATGAACACTGAAAACAAATCAATAACAGTTGTCTGATAAGTAATTTATAATTTGTAGTGAATGATAGATGAATATTTTAATTTTACCAACATTGTTTTATTAAATCAAGTTGTCACTTAAGTAATTTTGTGATTTTCTTTTTATTTGTGTGTTTTCTACCCAAGGTTGTTTTAAACCAAGCTCATTAGGAAGCTTGAGCCCTGAGCTAACGGATACAAATGCCGCAATCTTTAACACATCAAAAGCCCTCAATGGTTGCATCGCTAAGTACAGGAATGAAAGTGTTTTCCCCGACAATGTGACCTGCACTGAATGCAAGAGCCACTACCTCAAGCTTAATGAATTATACAACCATTTGAAAGCTGACACCGGCGAGATTGCATATTGTATGGATATCGTGGACTTGGTAAGACTTGAATAGTATCTTTTATATTCACTAGTTTTCGTGGTGTGCTTGACCAATTAATATCTTTCAATTAATTAAGGTTTTCAGTTGAGATAAAAAAGTCGAAGTCACGATAGCTCAAGTGGTAGAGCAGCGGCGTATCTAGCCGAAGATCGTGGGTTCGAATCCCACTAACTGACTTTTTTATCTCAACTAAAAACCTTAAATAATTGAACGTCTCTTTTATATTTTCTGAGGTTAATCTATTATGAAATTTTAGATTAATACAACAAGGATAGGATGGTCGAAAACATTGGGCTGCAGCAGTATCAGAAAGAAGTCAGAGTATATTTTTTGGATAAGTTCTGGGTTTTTTACTCTCCTCCCTATTTTATTCTATTTTTTTATTTACGCTTTCACCGAAAAGAAGTTCCACCCACTTATTAACCGTAAGTTTTGACATCAAATATTACTTTAAGAAAATAACTTATAATTATGGTTTTAGATAATCATTGGCAACAGGAAGAAGAAAGACAGGAGCAAACATGAAACAGGAACAAAATTATTGTCTATAGCTAATATTGATTATATTATTTATTGATTCTTTAATAAAATATATTTTATGTTTAACAAGATTTTCTTCATCCTCCAATTCAATCATTCTATCGGCGAATTATTTTAATTTAGGACCAGAAAAACCTTTTAAATATTATAATTAATTAAGGTTTTTAGTTGAGATAAAAAAGTCAATGGCACGAGCGGGATTCGAACCCATGATCTTCGGCTTGATACGCCACTGCTCTACACTTGAGCTATCGTGACCTCGATCCACTCGGACACCAACTTCCCATCTCAACTGCACCTCTTGAATTTTCCCTCCTTTTTGCCATTTTTCAAATTTTAAATATTAAACATACAAACTGTTCATTCTGTTGATTCCTGGGCATTAGTGCACCTTTTTCACCTAGTCTGCATTAAATAAGAAGCATTTTATCTTAAATATACATTAAAAATAAAATGGTTTAGGGCAAAAATATATTTAAAAAACCCAGGCATTACACAAAACAATAAAGGTATTAAACACATTAGAAAGGTAGGTGATATGATGAATAAATAATACGATAATAAGAATATCAAGTACATGCTATACACAACAAACCATCTAACAGACAAGGTCTTATCGTCTATTTACACATATTTAATATTGGTTAATCTAGGTACATTGGCAGATATACATTTCATTTTAACACATTTCAAACAATATGTGCTTAAGACTTTTATGCTTGTATTTACAGTAGTTCGTCTGCCGTAGTGTAGATAAAAAGATTTTTTTTATATGTACAAATGGGCAGTTTATGCATGAATTTACAATTGCTTTATGTATGTATGTGTGTTGTTAAGCTAGATATATTTAAGGTTACACGCATGTAGCCTATCAGAGACCATCATGGAAACCCTCCAATAATTCCTAGAGCACCATTTTGGGCTACCTGGAGTTTAGCAAAATTGGATTTGGACGTATTTCCCCAAATGGGAGCACCAAATTATTAATGGACATATGAATGGTTTATTAATAATTTTATCATTTTTACATAAACGTGTATTAAACACCATGTAAATATGTTTCTTGCTTAAGATGATTCATGCTTCTGCGTATTTCTTTTCAATGTGGTAACTAAAATTAAGTCTGGAATTCAGATACATTCCAAGGTATTTAACGTTCTTAGCCCAAGGTATTGACGAGATTCATTTTCTTATGATTGACAATGTGTTCTGTTTTGAGTCAACTGTATTGCCTCAGTCTTGCTAACATTGGCCTAATTCTCCCTTTTTCAAAATATTTAAAACACCTATCCACAGTTACTGATAATTCTCTGCAGAAGAATCAACCATATAGGAGGCTCTAAAAAAGAACATATCATCAGCAAAAGTCATTCATTTATAAAGATGTTAAATAATGTTGGTCAGAGAACAGGCCCTCGGGGGAAATGCTGGACACATAGATTTTTTTTATATAAAAAGGCAATCAACCGCTTTGGGTCATTTTCCGCCTTAAAAGTTTTCAAGCTGGGAGGCGAGTGGGTCACTGCCCAGGAACCCCCCAACAGCGGAAACCAGGGCCCTCAACAGTATCACGCGCCCCCAGGACACCCTTCCATCCCAAAGCACCTCCCAACATTGAGTAAAATACAGATTATTGCATAAAATGAATATTCTTTTGTATTAAATTATTTTATCATTTAATCTTCGCATTTCAGAAATTAGTTTAGTTTTTTTAAAGGAAAGTTTGTAGTTTGTCTATTTGGTCGGAGTCAACACCAAGCGAGTCTTTGATGTTGATTAGAATTTCCAGCTGATGCCTTTCTCCTTCATATTTTTTGCAATTTGTCAAAATGAGTTTAACTGTTATTCTTTCTGTACAAACATCACAAAGTGATTTATCTTTTTTTGCCATGAGATCAGAATGAGTAAGCTTTCAAAGACCAATTCTGAGCCTAGCAAGGACAACTTCTTCATGCCTGGAATCCCTATGAGATGAGGCCCAAGGTTTTACCCAGTCTTTTATTTCCCTGAGTTTGACATTAGAAGTCTTTTCCAATTCTTTTTGTCATAGCTGCCAAGACTTTCTTTTATGCCAAGCTATCGCATTGGATTTTGGTGGTTCAACATTTTTTGAGCCATCTGTAAAACAGTGTTGGATTCGAAAAGATATCTATTGTTTTATAAAATTCTTTAAACACATAGATGTTTAATAAATCAATATAGCGTGTGAAAGTAGAATTGTTTATATATTTTTTTTAAATTTCTGTTTCATTAAGTAATATTTTTATCGATTACTGTAAAGCAAAAGTATTGGTAATTCTATTACGCAACTGTACAGAGTTACAGAGGTTACTATTGAACTATAGCATTCTCTAGAGTACAATTTGAACTAATTGAACCTGATAAATTTAAAACGTTAAATCAACATGTTTAAATAATGCGTATATATTTAATTTTATATAATGTACTAATTTGAAGTTTAATTAAACGTCAAAAATGTTGATAACAATTTATTAATCGATATAAAGTCGATTGGTGGTGTCATCGTAAAAGAAAAAGTAGTGACATCCACGCTGGCGTGAATTGTGTTGTTACTTGCCAGTTGCTTGAGTGTCAGTCGTGCCAAAACCAGATTAGACCAAAGTTGGACGTCTCTTGATTTCGTTGCACCAAAAGGACAAGGTATTACATACGTTTTACATTGCTCATTTCTTTTTCTGTTAACTTTTAATAAAAAAATCCTTTTTTTCACATATCTTTGCACCGTTTTACACAGATATGGACCAAATCTCTAAAGTAATCGAACCCAGCAGGCAGTTCGCTAAGGATTCGCTCAGGCTCGTCAAAAGGTGCACGAAACCCGACAGAAAAGGTATAAAAACACAAATAAATGAAAAAAATATAGTCCAATAATTTATTTGATAGTTAATTATAATTTCCAACTTGTATGTAGGTGACTTGTATTTTAACATTCAGAGACTTTTGTTGTAAAATTGAACAGAATAGCATGTAATTAAAGTATAAAAAAATTCAATATTTTACAACAATCAGTTTGTTGGTTTTAATATTTAGGAAATTTAACACCATTGAGTAAATTGTATAATTCTTAACTATTTCATTGTTAAAGAATTGAACCTAAATAGGTCAGGGAGTAATATAAAAAAACAGTATTAAGATTGACATAAAGTACTTGCAGCAAAAAGAAAGCATCAATATACATTCAGAAAAAATGTTTATTTCTATATATATATTTTTATCTCAGTAAAACTATAATAATAATAATATTCAGAAATCGAGAGATGCTCTGATGTGATGTAGGTTTCAGAAAAACATTTTCTTTATTGTGCCAACGTTTCGATCTTTATTGAGATCATCTTCAAGGCTCAAAGTGTTTGTTTAATTGTGGCATTCTTGTGGGTCGTGTTGAGAGATTAATTACAGCGTACTTATTTTAATGTAAACCAAATTAAATGAGATCAGAAATTCATGAGTTTTTAATACAAATGATTAATTATGATGGTTTGGAGGAAAACTCACCAAAACGCTGGAAAATCATTTATTGGTGATAGATCAAAATTTAACTAACAATTTATCACCAGGTTTTGATATTAATAACAAGTATTACCTCTCCTGACCTCGCGGAGGGCCTTAAGTCGCCTAGGTAAATTGAGAAAATTAGTGACCGGATTTCTTATTGTAAAACTTAATTCCATTCTTCAGCAAGAGTGGCTTGAAGGAGGTTCTATGGGATTCATGTCCAAGTAATGGGTAACAACTCATGCAGTTGAGTATTATCATGCATTAATATGAAGTTGTTCCCAATAAATGGAACGAATGGGACCACACCATTCAGAAAAACATCCTCAATGTACCTTAGTGCAGTCAACGATCCATTCTGTATGATAATCAGTTAGGTATGGACATTGATTCCATCCCATACCCTGACCGTCTTTGAAAGGGCTGTAACTCATGCATGACACACGAAGGAAAGTGTTCTCCTCCTCTACTTCACACATGTTCCTGGTCATCTGACGTCACAAACCAAACTGGCATTCGTCTGTAAAGAGAATAGCACCTTATTTTCCAAGTGTCCAAGCAAGACACCGTTCTACTTGATGTAATGCCTCTCTCGCAGTAGAGAACCAGATGCAGGACATCTAGAGATAGGCTATTCTCATGAAGCGATATGTACCATTTGGAGTTGACTACACATCAAAGAAGCATTTATATAAAGGTTCCATAGTGCAGTAAGAGCAATAAAAGATTGTCTCCAGCTGATGTTCATCGTTGTCGACCACTACTTCTCTTCGATCAAGACTTCCGGTGGCCTTGAACTGCTAATTTTGAGCTAATGACCAGTCCCAGGAATAGGATATGGTTACTTGTGGAATGTTGTTGAGAGAGCCTAGTGTACAGATTTTTTTTTCTATAATTTAATTTTTGTTTTTTTGTTAATTGGCAATTGAATGTGAATTTATTGTTGTAATTGTACACCAAGCATCTTCTTTATTTAGACAATTTTGCATATTGGTCGTTGCCACCTCACATTTATCAGCGATATAAGAGCCATCATCAGTGAGCAGAGCTATGACCATTCATTATAGTGCTATTGTTTTTAGCTTTTTAAATGTAATATTTTAGTGACTGAATTTTTCGAAATGCACAGAAGAAAGTAAAAAGTAAAGTAATTCCTGACAGACAGAATGTCATGGATGAGGGGCCAGACTACGTACAATAATGTTACAAATTATATTTAAATAAAATTCCGAGGGCTTGTGCTCTAACGCATTCAGGATGGTCATCACTGTTCATTACCTAAGTGAGGTACTGGGAGTGTCATATCAGGGTTCAATGCAGGTACTCCCTTTTCAAGGCTTGTGTTTATTCACCTGAAATACTTATTGGCAATTAAAAGTGTAAAGAAAAAGAGGTCGTGAAGTTAACAAAATATACACATAAATGAAAAAAAGAACAGCAATAAAAAAAAGTGGGATCAACTTTGAACTGTAAAGGGTTAACACATACCTGCATTATAATTATGTTGAATGGTGAGAATTACTACATTAATAACCCAGAGTTTCAAATGTGCAATACAAGACAAACAATGAACAAAATGAAGTGAAAATATTAATAATAATTTTGGATAATAATAATTGAATATCGTAAGCTCCAACAACACTGACCTGGTGATTTGCACAAATGCCCTTTCTACTCTATTAGCTAGCAAAAATAAATTTTCTATAAATCTCAGAATACAAGAGATATTTCTTGCTATAAAAGATCGCACAAGATCATTAGTTATCTTTTTGTAGATCTCAGGTCACTGAGGTATAAGAGGCAATAAAGAGGCTGACCTAGTGGCAAAATTGAAGGGTATTTCATTGCTGGATGTGTCTAGCAAAGATTTTACAGTTTTTTCTGAAAGAAAAAATTTAGAACCTCTGTCATTTCGAATGGCGAAACATCAAGGAAAACAAACTTAGTAAATTAAGGGAGATGTCAAACAATGGGGTACGGCAATGCAAAGATCACAGAAGAGGAAACTGTGTTGGCTAGGTGGTTCAACTTGTGGTGAAGTGATCTCTATCAAGCATTTTCTGGCGTGTAGAAACAATGAAGACCAAATATAGGCTTGCGAATAATGTGACTGAAATTTTGAAAAATTTGTCATTAACATCAGACAGTTCCTTACTGAAACTGGTTTAATAAATAAATTCTGACATACAAAACGTAGGAGAGTGAGATGGCTTTGATTTCGGGGAGGTGAGGGCAACTCTTGTCCTTTTTCCCTATTTTTTCTAAATTTAATTAAAGGGAAATTTCAAGTAATTGTAAAAACTATGAAATTATTTATTAAAGTTTAATAAAAGGTAATGCTTTGAAACTCCTTTTATTTTTATTATTATATTTTTGTATCATTTAACGATTATACTTTTCAGAATTTCAAAAGATTGCTCTGGCCACTGCTATTGGATTTTCCATTATGGGATTCATCGGCTTTTTTGTCAAACTCATCCACATCCCAATTAACAACATCATTGTGTAAGTAATGTTTATCTGGCCTGAGATACAAGTTTGTTGGCTGTTTCTGTGCTCATGTGTATATTTTTATTTTTCAGGGGATCATAAAATACCTATATTCATCATTTACAGACTACCGTGTTTAATAGATTAAATTCATTTTGTTTTTGATTTTTATATATTTATTGCCCAATAAATTTATATTTGTACACTTAGTGGTTTTTTTTTAATTAAATAATTTTTCCTTAAATTTGCATTATTCTTTCTTTTTTCTTTCTTTCTTTATTTTTTAAAAGTACATTCTGTGATGGAGGATTCTTATTTTTGTATAGCCAAGTATAGGCTTTGGAGATCCTCCTCTGACCAGTGTGTCTGCTTTTTCGTCACCCAAAATTCCTTTGTGCCTTGCACTCAAGATAGGTTGAAATGTTAACCCTGGTTTTGGAGATTTTAGATGCATTCACTATTTCGGATGTTTTTTTTTTTACATATACTTTAACAGCTAACATAACAGGAAGGTCTTGTTTAGAACTAGATAAATGCAACTGAAAATTGTTCTGTGTAGAAAGATATTGTACTCTAAGGACTGCGATGGCCAAGTGATTAAGGTGTCCCACTAATATTTGTCATACAACGAATCTGGCTTTGGAACACGTTGTAGCCTTTGGAATGAAAAAAGTATTGCAATGTGGAGACTCCCAGTGGGTAGTTGGACTTTAACTCTCCTGAATGACAGGATCATCATACGCCTATTATCCAAACCAAAGTAGCCTTTTTAGTAATTTGAGACATAACTTTGTTTTTGTCTTGTGTGTGTAAACTTCAATGTTATTGTGGTGAACAGTTATATTTTTAAAGATCTAAATGATCCATAGTGGATGAAGGCCATTAAATAAAAAAAAAAAAAATGTAAATTATAATTAAACTGAATCAACAGCAAAGGGAAATTGGCATTTGCAATTTGGTCAGTTCTGATTAACCTAGTCTGCTTTTTTCATTGTTTTTGCCATGTTGGTGAATTTCTAAAATAACCAAAAAAGGAAGAAATCCACAATATTGCAGTGTGATATTAAGAAATAGGATGGGTTAAGTATGGTTCCTTGAGGAACACATTTGCTAGTAGGGGTAAAATATTTTATGTAATGAGATAGTGTAATCTGATTGTCAGGTATGATTTTAAATTATCACTTGGGAAAATAAAGCTCCTACAAGCCAGAATGTCAGAATTACATAAAAGCAAAATTATTTCTGCCCAAAAAAAGGCAACGGGGTTTTTCATGCAGTGCACATGCTGTAATTAGTATGAGCCCGAGGTAAAAATATGTAGAAATCCATTAAATAATTTTTGTGTGTGTTCCATTTTAAAACAGAAACTAAATTATACATAAAATTCATATAACAATCATACAAGAGTGAATATTTTTATTTTTGTCTAATTATGTATTTGTTATTGTATTACAAATGAGATGTAAAAAATTTTGAATACCAGAATAAAACAAGTATTTTTATTTACTGACAGGCTGAATTAATTTTTAAAAATCATATGATACATCTGATGCAAATCAGTCAAAATCATAAAAACAAAACCACACACAGGTAGCATTTTTTGCTACTTAGCATTTTTGTGAGAGAAAAAAATGGAAAAATGAAGTGACATAGGATTTATAGAAAGAAATGCAGAAGAGTGAATTCCAAGGGGCTGGAGGTAATTCTTTGCTTTAAATTAAAAAGTTTTGAATAGTTGTATATACTTGAAAATAATTCATAATGAAGAAAGGCCAAACAGAAGTAGCTCCTGCAGTGAGTGACAGTCAGCTAGGTAAACCTTTGGAACCAACTGCTCCAGCCGATGAGCATGTGCAGGAACCCAAGCAGACTGTGAACATACAGAAGAAGGTGAAATCGAATGCCAATAAAGATCCGACAAAGAAAAATCCAAAACGGATTTCAAATGCTGCTCACGATTCATCTTTAGCAGGGAAAGATATCAATGCTAAAAAGGCCAAACCCCAACCCAAACGGAACCCACCGCCTCTGAAGACGAACAAGCCTATACCGAAAATTAAAGAAGCTGAAAAAGAAAACGGCAAGACAGAGGAAGTCCCTGGGAAAAAGAAACCTTCTGACCTTTCACCAAGCCGTCCTTCTGTTCCGATAAAGAGGACAATGAAGAGGAAGAAAGTGGTAGCAACTAAGGATGTGGCTAAAGATGGAGATAACCAACCAACGGAACAACAAATGGAAGATGTTACTCAAGAAAGCACTTCATAAAAATGCTAAGCTAAGGAAAATAAACATATAAATACTTATTGTCTCAAACATTATTTTATTTAATTTTTAAAATATTTTAAATCATCTACACTAAATTTAAAAAACAAAACAAAGTTATTCCGTATTATCATAAAAATCTAAGAACAATTTTTAGGATTTTCTAGTTTTGTGAGGATGTGAAAACAGAAAATTTCAACTAGGCAATCAAGAAAATTTTTTCTATTCATATTTTATTTTCTTATGTGAAAATATCAAGTTATAAAATGTCAGGTGTTTGTATCAAATTGTTTTGATAGTACTTTATGGCCTAAATGTTTTTATTAAATGAAAATTAAAAGTTATTAAAACATATGCGCTTCAGATATGATGTAAGATAGCGTGAAAACTGACTTTAAATGGTATTATTTGAGACAATTTGCTTTAAATTTTCATGGGGCTTACAATTTTGTTTGTTATAGAAAATTGTAGTACTAACTCAAATTATAAAAAATTCATAGGTCATTCAAAAATAATAACTCATAGGCAAGTTATGGCTTGACCGCGTAGTAGGTGCCCATTATATAAGAATAAAATAGCTGTAAAGCACATTTCTCAATTGTACAAGGCTTGACGTTTGTAGGCAATATTTTGATATATCATTAGAGGGGCAGAGTGGCAGGACAGATCACTGTTTCGATATGTCAGGGCTAAAGGGATTTTTAAATGTATATAGTTGTGTTTGTGTTAATTTATTGGAATGAATGTAATTTATTAACGTGAAAGGAAGGGGTTGTTCATCCCCGCCCCAAGGAATATCGAGTACTCTGGGGGTGAGTTTGTGATGTCTGCAGACTAAAAGTAAGTTATTAACGAAAGTACAGTTGGATTGTACAACTAAATGATAGTGGCATTAACTAAGAAGTTTAATATTCCCAAAATGATACAAAAAGTGGAACAGATCACAATAAGTCAAAAAGTAAATTTATTTTACTTGATATATGTAGGAAGGTTGAGAACGTTTTCCACTTTATGTGTGTCTGTCCAATAATGAAGGAATACAGAAGAACTTGGCTTAAAAAAGAATGTTTAAATTATCTTTAAATTATGGCTTGTGTAAAAGAAGAAAATTGTAAAACTTTAATAGCATATGTTTCTGAGGATTGAAGAATTTTAATTTTAGAATACATTTACTAAAATTAAATGGTTTAATTAAATTTCACAAGATATAACATATTTTTATTTGTTGGAATTTATTAATTTTATTCGCATTGGGAGCAACCACCAAGGGTCATGAATGTTCCAATGACTATCTCAAAAGTTCAAAGGTGGCATGTGGGGAAAACTGAGGGCTGCAGCTGACTTAAACGTGCAGGACCCAGGACAGCAGTCAATCTTGCCGCATGTTTTCCTGGAGTCCAAGCTTGGGAAGGATGTAAATGTGTTTTTTATTTATTTAAAAAAAAAGTCTTGGTGTGATATAGTTTTATTTATTTAAATTTACAGTGCAAACTTGTCTAAATTTTAATGTAATTGAGATCTTGCATGATATTTACTTAATTAGCTTTAATTTTCGAGAAAAATTATTAAAATAAACTTAATTATTGAATAGAATTTTTTTTTAAATAGATCTTAATATATGAGAATTTTTCTGCAGCGCCCCAAGTCAAAACAATGGCCTATCTCAGTGTGAACTTTAAGATAATATTAATGCATTTATGTTTAATGGCAATAAGTGACCATATAAATTATTTAAATTAATTATTCTTTTTATGTTTCATCTCAACCAAGAACTTTCATAAAAAGAAAAATTAATTGAAATAATTAATATAGTCAATTATGACCACTAAACGTAAATGGATTAATATAATAAGTAAATCCATTATATTTCATGGCCTGATTGACCAAATAACTTCTATCAATTAATTAATCTTTATGTAAGGTATAGGTTGAAATGAATTAAATCTAATAAATAAATTCACTAATTTTGTGGTCCGCTTGACCAATTAATGTATTACAATTAATTAAGGTTTTTAGTTGAGATAAAAAAGTCAATGGCACGAGCGGGATTCGAACCCACAATCTTCGGCTTGATATGCCGCTGCTCTACCACTTGGTCTATCATGACCTCGATCCACTCGGCCGCCAACTTCCCATCTCAACCGCACCTTTTGAATTTTCCCTCCTTTTTGCCATTTTTCATAATGGCAATAAATAAAGAAGTAATCACTTCACTAACAGCTCACCGTGGCCACTTCACAAGTTAAGTGAATAGGCGAATCCTGATTACAAGACAAATGAAAAATGGCAAAAAGAGAGAAAATGCAAAAGGTGGTAGTTTGAGATGGGGAGTTGATCAAAGTCATGATAGCTCAAGTGGCTAGAGCAGCGACATATTGAGCTGAATGTTGTGGGCTCGAATCCTGCTTGTGTCACTAACTTTTTTCTCAACAAAGACCTTACATAAAACAATAAAATAAATAATTTATGATAATAGAGTAATTCATTTCCAGTAACTCAGCTCTGAAGATGTTTACAAATTAACCGAAAGCTTGATATGATGTTGGGAGTTTCTATGTTTCTGTGGCTTAATACCTTATTATCACACATACAAATCTACACAATGTCGATCCTTCTCTTAACAATATCTTACATTTGCTTTCTTTTTCAAGACCACACCTTGTTGCAGAGCTTTTACTTTTTGGCTTAATAGAATTGTAATGGTTTAAATGTTTCCCAAGATATCATCCTGGGTGCTATAATAGACTGAAGATAAAATGAGACCCATGATGTTAAAACATAAGTGGTATTTTTAAGTATAATGAACAATATGTGGAATTTAGTGACCGTTAATTAATGAATATTTAGAGATGGTGAGATGTAATATAGTGTGATGTAGGATGTGCACCTATATCACACCAGACCACATCTCACCACATCTAAATAATCAATAATGAATGATTGTGATGTGTTTAACCATCAGTTCTCCAAGAACGACATGTCGTTGGACAATTTTATTTATATTTTTCAAGTTATGCGTCCATGATGTTGTGCTGCGTTCTAGCGGCATTGGATCAAGGGAACGCGTTTGAAGGAGGAGTGGCGTTCGAGTGACGCCAACACGACAGTCGAAGTATCGCTCTTGCGCCATTCGACGCTTACGCCCTTCGTCACACTGATCCGCCCTATAAAGAGTCCGCGCGTCCGCCGAGCCCCGATTTGCCGCAGCCCCGCCGCACACGACGGTGAGTATAAGAATAATTCACGACGATTATCGATCGACCCTTCGAACATGAGGCGGAACGGGAATTTGTCAAAAGGAGATCCTCCCTCTCGTTCGACCTCCCAACCGCCAGATGGGTCTCGGGTAGTGGTCGTAAATTTAAATTCACCCTCGATTAGTTATTAACTAAATAAAATCGAAAAAAAGGCTTCGTTTCGCCGGGAGTTGTCACCCTAGCCCCGACCCCGACCCAGATTCGACTTCCAGTTGATAAAATCCGACTGCACGCGAACCCCACTTGCCCCCTCGCGTGCAATTCCTCCACAAGGTCTCCAAACGTCAAAAGGTCACTCAATTCGTTCAAATCTCCGAATTTTTTCAACCGTTTTTTTTTTTTCTATTTTTTCATTCCTCTTTGCATGAAGTAAGAAAACAGACTGAAATGTTTTGATTCCCCACGACTTACCATGACAAAATGCAACACTTGGCTAATTATTTTTCTCCTTTTCTTGTTGCAAAACTTCCTACCCAGAAGTCGTTGTAATAAATACATGTAATGTACTATTTATAACACAAAAATTGAATTAATATTTTTAAAACTATTAAAGGCTAAAAGTTTTGATTTGGCTAGATTTACATTTAATTTCCACGTATTAACATATATCTCAAGCGAGGTGATATTTTTTGTAGATTTGTAGATGCTAAAATCACTACCTAAAATTTGGGTAAAGAAGTAGATGAGTATCAGTAAATAATGAGATAAGTAACCAAAAGTCATTCGTTAAATATATTTAAAAAACCGATTTATTAGGACAACTACATTTAACTTGATGAAAAATGGACACAATAAAAGAAAAACATTTTTTTTAGATGTCCAGTTTTGTCCCGAGGGTACAGATATAAAATGCTAAAGAATCAAAGAAACTTTCTCTTTAATAATACAATAATAATAATGATAAATTAAGGGTATTTCGCGAATTATGTGTCAAACTTTTGGGAATGTTTTTCTATGAGTTTTAATGGTAAGGGTGATATTTTTTAGGTTTTCCATTTTTTTTTCTATAGGAAAGCTATTTATTTTATCCATAAAAAATGGGCACATCTTCTGAACCCTTGGTCCTACGATAAATTTGAAAACGATGCTTAAAAGCTGATTAGTCTGATTACATTTCCCTTAAGAGAACTACCACCAGGTTCTTTTTCAATTTTATTTGCAATAGAAATAACGTAATAATTTACTTAATTATTACTTATGATTGTTTACTTAATTATTTACTTATTATTAACTTTCCCTTTAATAATAATATACAGGGTGTTTCGCGAATTATGTGTCAAACCTAAGGAGGTGTTTCTCCACCCAAAATGCAACAAAGAAGTTTATCTTGAACCCTTTGTGAGTTTTAATGGTAAGGGTGATATTTTACGTTTTTCATTTTTTTTCTATAGAAAAACTATTTTATCTATAAAAAATGGGCTTATCTTCTGAACCCTCGGTCCTACAATAAATTTGAACACGATGCTTAAAAGCTGATTAGTCTGATTACAATTCCATTAAGAGAACTACCAGGTTCTTTTTCAATTTTATTTGTAACGGAAATAACGCAATTATTTACTTAATTATTACTTATAATTGTTTACTTAATTATTTACTTATTAGTAACTTTCCATTTAATAATAATAATGATACACAGGGTATTTCGCGAATTATGTGTCAAACTTCAGGGGGTGTTTCGCGAATTAAATGTCAAATTTCATAGGGTGTTTCGCGAATTATATGTCAAACATCAGGGGGTGTTTCGCGAATTATGTGTCAAACTTCAGGGGGTGTTTCGCGAATTATGTGTCAAACTTCAGGGGGTGTTTCGCGAATTATGTGTCAAACGTCAGGGGGTGTTTTGCGAATTATGTGTCAAACTTCAGGGGGTGTTAGCAATGAGCAAACAACAAAGAAGTTTATATTCAAACCTATATGAGTTTTAATAGTAAAAGTGATATTTTAGGTTTTCAATTTTTTTTCTATAGTCAAAAATGGGCTTATCTTCTGGAAAAAAAATATAATGGCGAACTTTGTTCATTGCACGAAGTTTTGTGTTTTGATATAAGTGTGCCCATTTCGCAAAAATCTCACTGATTAACTCTTCACTAACATCAATGTTTATTGATGTTTTCGATTCCAACTAAAACTGTATTATAAAGGGAGAGTAACTAAGAAAATCTTTTTTAGGATAATTCCGTTTTTTTCTGAACAAAAAAGTAAAAAAATCTTATCTTCTCGATGAGGTGAGTCAGAAAAACTAGTTTAGCATTCTACTCGACTACAGTTTAATATCGCCCGATTTTTGTTTACTTCTAGTTTAAATATTATACAACAATTGTATAAGTGATACTTGAACTTCTGAATTTCTGCTTGAAAGTTTCATTTTGTAAATAACAATTTTATTTTTAGATGGGGTTTTTTTGCAACTTGTTTTTATTAAAATTCTTTCCTCACAAAAGAACTGCTATGCATCATAATCTTAAGTAACAAAATAGCTGCTTCACAGAAAAATCTGCCTGATGAGGGCAAAAAATACATTATTACATATAATAATATATAATATACTAATTATATAATTAAAATATCCTATATATGTTAAAAGAAGGACAACAAGAAAGAACAATATATAAAACTTTTTTTTATTATATTTTTTAAATTTAATTATTTTTCATTTTTAAATAAAGTGATAATTGTACAATGTGATCGTGGGAAAGCCCTCTGAAGTCGGTTCATTCGTAGGTAAAATTCGAAGAAAAAACATTGAATATTCATGTTTGCCTCATTTAATATAAAATGTTTTGCTTATTGTCGTCAGCGTACACACAGACAGACACACACACAGACAGAGACAGGCAGACACACACACACACACACACACACACACACACACACACACACACACACACACACACACAAGTTTTAATATATTTCCTATCATCCTTGTCGTTGCGGGAGGGCTTAGTGGGCATTTTTTTAATTAATGAATACAGTTTTTATATTGAGGGTAGCAATTAAATACTATCTATACCAATTGACTTCACACTTTACTCAAAGACAAAATCGCTTTCGTAAAAACAATTAAAAAGGCGAAATAAAATTAATGATATTCTCATCATAACGAATAAAACAAAATAATCTATAAAAAAATCGTGTAAAACTTATAAAACATATTGTTTATATGCTTAAACAAGCTTAAATAATTTTGTTAACAATAGAACAATAGAAGATATTAATTTCTATAGCAAGTGGATAATTGTTGAGATGTCAGTTTGAAACTTTGCTCTCCGTTAAAATATGAAGGAGGCCCTCATTAGAATTACAAAAAGGACAGCTGTTGTCATGTGGAACAGAACAGAAATTTTATTTGCAAATATGTACATTAAATACACTGGTTAAGTGGGATTTCTATCTAGTATCACTTACCTACAGCTGGTTAAGCTATAACCAACTTATTATTAATTATATTACATTATTTTTCTATTAGGGGAAAAATATATAGAACCCCAGCTATACGTTGTAATGTGGTGCAAATATTTTATTAACGGCCAAGTTCAAGTTAGGATCTTATTTTTGAAAAAACTAGTTGAAAATAGGTGAAAATGTGTCACTACATCTCAGTAAAAACAAAAAAATAATGGAATAGATTACGTTAAGAAACATATATTTCGAATTTTGTTTAAAAAAAGCACTTTCTATGTTTCTATTTTTTGCCGGTTGGATGTTATATATTAACATCGAGTATTAACTATGTTTTTAATTAAAAATAACGAAACTGATATTAATTATCGTAATAGCTTGTACAGCTAATGAAATGTACACTGTAGCTAGGTTGCGGATAAACAAAGTTGCGTGACCTTGATGTAAGTACATATATTCTTATAGAAGGTAGATAACACTATTTTTAGCTTAGTGAGCTTAGAAATTTTTTACTGAATGGTGGATAATTCAATTAAAAAGCATTATTAATTAATGGAGTGAAAAATCAAATGCGATTTATGTTTTATTTGTGTTTTCACATTATTTAAAATTTGCTATTTCTCGCCTCTCTTTTTTCCCTTTTTCTTTCTCTAGATCTTTTTCTTTTTCTTTCTCTTTCTCCACTTCTCTTCTCTATATGAAAAGGCCATACGCGCAAAAATACACGCAACCACAGAATATGATTAAATGCTGTAATCCAGATGGCACCAGAATGTTTTGAAGCAATACCGATTGCCGTGATAAATAAAATTTAATTTTTCATAAAACATGGATAACCATGTCCGCACGTTTTGCCAAGTAGTGGCTTTATAAAAAGGACAAACATAAGCATAGAACAACCACTGAATATGACTTAATTCTGTAATGCAGATACATAAAAGAATGTTTTATACCATGTTCTTTTGATTGTCGTGTCAAAAAACTCTTTTATTTTCCATAAAATATGGATAAAACATCTCTGGCCGTTTTGCCAAGAACTGTCTTTAAAAAATGACAAACGTAAGAGTATCCCAACCACTGAATATGGCTTAATTCTGGAATGGAGATACATAAAAGAATAATGTTTTATACCATGTTCTTTTGATTGTCGTGTCAAAAAACTCTTTTATTTTTCATAAAATATGGATAAAACATTTCTGGCCGTTTTGCCAAGAACTGGCTTTATAAAAATGACAAACATAAGAGTATCCCAACCACTGAATATGACTTAATTCTGGAATGAAGATACATAAAAGAATAATGTTTTATACCATGTTCTTTTGATTGTCGTGTCAAAAAACTCTTTTATTTTTCATAAAATATGGATAAACATTTCTGGCCGTTTTGCCAAGAACTGGATCTTTTAAAATGACGTAACACTTAACATAACTTAATAACACGACTTAACCTAAAATATGGCTGAATGCATGATAGATAGAACAAAAATGTCTTGTACCTTTCACTGTCATGTAAAATCTATTTTTAATAAAATATGGACCCTTTGTGTTCTTTTCGCCAAGTACTGAAAC